TTTTTTTAAAATAATCATATAAACATTAACATAATAGAAAGCTAATACACATAGACACATACATACATAAATGTATACATACGTACATACATACATACAGATATACATACATACATACATACATACATACAAATATATATAAATACATACATAAATTCTGAATACAAACAATCAAGATTCAATGTAATCAAAGCTTTTTGTTATATAGTTATGTATATACTCATATCATAGTAACCCAAAAAAACATGTTTATGACAAAAAGAAAAACTTTTCTTCTTTTTTTTAAGTCTTATTCATCGCTTTATTTCTTTATTATACAACAAAAACAAAAAAATAGCAATGAATTACCCAAGTGGAAAAATTTATTTTATCATTGAAAAATAACACAATTTTTTTTAATGATCAGGGATAATATTGATCCAATACACCAAAAAAACGGTTGAGATTGTTGAGTTTACCGATCAATTTTATTCAATATGTTTATTACTAAAATAATAATAATAATTGGATATCATCAATAATGTTATTGAAAATAATCTACTCAAGTCTTTCATGATTATGATCTGTTCAATATATATATATATATATATATATATATATATATATATATATATATATATGTGTTTGTATGTTCATGCCTATTTGTTTCAATCATTATTTTGCACATAATGAATCTGAATGAAAAAAATGAAAAGAAAAAAGAATGTAAACGATCCATGTACAAACAGCATATTATTCAAGTTCTTACAAGAATCAGATCAAGAGATAGGCAGTCAGATAGAGATAAACAGAAGAAGAGGAAGTATTTCTTTTGAAAAGCGAAGAAAAATTGTATCAATTATTTTATTTTATATTTTATCGATTGTTTTTCTTTTCTGATTGCTTTTCGTTTGTTTATTTGTTTTTTCCATCCCATCAACTATGCCCTTTCTTTGTTGTTCTCCCAAAAAAATTCACGTCATCATTATTATCGCTTAACTCCTATCTTCTTTACTATTGTAGATGTTGTAATTGTTATTATCGTTATTATTAGTACTATTATTATTATTTTGATGTTCTTTCAAATTCAGAAATCTTAAATCTTATGGTTCTTCAAAATAAGAGTTGTGTAATTTGTTTTTTTATCCAATTGTTCTTTCTGATTATGATTTCATTTTTTTCGAAGCTTTAATTCTTCAAATATATTTAATTCTTCATTGAGCATTTATAGTCGTTTATACGAAATCTAGGAAATTAAAATTAGTCCAACTAATTCAAGGGTAGATGCAACTATCGTTAGACAATTACAAATATTGTTAAAATACGACAATATTATAGTTTTAAAAATTGACATCTAATACAGCAATTCAAGACTAAGGATATAAGATTTATAAATGAAAAAACGTTAGACATGAATAGAACAATAACCTTTTTTTACTTCTTTGAATGATCAATAACTTCCTGTTTCAGTTTCAGAAAATGATTTCCCTATTCAGTGATAACAAGTTGATGAATTGAAATAAATTATTTTAGTGTAGTAGAATCATTGATGGGGATAACTAGACGTATGGTGAAAATGAACTTTTCTTAAATAGAAAAAGGATCAATGTATATCTTACTATTCCTGCCATCGGTAATTTTGTCGAATTCTGATGATCTGAAAATATGTGCTTCTTCATTTTAGTCTTTTTGGATATGTGGTTGGTGAATTTGTCACTTAAATGTAAACAATAACATTATACATACACTTAACTTACTACTGACTAAGTTGTTTCAGTAAAATTTCCCAAATGATTAGCTAGATACAGAAATTATTGAACAGTACTCAATTCATATATTATATGTCGATTCATTAAAACATTAAGTTAACATCATATTCTTCATGCAAACGTTTGAAGGCAACTCAGTATGATATTTTCTCAGATACTAAATAATTCAGAGATAAGAAGGGGGTTTTGTGAAGATTTTAGTAGTTTTATATAGTTGAGATCATGAGTCAATTGAAGCTAGACCACCATGGAAAAACTGGAAGCACTGGACGGCCGTTTCGTCCTATTGTGGGACTCCTCAGCAGTGCGCATCCACGATCCCGCCTTGCGACATCATATGCTCACTAGTAACTGACACCATGAGTTGTAGTGAGAAGCAGTAACCACTGGAGTTAAATCAGGTCTGTTGTGAGATAGTAACCCACTGAAGACAACGATGGATGTGTCATTCAATTTCGTGGATCTGTAGAAGTCAGACATTAACACCTTTGGATACCGGCTCAGTGCTCTAGAGGTTAGGCGCTTGTGCGCGAGACTTATAGATCCCGGGTTCGAGTCTCTCAAGGCGAAATCGTGGATGCGCACTGCCGATGGGTCCCACAACAGGACGAAACGCCCCACCAGCGATTTCAGGTTTTCCATGGTGGTCTAGCTTCAATTGACTCATGATTTCAACTATACAAAATTCAGAGAGAAACTGATGAGTTACATTCGGGAAAAAATCAGTTTATTACAACTTTGAAAGTGATTTGTTTACTTACTCATAAATTTTGAAATACCGCAAAATATAATGTTTATAATTATCTTAACTATAAGTTGATTTATATCTAATTTCAATTAGGAATTCAAAATTACGGTTTATATTTACAGTTTGATTACCGATAAATTATGATGCTGAACAAATGAAGTTACTATGAGTCTTTTGACATCATCGAGAGTTTTTAAGAGTTCAGTAAGTGGTAAACTGCTATAAATGTGTATATATAAAATGTGATAATTTTTAAATAATTCGATAAGACGGTTTTCAAATAGTACCCATCTTTTCCATTATACGCTGTCCGAATTTATTAAACGGACTTATGTTTTTAAACTTCCTAATCGGTTAAAAAAATGTAAAGTGTTTTGTTTGCAATAAAATGATCTCTCTGACTCTATACCCTTTAATATTAAACTGAGTCTTAAAGGAAAAGAATGTTTTCCAGATAAACATATTCAAATATCTAAAATATTTTACTGTAGCCTCAATTTTATTAAATCCGGTTGAGTGTTATTGTTAATTATTTGAAAATAGATGAAGGGAGCATAAAGCCTCTTTAACGGAATAATTATAATGAAAAGAATAATAATTACAGACGAATTATCATGAGAAAAAGATAGTAAAAACAAAACAAAAACTCCAGCATGGCTGCTTCTACAGTAACATAATATTGATGGTATCTTGAAATAGAAGTATGAAGAACTTACTTGATTCGAATAGTATTAATATTTGTTTTATAACATCAGATTTAATCTGTAGAATTTTTAGCTAAGACTTCATGTTGTTGTTACACAGACAACACATATATGGATCATTCCGCAAGAAACGAAATCGAACTGAAAAATTAATTTTAATAAAGTGATTAGCTATCTCTATTTACTCATCTCTTATCAGAACCTACTGTTGACTTCAACAACCCGAACACACCTATTTATGTTCAAATTCCACATAAACGTTAGCCATATACATATTTTTCCTTAGTTTGCATTATGAAATTGATCTTATATAAACCATAGTTGAAAACCAGGAAGCTCCAGACAGTTGTTATGTCCTAGTATCTGGCTTAGCGAACGTCCTTATACTATTAATATCGATAAATTTTGGATAGGGAACAATAATAATCGTCCCGGTATGTCAAATAATCATCCAAAAATGAATTATGTAGTTTTTAAGTAAAAATACTTTTTAATTAAATTGACACTTGTTAAGTTAGCAAATATAAATAGAACGGTTGTGAATTTTCTAATGACTTTCGTGGACTAATGAGTTTGCTAATATATTTACTATATACACAGAACAATCGACAGTCCACGCAAATTCCTCACTCATTTTTACTGACGAGAACACGAGAAAGTCTAGTTAATTACCTCATACTGTGGTGTGTGCTAATGATGTCGACAGATAGAAGTAGTATGTAACATCAATTGGAAGTGAAATGCTTGGCAGCAGAAGGTTTAGAAGATCGAAAGAAGGAGAACGAGAACAGTGAATTATTGGTGTGGAAACGAAGGAACAGACAAGTCTGAGACGATTGTCAGGGAAGTCCTACTCACTGCCTTCTCGTGGCGGGGGTGTTGTTTACGAAAGTGAGAGGACGAAAAGCGAGTGTCCGGCGCTTTAACCGGGTTGGTGGACATGGAAAGTTCACCTAGGGGAGTTGGAAAACCCTGATTCCAAACCAGTGATGCACATGGGCTCCAGTATCCTGAAGGAACAAGTGGCGTATGAATCAATCGTTGATCACCGGCTACCATGGGACTGCATCTCCTCACGATGCTCCACTGACTTGTGGATCAGACATTCAGATCAAAGGCTCCGGGTGTGGCCCCCTAAGAAAACCCCCTGCTTCAGTCTGGGCACCTAAGCAGTATCACAGCCCTCACACAAATCAAATGAGATTTGTGAGGCGCATATTTATCTGGTGCTTTTTTCTACCAATATTTATGTGTTTAAATAAATAATAAAAATCAAGTTGTACTTTTATACTCGGACTAATATTTCTGTGGCTACTAATAACTCAACTGAGATAACTCACTAGATAAACAAAGCCATAAACATTTGAACAATTAACTTCCTATTGTTAATCTACGTACTAAAATAGAACAGTCCCGAAAAGCATTGGTTTTCTGGATACCTAAGAATATTGTATTCACTACTTATCACTCATCAAAGCATTATTTTAATTAACCAATACATAATTCAGAATAGTTTTTTCATAATAATGATATTAAATAAGTAGTAATTAAATATATTATAATTTAACTAGATCACGAGATGTCTTGCATTCACGCAATGCATACGAACTTCTTTTTCTCTAGTGTATATGTGATCTAAAACCAATAAGAATGATACGAATCTAGGATTTCAAGATCATTTAAAAATTTACGTACAAGGTTAGATAAAAATCGTAGTGAATGTGCGAATGATAAAAATATTTTTGTACTTGTGACTAAATTCAACAAGCGACTGAGTAAAATATAACTAAATACTCAACAGTCGGTTGACTGGTTCCCTACGGTAGGTAAATAGGAATATCTAGGATTCTTTTCAGAAGACATTCAAATAATCAGACTACGCAAAAATACAGACTTCGAGAATGGATGATCATATATCTGTAAGAATGAATGTAAAACAAAGATTATCAAATATAATTTATGTACATCACAATAAAGGTAATATTTTGTTCCGATTGTCTTTTAATGGACGCCAAAATACTGGGCATGCGTATCGACCATCTGTGATTCTCGGTAGAAATCCAGGAACAAGCCAACCAGTTTGATTTTTCAAAAGTTGAGTATCATATTGAACGTTTAGTTTTTCATTTAAAACACTCAACGGAGTTAAATTGTCCAAATATGTTTCAGTGAGATGTAATTTTGTGCATAGTTCTTTATTTTCACGAACGTATTTTACAGCCAGTGAATACTAAAACATTTATACATACGAGGTTAAAGAAAATGAATTTTTTGGATATATATTCAAACGGACTATTAATTTCAATTGTTTGATATTTGTACAAGATAAACTTGTTAGGGAAGATAGCTTTAAACCATTACGCTATCACTACAATTAAAATACACATATCTTGAAACGATTTAATGCTCTTTCCAGCTCGTATCAACAATAAAAATCTCGAAAATAATGAATCAACCAGGAAATGCAACCTAATTTCGGCATGATAATAATAATAATCTCCAAAACAAAGGTTTACTTTTCTTGACTATCTCCTATAGTTAAAATAACCCATTGTGTCACTGAGTAAAAAAAGAAAATTTTTGTTTGCGGAATTCTTCTTATCTTTTCTATAGATTACCAAAAAGAGATTTTCACATGATTCCCAGTCGTATATACTCACTATTTTTGGTAATTTAAAATTTATATGCTTCAAATTTAATGTATTGGGAAAAAGTGAATAAAACCGATTTTCAATGTGTTAAGGTCACTTTCTAATAAAATTCGGAGTAATAAAGATTTCGATGGTAAACAATACTTTGGTTTATATCAGTACTTTCATTATAATAATGGTCCTGGGTTCGAATCTCCCTAGGCAAGGTGGTGGATGCGCACTGCTGAGGAGTCCCACAATAGGACGAAAAGGCCGTCCAGTGCTTCCAGGTTTCCCTTGGTGGTCTAGTTTCAATTGGCTCACGCTTTCAACTATGAAAATACTAAATCTCCATAAAACCCCTTCTGATAATAATGATAACATAGAAATATAACAATATGATATTAACATGTAAGTTGTGTTCTGTGAATCGTTTCAGTAAAAACATCTTACTAAAGTTAACTTTTTATTACACGTTTATGATTAAGACTAACTGAAAGTATCTTTACTGGTTCCAGAATAGTATTTATGTTGACGCTTATGCACTAATCTGAATATACATGGTTTAAAGGGATTGGGTGGTATGAGTCTAAAACAGGTAAATTGATGAATACGTATTAATTTTCCACTTTTCCTTTAGACTTTGAGTTTTAGCACTGATCTACAATTAGAATCCTTCGATTTTATGTTTGGCTTCTCACAGCGTGATATGTACCATTAGTTAAAATCCTTTGATTTATAACCTGTTAATTTACCCACTTCTCCCTGATGTGAAGTGTAACAGCTTCAACCGATGAGCATTTATAACAGTTTAGGTCTTTTTATAACTAGCTTCCCTGTCTAGCTATATAAAGGACGTTATTGAGAAAAAGTAAGGGCAAATTTTTGAGTAATCAGACAAACCGGATAAAACGAAACTTAATAAATGAAGCAAAACAATCTTAAATGCCTTTAATAATAACAACAATAATGATAAAGACATCTTACTTTGACATGATAGAGTTGAAGAAGACAAGCTGTCCAAGTACTATCTACAATTTGTATTTCTTTAAGATTACCAATGGAAATATTGCAACTAGGATATTGATTTCGTACAATATTTAATGTTTCTTCAGTTAATGGGGGAGCGTAACAAATACGTGGAGATTGATTCAATGAAAATTGAACTAAATAGTTTATCAAAGTGGGAAATACTGATCCATGCGGAGATTTAATTATTTCATCTGACAGATAACTACGTAATTTGTCCCTATTTTTTAAAAATTAAAATAAAAATACTTTCATATTACAAGGAGGTTTTTTGTAGATATCATAGTAATTTTAGTAGAGTTGAGATCATGAGTCAATTGAAGCTAGACCACTATGGAAAACCTGGAAACACTCGATGGTCATTTCGTCCTATTGTGGGACTCCTCGGCAGTGCATATCCACGATCCCAACTCGCGAGATTCCAACACAGGAAACATCAGTTTCGCGCGCGAGCACCTGACCGATAGACCACTGAGCCGGTATCCAACGGTGTTAATGTCCAACTTCAACCAATCCTCGGAATTGAGCAACCATTCATCAATAAACGTTTGGAAAATTTTATGATGACGTGATTTTTACTTACGAACTGATATAATACAAATTTATCTTCGTAATGTAATCATAGATAGCTTCGTACTATCTTTTTCAAAGAAAATTTTTTTGACTGGAATGTCTTGTTTCTTTTTATGGGCATGCAGTGATAGCCAAATTTGTATTATCTAAGAGAGACACTACTAAATGTTTTATACATTTTCAACAAAGGGTAATATCTGTAGTAAAATTGTGAGACCGTCAGTCAAACGCATCGTAGAACCTGGCATATGTACATAGTCTCAAGTTGCCACGCTCCTATAGTAAAATAAATGGTAAACAGTTTAAAATATTTCAACGAGTAATGATAGAGGTCAGGTGAACTTAGAGGTAACCTCCCAAATGTTACAGGGAGTTAGTGATAGAAATTCCTGTCAAGTTCAAAATATGTAAGCTCAAAGGTTTCAAAAATTTTCCCACACTTCAGCTCCCTGTGGTAGGGAAAACGACGCGAAGTTGGAACAGAAGCTTTCTTCGAAAGTTAGTTTATGAACAGAAAACATGATTAGATCCACTTGGTATTATTTACGATAATCTTCCTATTGATGTTTAGGACTATGATCAGTCTCTTATTGGCATACATGCATACTGTGCGTATTGCCTTGATTCACAAACATTATAAGATTTTAATACCTGTGAACAATACCAAGCGAATTCAAGCTTTACCTCATTGTACACGCGATTGGTTATCAAGACTCAGTAGCTACGTGGATAACACGATGGTGTTTGAAGCGAGTGGTACTGGGTTCGGGTCTCGAAGTGGACATCGGCCCTGGGATTTGTGTAACTCTAACAGCCTGGAAACTCTTAGAAGAATATGAAATTTAGTGAAATAACGGGTAATCACCTTATCAGTGTGACACAATCAGCCGTGTTTCTAAAAGTTTCACAGGAGTCTTCAATGGATGGTGATTAGACGAAATTTCTTTGTTCTCTTCTGGCTTATGATGACTGTATCGAGGGGTTCTTGAGGGTTGTTTTCTAGGGTTCATCTGTGGCTTAAAGATTAACAGATGCGTCTGCTCTTCCATGGTAGTTTCCTCATTCATTCCTTAGCTCCTGTGTTTCCTAGACTGCCGTTATTGGCAGTTTTATTTAGAACCTATTTATAAGCACATCTAATGGAAGAGTTGTAGGAACAGTATCCATTATTTCTTGTTCTTTTATGTCTATAGATCCGGTTTATGTGTCCAGTCCATACTTCAAATGATCCTCATAAAACATACAACATTGCCAATTCTTTCAACAGTCTTAAGCTCCCATCGATTTTTGCCGTGATATGACAGAAACGCACTCTTTTATTCATCTGAGACAAGATGAGTTATAATTTTTTAATCTACCTAATAATGATAGCATCTTTATCTAAACAACTATCAACTTATACATGTTGTCGTATAACATATTACGTAAATCCACCCCAAAGCATCCGTGATATACTCAGTACTGGTTATGAGTTCTATCAGTGACTGATAAATTATCATACTGTCACCGAAGCAAACCTAAACAAGTTCTATATAGAAAAAACAGTAGACAATGGGGACCTCAACTATAAAACTCTATTACTGCTTTATCTATGAGAAACAATGTAGGCATGGTAATAGTCCAGTTTTGAGTTTCATATGGGATAAATGGTGCTCACTCTTGAAGAGTTCCCAAGTAAAATGAGGTAGGTTTTCAGTGCTACTCGTTGTTTTCCAGATAATATAAAATCCACAACCAAAAAAATATTCGCACATAATTTTCATTTAAATTTGACCAGAAAGAATAAAGAACACTAAGTAAATGCTAAGAAATACTACAGTATAACAAGATCATTATGCCTGAACAAAATTTCCACCTTCTGAAATTTCTGCAACATAAAAATTTGATCGATAGGATTTGGTTAGGACTAAGGACTGGAAAAACATGGCATTGGCTACTATGCAGTGATGAATCAATGTAAATATCTTACTCCTACGGAAGGTTAGTAGTGACCCAAATAGCTCAGTGATAATGTCACAGATTATGAAGCTGAGTGACTCAGGCTTGAATCCACTAGGAAGCATCCATTCCTTTAAGATCGTAGGTACACCTTATTGGAGAGTACCAACTGACACAAAACTTGGGTACGAAATTTCTCAATAATTACCTCAAAACACCCAACATTAAAATAACACATCAGCGAAATATGTTGGGTGAACAAACAACGAACAATGAAAAATAAAAGTAAAATAGCCAAAACAGATGATTATTTACCATAACCACATTTCATTGTATTCCATCCCATGAGAACTGAATTCAACATCCATACTAACCGACACATCATCAACATCAATTAGATTTCTCTCTGATCCAGTTTTCTGTTCAGTAGGACGAAGTAATTCTCTTGTTAGGACAGTAGTTAGTAGACCAGCACAACGACCAGTTAAAAAATGTTCTCTTTTACTAAGGGATTTGTCACCATCAATAGAATTATTAGTAGCGAATTGATGGAAAAGTTGCGCCAAGAAAATTATCACTGGTGAAACAAACAATCGCGTTGATATACTAATATTATATATTCAAATAAACAGAGAAAGTGAGAAATAAAACTTAGATTGCATTCATGACAAGAGATGAAAAATAGTAGTAACTAGGAAAATGTGTGAGTATTAGGCAAATATGAATTTGAATCTATATGTCACATTGTATGGACACATGCATATACATTGAAAACGAGGTGATGGGAGAAATAAAATCTATAAATGGATTGTTGCTTTGAGAAAAAAAGGGAGTTTGCAATCATCTAATACTGAGATGGTGGAGAAGTTTGTGCTGAAGATGTCATACAGAAGAACGAAGAAAGCTCCACGACCAAATCATCCAGCTCAGAGAACAAAACTCCATCAAAATCATCTAATAAACTAATTAAAATTGTACAATGTATAAACTAAAACCGGAACGTTTTTGGCTTAATTATCTGGAAATCCAATACCAGGTTGAGGTTATATGCATCCAAGTTATTTAAATGGAAATATAATATAATTTGGACAATTAGTTTAAAACCCAATCATCTATAGTCCCAGCCTCAGGCAGATTCCGAAATAATATGACAATCATTCCATTCCATCAGTGACAAATATCTCACTCTCAACATGAGAACTTGGAATTTAGTCACATTTCATCATATAATAGGTGGTTTGTGGAGTGTTTCTAATATGAACAGCTTTATACACGGACTGACATAAGGTGAAAAACATAGGGTCGCGACGTCTTCTGTGGGATCATAGGTGTACACTTTGGGCTTCTAAATTATGACGAGTGCTCCCTAGACTTCAGTGATTTTGAGTATGACTTGACTTTGTGGTATGAATTATCTTTAGATCAAATAAATCCTAAGCAACTACATAGAAATGCTTTGAAAGAAACTATTAGCCAGATGAAGCGAATAAAAGATCAAAAGACAAGGTTGAAAGAAAATGTGTGCATTCATCTAGTGTTTTGAGTTTCTAAAGTATTGCCAAAAGCTCAATATTTATTGTTGATACAATATCTTTGTTTAATACAACCAATATGGTGGACCTCCTGGCAGGAGATCAATTCCTGAAAATTCAGACAACGAGAATGTTATTTCCTTGGTCCATGAGATTCCCATCCCATAAGTGCATTTTGTGCTTGTTTGGATAGAATCAGTGGAATGCCTTGTCTATGTGGAGCGTTTTCATCTAAATGGCCGGAGTATATCAATAGCTTTCCTGAAGCTAGTCTTTGTTGTCCAATCTGCGTCCAGTGTGTTTCACTGATTCCAAGCACCTCCAGGTTGTATATCCTCATTTTTGCAGCAATTAGGATGGCTCTCCCGGTCTCCCACATTGTCCGGACATTCCATGTACCTATAAAAATTGTTGCTCTGGTTGTCAGAAGGTGCATAGGTGTCATGACTTCCGAAGGAACTCAGCTTTCATCATGAGACATAATAACTCTTCCAAATGAAGACCTTCTAACTCCCAGGGCAGAGTTTAAATAGTTTGAATTATTTTTTCTGGTTAGTGTTTTTTAGCGAGTTAGTTTTCTACGGGATGGGGTCACTAACCCTATGCCCAACTCCCCTCCTTTGTCCGGGCTTGGGACCGGCAGTAACCCCAGAGGGGCGCCACCTGCTACGAGTACTATATCTGAGTGTGTAGCTTTTAAGGAAGTTCAGAAAGTTTTCTGTAAAAGTCACCTTCCACTTCATCCGGGCTGCAGTCATTGGGAGCGAAGGCAGAAACGACGAAAAGGCAACGACATATGTCCCTGTCCTTCCGAGTTTTTATGGAGCCGTTTAACCGAACAGCACATGGGCGACTATTAACGGGGATTCATTCTAATGGTGCTCGTTCTGCCACAGTTTTTAGTGCTATGCTTAAACTCGCCAGTTCACGAGAACTAGCCATCAGGTAGCCAGATATATGGAGGGTGTAACTCGTCAGCTCTCCGTTTTGGTTAGGTAAGGTCAAGCAAATGACCACATTAGGATCCTGTATGTGCTTCGGAGATACATTGTACATCAACGGCACGAAATTCTAGGGTCTTAGCCAAGAAGACCTGCTGGCCGATTTGAGATAGGGTACGTACATTGAAAGTTTCTATGTGTAGTTTCGAGCGAGGTTTCAGTAGATTTATGACAGTATTTCGTGCACTAGAATCGTCAGTCATGATGACATTTGAGGAGGAAGTACAGAGTTGATAGTTGAGGTAGGAGGAATAATAGGAATTGGAGAGGGAAATTGATTATGAATACAGTAGTCTTGAGTGTTGTTAGAGGTATGAAGGCGGTTATCGCTTCCCGGTTTCCCACACAATGGAAGGGTTCTTCTATATGTACCTGAAAATTGAATTTGGTTAGAGTTGGTCTTAGTAACCTGATAGCATGACCGCAGTGACCAAGGCACAACTTCTTCAGGCCAGTCACACACAACCTTTTTGTGGTAACTTTTCTGTTAGCCCTGTACTTGTTGAGACTTTACCGTTGGAGACGGAAACACGTGGGATAAGGCAGGGTGTGCATCTTTAGGGTCGATCTTTTCTAACCCTACCCTTTCTTTGTAGGAAGGCAGCATCGCTGTCATGCTGGTTGTCTAAAGGAAACACCTTACTGCCGTCACATCCCTATACAGTCAGCAGTATGACTTTGCCCTCGAACCTTGGGTTTGCTGGTTTTAGTCTTACCGCTCTTCAACCGACCTGCCTGGCATTTTAGGACCTTGAGGAACGATTGTTTCAACCAGTATAGCCCAATTGGTTCATCACGACAGGTAAACCCAACCACCACATCAAGGTAGCAGCAATGGTCGGGGGTCGGAATCCGAACACGTTAACCACTAAGTTAGTGAAAGTTAGCTACAAAGGTGTTATGTAGGTATCAATTATCTAGTCACTGCTACACTAAAACATAGATAAATGAACTAGTGAGTGAAATTACATACAATATATTCTATAGGAGAGGGCAACTAACTCAAAGTCATCAATGTTAGCTTGCATTGGGATTTTCATACAGCAGGAATACGTCATCTAAACATACACTAATTTTATCAGAATATTTCAAAATATACGTATAATTTCGAAGAAATTTGACATAGAAAGATAGATTTATAGAACACTGGGTAGATCTAGTGACTACCACTTAGATTCATATGATTGGGTGGCAGATAACGATGAGACAACAAGATAGTTAATGATGGGCAAAATAAGTTGATAAATTATTTAACCACATAATATATTCTTAAAATATATTAGTTTTTCATCTATTAGTATTGATAGTAGCAACAACAGAAACTTACTCTACATTCCACTTAAAACGGTAAGGTGACAGCAAATACAAATCAAATGAACGTAACCAACAGCTGATTTCATGGTAAAACTCTGTTGTCGCGTTAGATGGACCAAAACATGATAACTGGTTAAACCACAGAGTGACTAAACGCTCTTGAGTATTCTCTGGTGGCGGCCATAAAAATGGAGAGTGATGATTTGCTGTTGAACATCTAAATGAATAATATTCAATGTATGTAAATAGTTCAAAAGCTGATTGATTGATTAGTTGAATCCAATAAAATATTTGATTATTCATATTACCCTTTGTAGAGGGATCATTGATTCCTAAAAACAAACGCAGAGTATAAAGTAGGAAGAAAATAAATCGATCCCTTCTTGACTTTGATACAAATACAGCGTAAACATAATTTTTAAAATTACAGCTGTGAGTGAGCTATCATACAATACTTAAGAAAGGCAAACATTAGAATGTATGCTGCAAACAAATAAGATGGTTCGAACACTAGATTGTTAATAGTTAAGTAACAAGTCTCAAACCACTTACCCTATTCTAGTTTGGGGATATTTCAAACCACTCAGTCGCATAATCAGACGGATTGATAGACATTAGTATTAAGTTTTATGCTATTTTTGTCTATTTAGCTACCCAACTGCGAGGTTCAATTATAACTATTTCACTAACGATCAAATGGCTAAACTTTGAGGTCCACCTCACATGCAACCAGAAAAGAACTGAGATAATGCATCGAATAACCGAATCCAGGAGAAAAAGACCGTAAGGAAGATTACTTACTTACTTAAGCCCGTTATCCCCAATGGAGCACAGGCCAACGACTAGCATTCCCCAACCCACTCTGTCCTGGGTCTTCCTTTCTAATTCTATCCAGTTGTTATTCATTCTCCTCATGTCTGTCTCCATTTCTCGGTGTAATTTGTTTTTTGGTCTTCCTCTTGTCCTTCGGCCTTCAGGATTCCATGTGACGGCTTGTCTTGTGATGCAGTTGGGTGACTTTCTCAACGTCCGTCCTATCCACTTCCAGCGCTTCTTCCTCCACTGGAATCTGGTTTGTTGTCTCCCACAGTAGGTTGTTGTTGATAGTGTCTGGCCAACGGATCTGAAGTATTTTGCGTAGACAACTGTTAATAAACACTTGTATCTTCTGGATGATGGCTTTTGTGGTTCTCTAAGTTTCCGCCCCATACAGTAGAACTGTCTTGACATTTGTATTGAGAATTCTAACCTTGGTGTTGGTTGACAGTTGCTTTGAGTTCCAGATGTTATTCAATTGTAGATAGGCTGTTCTTGCTTTGCCGATCCGCGCCTTCACATCTGCATCAGATCCACTGTGTTCATCAATGATGCTACCCAGATATGTAACGGTTTTTACATCCTCCAAAGCTTCTACGTCAAGTGTAATTCGATTAGTGCATGCTGTATTGTATCTGAGAGTCTTGCTTTTCCATTTGTTTATATTGAGACCTACCGCTACTGAGGCTGATGCTACACTGGTCGTTTCACTGAAAAACATACTATTTACACACTTTTTCAATTGTGCTTTAGGTTCACATCAACTAGTCCAAAGATTTTGCACCTGTTCAAATACAGTTAATACTGCTTACTAGTGATACATGAACCGAATTTAACTGAATAAAAAGACCCTCTCCGGATGTAGAGATAAAGCTATCCGATATCTTAAGTGGTGATTGTTGAATGTCACGAGACTTGATGTGAATAGTTCCTAATTGTCAAAATTATATAAACGATTTATTTGGTAATGTCCAATAATTAAGTGCATTTTTTGAGTGTTTTTTAGTGGAAGTCCTGTTAAGACTTATAGCTAACAGAAACGGAAACAGAGTTACGAGTATATAAAAAAATAACTCCATTTTTAAAAGCTTTTTTTAATTTGAAGTCTTTTGATGGAAAACATACTAGTTTCGATGTACATTGAATTATAATAAAAACAATTTTCAAACCTATTAAATCTCTTTTCACCTGGCCTCTTGATCAGATAAAATATCCTGAAGTAACATACTATTATATTGCATCGGATTGATGTTATACGATTAAAGGAAGTTCCTTGGAACGTCCTTCGTTTCCACATAATGCTTGTAAACACTCACCAACACAACCTATAATATCCTCTACAAAGAGTTGTGATCAATTGATACAAACACGACATTCCTAGTTAGTCAATAATATACTTAAACTAGTTTCCAATCAACAAGGTTTGAACAGTTAGTAGTAGTAGTAGTAGCTTTGCAGCCAGGAAATAAACTTGATTTCTATGTTAATGAGGCTTTTTGATTTTGAAATATCTCAAATGAAATAGTTTAGAATGAAAAACTGAATGATTTGACCCTGAATTTTCAGAGCAGTGTAAGTTATCTCAGAGTTTCAAGCATAACTAACTGATGAATGCTAATAAACACTAGTTCAAAGGGATAAGTCAGTTTACTGCTTAAAATTATCAAACGGTTATAAATAACCTACTTCTGATAGAATTGGATGTATCTATTGTAGAATAACCAATAGAATTAGTTGTTGAAATTGAATGACCATCGTCAATAACAGTTGAATCATCATGGTCATCAACGTTATCAATATTATTATTATTGTTATTATCACCAGTAACACCAGCATTAATAGCATTTTTCAACTGACGTTTCAATTGTTTATTTCTACGTTTACGTTCTTGTTTAAATTGTTTACTAGTTAAATTAACTGATTTTTGTCCATTGGATGAGTTTAAAAGAAATGCATAATTTCCAATTTGATTATTTAAACTTTTTTGTGACTTTTGTTTATTACACTTTATGTACATAAGTGATAGAGAATCAGGAGATAATTGTAACGGGTAGATTGAATAAAATTTGTCCAAAAAACGCTCCAATGATGTAGATAAATCTGGTGAACTAAAAATAATTTTTAAGTGAATAACACGAAAAAAGTAATAATCATTCAAACAAAATAATTCTTTTTAAACAAAAAAATAAGATTTTCAAATGAATATTCTAGAGGAGTATGGAGAGAAAGAAGACGTCATGCACACAAGCAAACATACAAGCACTCAGAGAAGATTTCATTTTAAGAAAAAAGACGAATAGGATGAATGAAACAAGCTTTGATCTAATGAGATTAAAGGTCTATAAAGTTGCTGATTATTTTTATATCAACTGTAAATTTGATCTGAGTGGGATTGAAGTGGTGATAAAACTTGATGCTTAGAGGAACAATGAATGAATATCAGTCTATGACGAAAATTGTTTCCAAGATGATAGTGAAGATAATAATCACTGTCTTATTAACGAAAAAGCAAGAATGAAGACAAAGTGATCAAAGAACTATCCAAGCCAATCAACCTAAACGTTAAATAAGGTCGGTACATCTCAAATTAATGAACAAAAAAGAAAATTAATACAAATATGAAATAAATCATAAAAACCAATTATAACAATCAGCGAAGACGGAGGTCATCTAACTGAACGCTCGATTAATTTTCTTAAACACTTCAAATTACTTATTTTTATTTATTTATTTGAACACATAAATATTGGTACAAAGGGGCACTGAAAACATATGCGCCACACAAGTCACTCGATTTGTGTGTCGGCTGTGATACTGCCCGAATGTCCAAACCGAAGCAGGTGGTTTTCTCAGGGAGCCACACACCCGAGGCTTTCGACCTAAAGGTCTGACCCACAAGGCAGTGGAGCATCGTGAGGAGATGCAGTCCCATAGTGGTCGGTGACCAACGAGAAAAACTTTTGATATCTGATTTCATGTTGATAATTCCGTGCTGTGCTAAACATTGAGTGTTGAATTAAAGGATTATACCTGTAATTTTTCTCCTTTCATTAGAACATCTGATTTTTGTCTTATTAATTTTTTTAACTTACATTATAACTTTCCACCACTTCAAAATCATCTGTCGTATAAATAAATGTTTGAATAAAACAAACATAGAAGTTTATTTAAGTTAAATTAATGAAAAGTTGAATTAGTGAATGAAGAGTTCCGTAACACCAAAACATCATAAATTAAATAGCTATTAAATTTATTACCTGTTAAATTCAATTCCTAATAAAAATTTTAATCAGACAATATTGCAAAGCAGACATTAAAACTTAATTATTTTTTTAATGACTCAGGCAAATAGTAACACACTAACACTCACATTTCATTTACATCCAATCTCCAACCGGAATAATCATGTTTCATACTAGAATAAGAAGTGAAAAAACTAACTTCTTTTGTTTCGAAAACAACACGCAAAGCACGAAGAAGGTAGTACAGGCTGCTTAATACTTCCTCATTCGGATTTTCATTTAGTTCTATGTAAGAAAAGAAGTTAGACAAAACGTCGTATATATGCTGCACTTAAAAAATGATAAACTAGTACTTGTTTCTTAAAAATGTAACTTATGTAGTGAATATAGGCTTGTGTAATCGATTTCCAGTCACACTTTGCATGAAGGTTAGAAATACTACAAGCTTAGTGAAAAAGAAGAACGTGAAACACAGTTCAAACCAGCAGCATACTGGATGAAGTAACGAAAGACAAATTAATTTATCTACTAGGTACTTAAGTGTGAGTCACACTCTCGGAGTGATGGCTAAAGATAATAGTCACCTGCCCAAAGCGAAGATAACAGTGGGACTCGAACATGGGATTTAATGGCTAAAACCTGAAAACCTTGACTACTTAGTCATAGCTCAACTTATTCCTAGGAAACAATGATGGTGAAGATGACCAACAAACAACAATGAAACAGATCTGAATATAGAAACATAATGATATACTAACAACATTGTTTAGACATATAAAATGTTGTAGACAACTTATTTCCATCTTGTTTTTCCTATAGTTCATGATATTCCCCAAACCTACCTTCTATCTTGGAGAAAAGAGAAGGCGAGATAAAAGTCTTGATATATTGTCTATAGGCACCTTTAGCGAGTGGGTACTGTCATACAATTTTAAACAAAAGACATTTCCAAATTTAAACACAATCTTAGGTTTTATCTATACATGATTTAAGCTTCACTAAATATGTCCCGAAAATCTGAGACGAAATTTAAGTAGAAAGATTCATACTAACTAACCATCCAATAGAACCAAGCCTTCACCAATCAAGCCATGTATCATAACCTGGTCATCGTAGTCCTCTTGACACCAAGTTGGAATATAAACAACCGAAGAATTGTCAGAAATCTTTCCGCTTGTAGAACTCTTTTGACTCTTCTCATTCCGTTTATGCTGAGAATGTTTATTATTCACGTTTTTAATTGAGGAAGGGAATAGTAGAGACTGTTTGACAACACTGAATAAACCAGAATCAAAAGTACGTGATGTAGGATGGAAATCAATCAACTCCTTGAGGTAATACCCCCTCAAAGGGATATACAGTTGAATATATTGGTTTGAAAAATACGGTAAACAGTATAACCAAGGATGATGACTTTGAGAATAACTCAGAGATACTGTATATTGATTATCTTTCAAATAAACCATCGTAGTTCGAACCAAATATGCACGATACTTCGATAAAGTTTTGAAAGTGCGCTGCAAAACGTTGAAAGACAAATGTAGAGACCCATTACAAAGTCTTATAAAAACGAGCATATATGTTAGTTTTCCACCTCATTTCACTACTAACCTTTTGGTGGGAAATGATAAATATTTGCTTGCTGTCCAACAAGCAGCGGTTTCTAAAAACCTTCACACATTTTAAGCTACTTATGAGTAGTGTCCACATCACTGCAAAAAACCAACGAATAGATTGGATGTAAAACGTGGTTTCATTCCAAAAACATCTCGAAAGAATGTACAAACGTACCTCATACAAAAAGCAAACACCATTTTTTCAACCTGGCACATATATGAATTGTATCAAGTTAACATAAGTGATACGAGATTAAAAAACGAGATGGATTACAAGAAAAATCGAAATAATGTCGTAAAAATGATAATAAGAGAAGTCAAGGGCTGAAAATATGGTCCGAAAAGGCTGTTGAAAGGTATATATTAAAGGAATACTGGAGTTCAAGATCGTGAATGTCACTGTGAACAATGCCGAGCCATGCCATCCAAAGTCTTCAACCACTGATTGAGGTTACCACGAATTCACCAGCAACAATCAAAAAAGTTAAGGAGACCACAGTCGATACCTTCAGTTCTCAACAGAATATGAAATAACACAAGGTAATTGATATTCCCCTACACTATCCCAATACTCATAAATAATTCCTACATTCGTTCATTTAACAGACTTTTCATATAGCAATATTAAATAACAGAGTTTTGTGAGACATCATATAACGAATGGTGGAAGTACATAATTACCGAGGTATTTCAAAAATACCACCCCGCAGGCAAGTTTCATTTTCATATTTGAGTATGGTTAGATTCATGTAACATTTTGTGTTCATGCTTTTCAATTTTCTGTTTGTATCTATACTTCATTATCTTAAAGTGAGTAGTTAATATAATCTTCTGTAACACAGTGAAATAATATCACGTCTGTGAAACTTATGATTTATTGATACAAAATATTCTTATCACACATTATTCCCTCTCACCTAGATACACTATTTGAATATATATATTTATCCTTTTATTTATGTGATGAATGCACTTCATAAATAAAATTCTTTTAACTGTCATCCTATATTCTATACCAAAACTGGAACTGGCTATAGAAAGTGTGTAGCGTAGATAAAGGATTACTGCTCGATTGATATACTGGAATTTCACTTGTGGTATCTAAAATAATGTATGCGAATAACCGGTTCAACGTTTTTCGAGAAATTTATTCAGCATCCACTCCTGTTTACTAATTCGTACCCGATTCATATTATTCTACATATTAAGTGAGTTCTGATATGTAATTACATTATTATCTCTCTCAACTTATGTTAATCATATTTATCCTCACCAATTATCTTACAATTTCACCTAACGTATAAGCTTATTCAAGTCATCACTTCATATTAGTTATCCCAACATTGACAATTTTATCTTACTTTAGATTATATACGATCCTAAATGTACATGCTACAATTTAAATTGATATACTTTGCTTTGAGCCTGATCAGTTTTTGGATTATTAATTTGGAAATATAATTGTAGAACCTGAAGAGAATTTATTGAAAAATAGATTCTTCGTTTATATATATATATATATATATTCAAATTAAATAATTTGAATCGTAAACAGTTTTTTTTGTTAAACAACCAAAAAAGCAAATATCCCAATTACTTTTCACCTTCCTTATACACAATTAATAAAACAATATTCTAAAGAGACATACATTCTGCCTTAAATTATTGTAGCATTGAATGATAAGATGAGAATAAGCTCGAAAACGTATTGACTGCTGAAGTGAATCGAAAACTCCTGAATAAACTGATTTTTTTCGATTGAATGGTTGGTACAATATGCTCATAGTCATTATTAACCTACAATGCAGACCAAATGTATAAGCAGACAGGTGGCATCCGAAAAATTTCCAAACTAGTTCATTTCTGTGTAACAGATTGAGAACAACCTGATCCAATTCGAATATTATATCCGATACCTTTGGGTGCGTATATGCTATCTGGAACATATATATATTGAAAAGTGGAACAATGTATGAAAATTGGTAAATAATGATAGATTGGAAAACAACTCATGAGAGTAAGTAGCATAACTCTTACCATTATGGAAGGAGCAAATCATAATATTCGCATGAGAAATTCTGTAATTCACTAAACATAAACAATACTAGGAAACTTCACATGAAAAGCCAAATTAACAACTGCCTACCGACTGAAGCCAAGTGCGCAAAACCACTGCACAATTTCGAATACATCTCCGAAGGAGATAAACAGACGTCAAAGACTACAGAAGAAAGGAATTAAAAACTAACAGGACAGCTGACTCAGTTCGTTCCATTTGCAAATAATATTAAGAGGGGTGTACCACACCAAACAGAACCCAATCATGACTAATATCTCTTCACATTTCGATATATCAGTAAGTAATTTGACTAAAAACTCGCAATTAGATATGTTTTTTGGCGAGCGACATTTAAAATAATAAATTCCCATCCAAAACAAAACACGCAAACAACCCATTCTTCTTGCTGAGCTCAAATCCAGTATTATGGCGGTACATAGTGACCCATTGAAACGGAATGACTTAAAGATAATAACAGCTTAGACAATAGTGTTGTGGAGAAATGAACAGAGGAAAATGTAACTCATGGGACCCATTTACGAATTACTATCACGATTTATACTTTTGTTGCATAATTAGTAAACAACCATATTACTGTATTCATATATTCCTACTGTAATTTCTCAGTGGAATTATTAACTATTTTTATACGATTTATTGTTCCTTAATAATTGTTAATCAATTATATACTGTTTGCTCTGCTCCCCTGCACTTATGGCACGATTGTATATAAAGTATGATTTCATATTCGGGATGAGTTGCAGTTTGATAATTTATCTATGTAAATTAAATAATGTTTAGGGTAGATATAGTGGATGGTTGGAATATACAACAGAAGTTTGACTACTGTGTTCTGTTTTCAGAACGAAGACTGAGAATCGACGAACCAACAGAAGTAGGCGCTATTTGCCACTCAAACTCAGTGTTATTCTTATCAGTCAAAGCGCACAATTGGTGGAAGCCTAGGGCGCTAGTGATAGCCGAAATGGTATACAGAAGGGTAGAGAAATTATAATCAGAATTCTGATCGGTTAATCGAACAAGTGATATCGACTAACATCACAGACATGACAACCAGACCAAGCAAAACCATATTTTGGGATACAATTTTTATCCGTCACCCAGAAATATTAATCACTAGAAAAGGTAAAAAAAGAAGTTAGACCGTAAGTTACTAGGACAAATATACCAATTATGTCTAGAATTATTTAGTTAAATGAATTCAATCGCTTCATGAATAATATTAGTGTTTTGACTCAAAAGTGATGAAAGTCTCATGGGATTGAGCTTAGGTACACAATCACTGTCACTAAAAACAGTAGACTAATCAAATTTGAGCAAAGTGAATATCCGAATAACTGACCCATGTCTTTTACACAAATCAAACGTCGTTATTAGAATGCTGAGGAAAACCAGCTAACATATGATCACAAAAGAAAAACAAACCTAACATTACAAGGGAATATAAAAGAGATAAATTGGCGAGCCAAAATCATATAATCCTTGTATAGACAAGTAGAGTGGATATACGAACATTATCAAAATTCATAAACTTACGTGTACAATCTTAACGAATAGTTGGCAAATCTCATGGCAGAAACGAGGGTCATCAACCCGTCTACAAAATCGCCCAAGTACGAATATTAAGTTTCCTATTTGAATATCACACCCCGTATTCGCAGTAGAACCCAACAATTTCTGTTGTCCATCGACTACTTTTGGTATAAAGTTGCTGGATACAGATAAAACATTTTTATCCAAAAATGGAATTGTGGTTATTCCCTTTGCCAGTGGATCCAAGAGACGATTTAGAGCCCGTAAAGCGGACTGGCGAAGAGCGCTATCTTCAATGTTCAGTGAATGAATGGAACTTTCAAAGATCTGAACATTGGTTCCATCCCCTTGTATCTAGGTTATTCATCATATATAATTAATAACTGTGCACACCTTGCTAATTTCACGTTCTTTAGGTAGGATTATTCTCTTCTTCTGCAAATTGATTACTGTCTCGTTGCGGCATTTTAATTTTCGTCCAACTTTAACTCGAACCTTTTGAAAGTCTTTTTTACTTTTCACCATAACTTTAAACAAAGGAATAGTTGACGATAATTATAGACACTTCAAGATATAAGTTGAAACGATCGTTTTCAACTGGCTTTCAATTATTGTCCCTAGTTTCATTTTTTACGAAACTTACCTAGTCTGATCAACTAGCGATTGCCAATGGCTTTCAAACAAATAGTAAATAACAGCTATATATGCAAGAATGTGGTTGCTCAGTTTTAATGACCCACAAATTACTCGACGAAATGAAATAAGATGGACGTATGACGAAAAAAGCGCTCAGACGACTTTTCGATAAATCTATTCAAGATAACTTAGACCAAGACTTAGTACTTGCCATTTACATGTCCATCGTTTAGTTGAAATCTTAAGGGTAAACAGACATTTACTTTCTAGATGCAACTATTTTTGGAAAAACCATGGCAAACAGACAAAGGAGAAAGGTATATGGTTTTGACAGCTTCAGTTTAAAGTCAATAGTAATAAAAAATACTTGGAATTACTAATCTAAATTAGGGACTAATACATAAATCAAAACCTTCTCACTTTGACGTTTGTCGTATACTTACCTCAGTTACATGAAGTTGGGATTCCTTTTTAGTGACTACAAAAAAAAACCGGCTGAACTAGTACATTTCATATTCCATATAATAGTGGAAACTGCTAAACAATTTGTTGGGTTTCTTTTCTTTCTAGGCTTCTAATAGGAGCAATCCTGCCAAACGAAAATTTTGATAAGGCTTACGACTGAACAAACAACTTGAGCAAGTTTGTCGGTGTCTGACAAGCCACAAACATCAATTATAATAAACAAGTTACTGCATGGTTACTTCTTACAAAAACCTACCTCGAAGACAAGTAAGACAATCCAATGCGTAACTTATAGTTGTTCAAATACGTATTCGCCAGTGACCGGCAAGATGCTGGTATGGATGTAAAGGTGTTTTATTATTTTTTTAAGAACTAATGCATACAGTGTTGTTATCTAGAGTATATCTAGCTAGTTACTTAAAGAACGATTGCTAATTTATAACAATAACTACTGAACGTACTTTGAACCTACCACGTGATTTGAAAATTCATCAACATCGTTCACTAAATTTTGACCCACTGAGATTTGCCTTTCACTACGGACCGACACCACATACAGTGAAGAGAGCTTAAAATACATACACTAGTCCTAATTTTAATTATAGTAAACCAACCAATTCCCATTACTGTCTGATGACCAACCTAAATGCATTGAAACCTGAAAGTACCTCGTCGCCAAACTTTCAGCTCAAATATAGTCCATTTTATGTCACTTCCGAAAACCTGTATGTATATACTTCACTGAACCACAACTTGCTTTTAACTTTAACAGTGACAATTTTTCAAACCCTACTATACTCGTTTCGCAATCAACAATTAGTAAACTCCATGATCTAAACAACACTAACTTTACCTGCTAAACACCACGGTACCGAAGTCTATTGAACATTGCCTCTTTTCCTTTCAAAATTTCATAACACTTACTATCACTGATCCGAGAACAGAAGGTAAAATTAACGTTTGTGTCCTTTACAGGATTAATAAAGTGCTCAGAATTTCCTTAATAAGTTAACTGAAGACATACACACCAATTGTTTTAGCAGTGATATGAATAGTTTTATTCCTGTAAATCATAGGAATAATGTTTGTTCATAACTTTAAAACTGTTGTATCATCATTCAAGTTATCATTAGTATTATCAGCAACCATAATGACTGTTGTTCGTGTGGTGGGAGATAAATGATATTGATGTGATGTGTTAATTTAAGTGTAACAGTAGGAGGTTATAATTAAAGCAGATTATTAAGCATTTAAAAATATGACAATTCTAGCTTATTTATACAATTATGATCTTTTCTAGGCATAAACGTTTGTGTTCGGTCTGTCTTAAAAATACATTTTTATGATAAGTTCATCCTGTTATATATGTAGCGGAAAATGAACTCTTAAAATAAACAGTTCCGTAAGTTTTGACTTTGATCCTGACCTCATTAGCTTTACTAGACGCGCTCGAGAAACCGCACCAGATCATGACTGGGTACGTCATGCTACTCACCCCTCCCAGCCACTGGTCAGCCTAGATTATACATTTCTTGACACATAAGTTACCCAGCATATATAGCTTTGAACCTTCATTTCCGGTTTGACTGGCTTTGATTTCTCTGGTCATAGTGCTATGGACAGTAGAGTTGTCAAATCCTGAATATCTGCTATACCTTTAAATCTTTGGTCCTCGACAAGGTTGATGTTGGTATCTACCTACGATTATATTCCTTTGATTGTATTGCTTCCATTTTGTTACTGCCTGCTTGATATCGACTGTTTTACTTCCCTTTTGGTCATGAAGGTTGCCACATTGGTTATCTGTCTTTTGTTTGTGCTTGCTTCCGCTGATTGGTTTGAATTGTTCCTTTTCTGAAGTGCAGTACATTTCCCGCTTATTAGAAATACCTATATCCTTGACGATCCTCAACATTTGGTTTAAATGTTATCGTATAGGTTTAATCATTCATCTTTGAGTGTGTTAAAATGACCTAACTCACTGTTCTTTCCTTGGTTGGAACATAGTTATTCGGTGACAAGTGACTAATATCGTAGTTCCTAAAATTTTTATAATTATTTTTTATGTTTCTGTTGTGCCCATTTTCGGAAATATTATTCGATCGTATAACCTGTTTCTTGAGACTGTTAGGAGTGTTAAGTAATGTATATCTTTACACTTATTTTGTATAATACTAGAGTCACGCTTTTTACTGAATACTGTGTTTTGGCTCATCGGCTGGTGTGTATTACATACTGCATGATTTGGTCGTGAAAGCTACAATTCACGAACATGAATCAAAATGGTACCATGGTCTTGAAGATGCCAAAGATATTGTAGTTGGACAACACTTTACCAGCATCACCTTCTATAATCGAATTGCGCCCACCCAGTGAATTCAGAAGTCAGACTCAAGAGGGTTAGAAGATATATTTGATAGGTTATCAATATATCGTGGATCGACTGACCTACTCTGGCTAGTGATTGCAGGGGATGTTGAGCACATTGTCTCCACTCATGATCTGGTGCGGATGCATGAGCCTTCAGGTAGATGAGTCTATTAAAACTAATGTGGTCAGCGTCCAATGTCGAAGACCTACACAGCTATTTATTTTGGGGATTTATTTACCGCTGCAGTCTACATATACATTTCCTTTACATTTCTGGTTTGGAATAAATATGGTCCATGCAAATTGATCTTTGCCGATCATTCTCTGCAATTATTTAGGACTTAACTAGCACCATTCCAAACTAGTACTGCACAAGATCTTATTCTACAGTTAAACCCCACAGCATTAAGGAGTTATTTCCTTATTGGTTTATATTTTGTTCATTTCATGATACATATATTAGCGTTAACCCTTTTTCTGTTTTCACAAACGTGATTATTAAATTGTTTACATGTTCGACCTTCCTTTCCTTCATTTTTCCCCTTTTTTCCTTGCTTAGAGTCAACGTGATATTCTTCTAAACTTCACAGAACCTGTTTAAATATGGCAAATATTATACAAATATCGCTGAAGCCTGTGTACAACTGCATTTTTGAAAAAACCCGAAATAATTTCTTTACACTACTCATTTACTGATTAGCTGTTTGTGAATAATAGTAACATATCAGTTTGTCCTAGTTTTTTAACTGTCAAATCTGAAGATCAAACATCAAATTGAAAGAGGTCACTTGTTATTAACCACACAATCTACGATTAATCCTTTCAGTAAATTCTAGACTCATAAGGAAAAATGTAATTATCCAGAAGCCACATATTGTTCTGCAGCAAGCTTTATTTTCGTAAGTTTTATACTTTGGTAGATGAGTTGAAAACATTGGATAAACTCTTGATTGCAGATGCATTGAGGCTAAAAGTAAAAAGCCCAAAATTCAACGTAAAAAAGCGAGATCTTTTTTCTGGAAGACTATGCGACGTCATCACATTCAATAAATTAGCACCAAAGAGTCCATCTAACCCTAGTTAAAAACACCAAAGTTAAGTGCTAAAGAATAGCTGAAAAATCACGCTAGTTTTCATTTGAATGCCGAAAATAAAACTGCGGACACTAGCAATTTGTTCAAAAATGGGAACTAATTATAACGCCTGTATTATTTACCCTTCTTTAGAGAATGCCTAGTTATGTGACAAGATTCAAAAATCCTTGACTTTAAATTTTTAGAGGATAGATCAACCAAAACACTCTTCACATGGTGATTGTTTTGAGAACCCATAATTTCATTATTCTTGGCGATTGTTAGGAACAATAACGTAGCCGATTTTCATGCATATGTCATACAACTCTATTTGGACCTAGCACACAACAACAGAGTTATGCACCGTCCCACCGCCCTTGTCAGACCAGGCAACCCAAAAGTCATGAGAACTCCATCAAGGCATACGAAAAACATAACAATCATTAAAAACGTACAAGTACCTACAAAATATTTTCTACTTAAGATGCTGAATGTTCATTCACTGGAAATCATTAACAACAATCTATCGTGGGAGAGAATAAACTAGCCTCCAGATGAGAAGAAAATTAGGAAAACGCTATGAAGTGGATAGGACAACATTGAAGAAATCAGCAAACTGCATCACGAGACAAACGCTAACTTGCAATTATGAAAGGAAACAGAAGAGAGGAGAATCAAAGAACACACTTCTCGGAGAATTGGAAGCAAAATTGAAAAGGATGAATGGCAGTTGCAAACAATTAGAAGGAATTGCACAGAACAGAGTTGGATGGTGAGCAGCCTATGAAACCTATGATCCTCCACGATGGATAACAGACGCACGTAAGTTAGCCATTGTTAAGGAATCAATATGTTGGTGCTAGGTTCTCATTCGTTCATTTAAAAGTTCAGTTCATTGGTCGTCCATAAATTGGTTTGTGGTTTCTCATGACTGATTTGATGCAGAGAGAGAAGAAGCACATTGAAAGTTATGTTAACTTTTATCAATAAACTCTATTTTTGTAGGTTTTTTTTGCTCAGTGACTGTTCGAATTATTATTACTGTAACCAGTTGAATAAGGGTTTTCTGGATAATACAGTTTATTGTGACTACAGTTGTTTTCATTTGCTATTAGTTTCCGTACGACTGTACATGTGTATTATTTTCGAAAACTTCGACATCTCTGTTGAGCCACAATAAACGGGTAACAAGTGATTCAACAACCCACAAGGGCAGGTTCGCTTATGATTCCATAGTTGTCTGCAAAACTGAATTACCTTCAAAAAGGTTAAGTGTAAGGTCCTTCATGTACGTTCATTGTGACCGTGCGTGAAAAATCCCTCCACGTACACACTCTCGTAATTTATTATTTTTGATATCTTCATCTGTACATCTCTTTAACCTCTCCATCCTAATCCAGATAGTATTAGTTTTATCTTGTTGATTTTGATTTTCTTACGTTTGTTCTGAACTACGTCTGCGTTATTTTAATAGAATTTTGTTTGCTGCTGCCGCCATGTTGGTTTGTTCCCTTTTTTGATCTTGTTGTTTGAACCCGTTGAAATCATGTGTTTCTGACTATGAGTTGAGGCACACTTCTAGCAATGGAAATTCCCAATGTCATTATATAACAGGATATTGCCTTTGAAACAAATTGTTCTATATCTACCCAGAAAACATGGAATAATACCCTCATATAACTGAGAATTTCCATTTATTGTATTTGGTGACATTCTTACATCGTCTATCAATCCATCTAGTTGGTGTAATTTGGATTTGATTGTTGGTTACATAACTAAACCATACTAATTATTTACGTTACAATATGCATTCAAGCTAATCGAAATTTAAAACTGTCCATCAATCAGGCACCACGTTTTGGATTTCGGCTAGGCAAGAACACGCCTATCTAAACTAACCTCAACAGTTATTCCTCATTACAAGCTATACCATATGTCATTGATCCACACCGAAAATGTGGAAAACATGAACAAAATACGTCGGGATAATGTCTAATTTCGTTATACCGAATGGAAAGCAAAAGCTATATATGAAGTTTGAAAGTTGCGGTGACATGAGGATGATTGAAAATACGGGAAGCAGATAGTACTCAATGAATGTAAAACTTTCTGTCGGGAAATTTGCGGAACACATTGGATTCAAACCAGTAAAACCAATTACAGAGGCTTATCAACAGTCAGTACTACTATTATAATATTTTAAGATACGCAGATAATAAGCTCCATACTGTTAAAGCACAGTAAGTAGAATTTGTCTGGTGAGATCTATTGACAGACTGAGTCACTCATAGGTCAGGTTACACTGTGAAACAAGGTCCCAGCAGAATACCAGTGATTTATGCACATGTAAGGGGAACATTCAATGCAGAAATGAGGGAATAATGTTTATAAGGCAGATAGAGGTGTTTCAGGAATACAAGGCGCATAAACAAATTTGTCAAGGTCAAACGCTATGAGGGCATATTTAACGAGTTTTGAAGCCATATATGATGCACTCGTCACTACCACTTATTGAAGATCAAAAGAGTGATATGAGGCTATGGTCAGGGAGGCTGGATCACTTGAATCATTGGCTTTTTTGTTCTTAACAGTGTCTGATTTTCTGAGACGTGCCAGCACAATTTAACTCCGCCTGTAACTCCTCCGGGGGCTACTGACGGTCCCAAGACCGGATAAAGGAGGAGGGTCGGACATGGGGTTAGCGACCCCATCCCGTAAAAATCCAACTCACCGAAAAAAAGGTTATCAGAAAAATTATTCACACCATTTTAACTCTGCCCTTCGAGTTCAAGGAATAATTATGACGTCTCATGATGAAAGCCGAGTTCATTCGGAAGTCATGAGGCCGATGCACCTTCTTACAACCAGAGAAACAATTTTTATAGGTACATGGAATGTCCGGACAATGTGGGAGACCGGAAGAGTCTTCCAAATTGCTGCAGAAATGAGAAAATACAACCTGGAGGTGCTTGAAATCAGTGAAACGCATTGGACGCAGGTTGGACAACAACGATTGTCTTCAGGAGAACTTCTGTTATACTCCAGTCATGAAGAAGAAAATGCCCCACATACACAAGGAGTTGCATTTATGCTGTCCAAACAAGCACAAAATTCACTTATATGATGGGAATCTCATGGATCAAGGATCATCAAAGCCTCCTTCAGAACAAAGAGAGAGGGCATTACAATGAACGCCATGCAATGCTATGCTCCTATCAACGACTACGATGAAGACGCTAAAGACCAATTCTACGACAGGTTGCAGTCAATCGTCGAGAGATACCCAACAAAGTACTTGACCATTCTGATGGAAGATTTCAGTGCCAAGGTTGGAATGCACATGATATGAAGACATCATAGGACGACATGGACGAACTGAGAGAAAGGAACGGAAATGGTGAGAGATTAGCAAACCTGTGTACCTTCAATAAACTGGTCATAGGTGGCACTATATCCCCTCACAAACGCATTCACAAAACCACATGGACTTTACCGGATCGCACAACACAGAACCAAATCGACCATATTTGTATCAACAAAAAGTTCAGGAGGACGACGAAGGATGTGAGAACCAGAAGAGGAGCTGGCATAACATCAGATCATCACTTACTGGTCGTCAAGATGAAATTAAAACTCAAGAAGCACTGGACAACGGCGTGGACAACATCACAAATGTTTAATACGGCTTTTCTTCGGAATACTGACAAACTCAACAAATTCGAGATAGCCCTCAACAATAAATTTTAGGCTTTTCATGATCTACTCAATGGAGAGGGAACTACCATGGAGAGCAACTGGGAGGGGGTCAAGGGGGCAATCGTTTCAACATGTCAAGAGGTTCTGGGCCAAAATAAGCACCATCACAAGGAATGGATGACTGTTGATACACTGGATAAGATTGAAGAAAGAAGGAACAAGAAGGCAGCAATCAATATCAGCCGAACAAGAGCGGAAAAAGCCAAGGCACAAGCCGAATACACAGAGGCAAACAAGCAAGTGAATAGGAGCATCAGAACCGACAAACGTAAATATGTGGAAGATTTAGCAATGACAGCGGAAAAGGCTGCAAGAGAGGGAAACATGAGACAACTGTATGATACAACAAAGAAACTCGCTGGAAATTACTGAAATCCAGAACGACCAGTGAAAAGCAAGGAAGGCAAAGTAATCACCGTCAATGAAGAACAACGAAACAGGTGGGTAGAACACTTCAAAGAACTCTTGAATCGATCAGCTCCACTGAACCTATCGACCATCGAAGCAGCACCCACAGACCTCCCAATCGATGTTGTCCCACCAACAATTGAAAAGATCAGCATGACCATCAGACAAATCAAGAGCGGCAAAGCAGAGTGACCAGACAGCATTTCAGGAGAGGCACTGAAAGCAGATGTAGCGTCTGCAAAGATACTGCACATTCTCTTCAGTAAGACTTGGGATGAAGAACAAGTAGCAAGAGACTGGAAAGAAGGACTTCTGATCAAGATACTGCTTCTCAGGAAGAACATTTTGAATTTATTCTTTTTCCCGTCTACTATCTATCAAGAAATCCTTGTCGATTTTAGGGGAGGTCCGGCAATTCCTGGATTTTCCAGCTCCAAGAGCAGTCTATTATATGGTACTCTGTAAAATGCTTTGCTGAAGTTTATACGAATAACACCCACTAACTTCCCACCATCTAGAGCCTCTACCCATTTCTGTCTTGATATAACAAGATTTTTTGTGCAAGAGAAACTTCTTCTGAAACCATATTGTTTCTGTTTGACAAGTTGTTGGTTTCCACGAATGTCATGATGGTCTTTTGATTATTCTTTCTAGCATTTTAACTACAACACTGGCAAGGCTTACAGGTCTGTAGTTTGATGGAAGTTGTTCTGATCCTGTATTGTTTATTGGGATGATGATTGCATCCTTCCAGTCCGTAGGTAACTCACCTTGGTCAAGTGACATATTGAATATCATAGTCACTGGGGAAGCAATATATTGCTCGATTGTTCCCAAGACTTTACGGTTTAATTCATTCAGTCCCGTTGATTTTTCCGCTCCTCAAGTGCTAAGGGTTTGCATGCTGCTGATAGACATTAAACACAAAAGAGCGAGACATCTTTGTCACTTTAACTGAAAAACCTGACTAAAATAAACATAAAAGAAGCCTTTACCTCTTAGAATGTAATCAAAGCTTAAAGACTTACTCGACGAGGGAAAGTACCAGTGCTCTTTTTAATTTCCTGAGATTGCAATGATATCGGGACTGTCTGAGTCAGCTTAACAATCAATCTTTGTCTTTTCACTCAGTAGACAGCACAGGTGTAATAGGAAGTTAATTCTGTTAGATTTGGAGTTTACTATTTACTACTTACTACTTACTGACGTCGTTACACAAGATTGCTATTCATCTAAACACTGTAGGGATTTACTTCGTTATAAAAAACCTTAACGATTTAAAAGAATTTTCGTCAAGCTTTACTGAGAGCGTTTCAGAGATGGAAACCTTCAGAAAAAAAGCAAGTGTCTGTTTTTCTAAATCAAGTTTTGGTTGGTTGTTGAATGCACTCAAAGTGACCTTGACATTTGATCGATGCCTCACGATGGGAGCGGTATGTTATTCAGGTGCAGTTCATCGGTATTTGTCCTTATTAGTCACCGTCTTAGGAAGTAGACTGTATTTCTGACTCCTTCCCCCAGTCTTTAACTTGAGACTAGATGTTCAAATAAGCCACTAGTAATCTTTTTCAATAAAATGAATTGCTAAAATTGTGTTTACTACAATGTGAGATAAATCTCACATGGAATATTACCAAAACATATATATATATATATATATATAACTGAAGTGTAGTTAGATTTTTAGCAATATTATTTTATCGTTGAACACAAACTCACCACTCGCCGATGAGGTGAGAATGAATGGTGAAATAATCTGGTAGTAAAAATGTTGCAAGGGAGAATTTTAAAGCTTTCTCCCATTTTTATTTTTTTTGCCTATCTTGCTTTTTACGTGTGAATGTGCCACCAATCATATCCTTATCGTATCTCACTCATGGTTTTGAGAAAAGGGCTCATATAGACAGTACTCATAGTTAACCATATATATTAGTTGCTTTTTGATTTCTACATCCTTTGTACAAGTGTTTTATGTGCTCCTTAGTCAAGTGTCTAGATATGAACTTCATAGCTGTTTCACAAATTTTGAAGATAATCATTAAAACAGTTCGGATTTTTATACATGCTACAGGCCAAATACATTTATCTCCATTCACTGATTTACGGATAGAGTTCATTTTATATGAAGAAGCATCACGTAGGTTGCCAGCCGATAACTAAATCCTCCTCATAGCCTCAGTGAGAATACATGTTTTGTTATGTAGTGCGTTATTGCGAGTTTGGGAATGCTAGTTAGTAATCGTGTTAGTTTAGTTCGAGACAGTCAGTTATCATCAAAATAGTTTATTTATTTACTTTAGCACATAAATATTGGTAAAAAGTTGCACCAAATATATATATGTGCTAAACGAAAATTGTCACTTCATTTTAATTGTGAGGGCTATGATACTACCGGGGTGCTCAGACCGAAGCAGGTGGTTCTCTTAGGGGGCCACACTCAGACCCTTTGACCTAAAGGTCTAATCCACAAGGCAGTGGAGCATCGTAAGGAGATGCAGTCCCATGGTAGCCGTTTTGTTCCTTCAGGATACTGGAGCCCATGTGCACCACTGGTTTGGAATCAGGGATTTTCAACTCCCCTAGGTGGATCCTCCATATTCACCAACCTGGTTAAAGCGCCAGACATTCACTTTTCATCCTCTCAATTTCGTAAACAATACACCACCACGAGAAGGAAGTGAGTAGGACTTCCCTGACAGTGGCTGCATACGTGTGACTGTGAGAGCACTTCAAAGGCAAGCCCTCCTCACTCTCGGCCGTACCAGGGGTCAAGTGATCGTCAAAAGAGAGCCCGATATGCTTGTGCGTTAGCTAAGTTCTTAAATAGTATTAGCAAAAAAGATATGATTGATGGAAAATGCAACGATAAAATTCGAAATAATCTAGTAGCCAAGAACATGTGAGGACTCAGCATTGAGAATAGGGCTTGAAAAAAAGTGCCGAGATACATACGAAGGAGTACTAAAATGTGAGAGCAACAGAAAATTGAAGAGTGAGTACATCTGCGCCATTGTGAACGATTCTGAACCATATCACTGAAGGTGTTTAACCATTGGTTACAATAATAGTTTACATCTCACATGACTCAGACCAACAGGTTATTTATTTATTTAAACATATAAGTATTGGTGCAAGGAGGCACCAGATATATATGCGCTCTACAAAACAATAAGAATGGGAAGAGAAAAGGGGTAAGATGCACATATAAAAAACAAGAGTAACGATGGGGGAAACTGAACTGTACAACCAGAACTCTTTCAGCCATACGTAATATATGTCCAACCGGTTCACTAACCTTACCTGAAGCCTTTAGTCTAACCTCAACATTCCTCATTTCGTGATCCCAACATATACGATCAATGCTTCAAAGGCATCTATGATCATATACAAGTAACCCATGAATATCCACTGATTTTGAAGATTACGTTTCATGGCTATCAATTAAAATAGAACAAACTGTTGCACAGTATATGCGTTCTTTGGTTGGCAAACAGAAATCTCCCCTGCTCCATAGATAACGTGAGTGGACTTTAGCCAACATAGTTTTCTGAATCCTTATTGAAATTTTGTCGGGTTTTGTAGTCAAACTGACTGAAATATTAACTAGAGTTCTAGAACTTACGTAATCCCATCTGACGTCTCAGTTGCTGATCTTCCAGATTTTAAGGAAGGAATAAAATCTTGTGATAACCACAGAAGGACCATTTTTACTAATGCAATGTTAGCCTTTATATTCAACCAGCGTTGCTCGTAAAGAGGAAATTGGGGAAGGATAGCTGGTTTCAAACCTTTACTTGGATGTGTAGATCAATTATTCATCCTTTGTCAGGCTTTAGAGACAAACATACAAACTTTCAGCGATGGTACTGCTGGTTGACCGATAGTTCTTATTGCAGTGTTTGTTATTGGAGGGTGTACCGAAGAGGCAAATCAACATTTTACAGGCTCGCTACCCGAACGCTATTGGTTGAGTCAGGGTTTATGGCGAGCAGTACCTTTGTTAACTCAAGGTAGTGTTCGTCACGATCCTCCACTATCCTCCTTTTTAAACTTCGTCATGGATGTATCTAGGGAAATCAATGGTGTACATGGGCTCCAGTATCCTGAAGGAACAAGTGGCGTATGAATCAATCGTTGATCACCGGCTACCATGGGACTGCATCTCCTCACGATGCTCCGCTGCCTTGTGGGTTAGACTTTTAGGTCAAAGGCTCCGAGTGTGGTCCCCTAAGAAAACCACCTGCTTCAGTTTGGGCACCTGGGCAGTATCACAGCCCTTACACAAATCAAATGAGATTTGTGTGGCGCATATATATCTGGTGCTTCTTTGTACCAATATTTGTGTTTAAATAAATAAGTAAGAGAAATCAGATTTTCTTTACCTGGCTTTCTAGGGAACGATCTATCAGGAAATTATTTTTTCGACTTAGAATACTCAAACAACAGTTCTCTCTGGCGAAAAAAGTATATAAAATGCAGTCTTCTGATCTCTTTGAGAGACAACGTAAGAGCATTTGGGATCTGTTTCTCTACCTTTAAATGTAAATTTTTACTTCAGGACTGATCTACATAAACGTTTAAGCTAGTGATAGGTGATAAACTATCTTAGGACGTCGACCATTGCACTTATCTTAGAAGTCTCATCAGATCTGGTGGGTTGGTGTTTCCCTTCCACTCATTTTTAGTAATGACAACCCACTACCATCTTGAGCTCGAGATAATCAGGCAATATAGTTAACGCCTATTATTTACCCCTTAAATCTATGTGTATGCGGTATGACATTGCTTAAGTATCAGTGCTCTTTAACTGGGAGTTTTTAAACTTTATTACAGAGCATCTTCTTGATCTAGTCGCTACTTAACTAAAATATCTGGAACGTATCGTCCTACACATGTTTTTGATTGTTAAGGTAATCTTTAAATTTATAGTTGATAATGAGAAATAGTGTAATGTGACTTAGTGCTAACTGCTCACGAGGTCCTCTTCAAACTTATGAAATTGGATAGAGGGTTATTAATAACTCAGTGATCAGTTATATGCACAAATGTCCGGTGCAGATATTTGGAGATAAACGATAGTTGTATATATCCGTCCATCTCATTTGATTAGGTTTAGCAAGTATCTTGACCGATGTCATTTTTTCAAAGATGTTTCACGCCTCAAGTGTATCATAGTTACTTAATATATAGTTATTAGCACGATAATTAGACAGTACTATGCATACAGTACAAAGTAATTTATACGAACTTAGAATCCCCCTAAAATATGCTTTTCTCATCTCGAAATCTGTTACGTCGCGAAATTATTGCGTTGCTAAATATTGCGTATTGCGATAGGACTACACGAAATTCCACCGATTGACCGAATTCAGATATCCTAGTACGACCCCAATACTGTTCTCCAACCTCCAGTAAATCAGAACACAGCCGTTAAATAAGAATCGTTTATGGGGTCAGAAGCAGATCAAAAATGATTTAGAGACAAGGCATATTTATACAGTTGAGATGACTATGAACAGTAACCAATGGAAAGAAAGGACACGTAAAGGTTATAATTAAGACAATTAAAAATTGACCAATAGGAAAACGACACGTGAAAGTCATAGTTAGGACAACTGTAAATAATGACCAATAGAAAATAACATGCGAATTATGTGAAGAGTCTGAAAACATACCACTTTACATTCGAGATAATTTTTGGGATATTCCTGTGAATGTCCTAACACCTCCCCTTTTTTGAAAAATGCGGAGGTGATATCCGGACTTTAATTTCTCCGAGCCTCTCCTCCTCCACGAAATAGTGTTGGATCCTCAGATGCCCAAGTTACCATTAATGTGACATCATTTAAAACACGTTTGTCGCATTTAACAGCGAATCCATTAGAACTGACTAGGTTGTGAGGATCGTCAACATTTGATTTGAGGTCAGGATTTGATTCTGCAGAAGAGTAGTCATCAGACTTATTGCGAACATCACTGGTAGGTTGTGGATCACGATGATAAACAACGTCCATCAAAACTGCGCTAGGTTCCAGATTATCATTTGATGCATGTAACACATTTTCTGGAAAAGTTTCAGAATCTCGATCATTAGATTCGATAGAAATTTCTATTGCAGAATGAGATTCGCTCGTTGTACTGCTCGATATGATCTCCGGTACTTTGTGGGCGGTTAGTGCGACAATTTCATGGGCATTTAACATGGCATCGTGTTGATGAGAGCTGAGAGCGTCACTGTTCGGACCTACTAATTCAGGGATAGTGGGGTTTGAATCCACTACCGGGCATGTTTCTGAAATGTATAGTGATGGACAACCGGGCGTGTCTTGCGAGACTGCTGTTTCGTTTAAGTTGCGGCTTGTCGAGGGTTCATGTAGGCTGCGATCATTTGCCAGCTCTGTGTGCAATTCAGAGATTAATCCATCCACTTCCGACGCATATGCGAAGCACTGGTGATCCAGAAGTTGTGTGCGTAATTTGACCATGAACTCCAAATGTCGGTCAAACAGCAATTGTAGTCGATCGGAAGGGAGCGTCATTTTTCACTTTTTTTTGTTCCCGTCGCCAACTGTTATGTCGATTATACTGGAACAGGCCACGGTGTGTATTAATAGTGAGTAGCTCTCTTGATTCTTCAGTCACTTCTACTTGTAGATAGGCATCAGCAAGGTCCAGCTTCGCAAAAAACTTACCGCCATTCAGCATAGTGAAAAAATCTGCCGGGACTGGCAGCGGGTAGTGATGCTGTTCTAGGGCTGCGTTGAGACCTGTGGAAAAATCTGCACATATTCGGATCGTACCATTAGCCTTCTTGATAACAACAATGAGTGCTGCCCACGCAGAATAAGAGATAGGAGTAATAACTCCTTTACGTTGAAGGCGATTAAGTTCTTCCTCAACTTTCGGTAATGCAGCATATGGTACTGGTCTCTTCGGACGAAAAGCAGGTTTGACCCCAGGTTTCAATTGAAGCGTTGCTTTCATAGCTGAGCACCGACCCAAAACAAGCTGGAAGACGGTCGAAAACTTCGTAACTAGTTCCTTTGAATAGGCTTCCGGGTCATGGGGTTGCTTTACGAGATACACGGTGTTTAACGGGACGTCCGCTAAATGCAGCTGGTCAAACCAATCTAATCCAAGTAAATTAAGATCAACCGGTGCAATGTACCCCAGTGAATGTCGAATCGCGAAAAGACACTTCACAATGTAGTTGGCCAAACAAACGTAAGTAATTACCGCATGCCGTACGAGGTTTTTGTGTTGTTGTTGCCATACGTGGTCTGCCCATTTTAATCCAAGATTTTTGTGAAAGAATTGTCACGTGGATGGGAGAAAAGCGCTTACCAGAGGTTCGCTTCCCACAAAAAACGAATTCTAGCAACATATTTATATTTAATAACTATCTTTCGTGATAGAATTTCCCAATCTTGTCTATACCTGTCTAGATGTTTCACGTAAATCAGTTACAATGTCGTAAATCGAACTATTTCGTCTGTTGCTCAATTTACTAACAGCATTTAGATATCTGCTACTCAGTTAAAAAATTTATTAAGTCCAAGATTGTTTAGTTTTTATTTCTAGTATCATTGTGGTATCACTTTTATCCTAAATCTTAGCAGTTGGTTTATGAGATTTTTTTAAAACTTTAGATTTGATGGAACGTATTCGGCAAATCGTCAACCAACAGAAGTTACGTTGCTTGGATGGTAAGTAGTCTAAATAATGTTAACCTCGTAATTAAGCAGCGAGATATACAACTTCAATCATGTAAGATGTTATATTCAAACATCTATGAAAACATCAGTGATATTTATCGGCGACTTAAACCAAAATGTTAACAAAAGTCAGAGTACTTTGATAACAATTACTGAATTGATAGATGCTCGGAAACATCTCATCAGTCTCGGAACACGATGACGAGCGAAAATAACTTAAATATAAACTGAAAAAACATCTGTGAAATGGTCGTGAGCATCGGTAGGCAGCAAAGGCAAAAGAGATGGAAATGATAGGGACACTAGGTGATAATCGACAGCTTGTCAGACTTATCAAAGAATCAGGTATTAAGAATTTGGGAGTTATTAGAACCATTTCGGAAAACGATGGAACAATGATCCACTCACAGGCCAGGAAATTAGAACGATGGGCGGAACACTTACAAAAACGATAACTGGTCTCCAACTACCCTTCATTCCCCCACTGTTACCAAACAACCTGTATGAAATGTTAACATAGGTCATCTGACACAATAAAGCTGAAAAACCATAATCAATTTAGAGTGACGGAGGTCAGAAGGTCCTGATGGGTTATCCCCCAAAAATCTTTAATGTTAGTGGTCCAATTTTAGCACATAAGTTGACTGAAGTTCGCTCGCTTACAAGAATATTATGTTTCAGAATTTATAAGTATACAGTGATTTAGACAATTGGACAGGTTCGTTCAGCAGGTCGCACGCAAGAGTCGTCCTTTCCGGTTTATGGTTTACACTTTTGCCCTTGCAACTTTCGCGATATGAGGTTGAGTGTGGTTCACTCACCCAAATAATAAATAACTTTTGTTAATTTGCACAAATATCTGCAATTAGACACAGCCAGTTATGCTGAAAGTTGTTCAGTCTACTGATAATAGATTTAACAGGTTCACTTTTATGTAACGTTTGTGACCAATAATGTATTTTGTATTCCCTTAATCATTTCAAGCAGGTTTCTAATCAATAGTCTTGATTGATTTACTTTTGTTTAGCCCTACTCCATATTTTTCGAAATATCCATTCGCGTTCTTAAAGTTGTGGGTAGTCCGTCAGGCAAAATATGCAGATGCAACTTCCATCTCATCAAGTGTGTTTTGACCACGTTAAGCATAGATCTCTAGTCGAACCATCACATCTCAGACAAATCTAGGTACCAGTTAATAGCTCATTTTTAAAATAAAAAGCCAATCCACAATCTCACGTTATCATATTCACATTCTATAATTTTTCTTTAAAACGCACAGTATTTGAGTATAGGATATACAGTCAGTGACAACGTAGAACTTCGTACGTACGTACATCAACTCGAGTTGCCATACCACATTAGCACAGAGATGTAGTTGTCGATTCAAATCCCATAGGATATGCACAGTAAAACCGTTTTAACTCCAATTTTATAAAATCTTATGTTTAATTATTAATTCTTGATCTCGGAGCCAAATCATCAGTCCGAATTACTTCGCCGTAGTAATATTCTCAATTCTTGTTAGAAAGCTTAAAAAAACTGAAACTGAATATATAGATTTAATTTTTGAGTGGTATCTAAATGAAACATATATCTCTTCGTATATGTTAAACTATGAAGGCTAGCTGTTAACTTGAATATACCTTCAAGTTTGAATTGTAAATGTGATTATCCTTTAACTGAAATTAACAAGAATATTTTCTTTTTTGAATCTGATGAGATTGGGATTTGTTCCAAACGAATGGTTGTAGTTTGCATATTCGTTGAACAGACCTGTGATTTGCCTAAATTATTCGATACTATGAAAAGCGTCTAGTTTACAACAATCGTTAAAAACGTTGGTAATTCACAACTCATCCCATCAGTTTCCGAACACGACGAAGAGCGAAAACAAATCAGATCTAGATTAACCAAAAGTCTACAGAACGATCGTGAGCAGTGGTGGACAACGAAATCAAAAGCGATGGAAAAGACAGCGGCTGTAGGTAACACAAGACAGCTTTTCAGGCTAATAAAAGAAACCGGAATTAAGAAGTCGATTGTAAGCGAGACAATCTCAGGAAAAGATGATGCTCTTATATGCTTTCAGTTCAGACGTTTAGAATAGTGGTCGGAACACTTCAAGGAGGAGTTCATCTGACCTTTAGCTGCTTTACAATTACCCACCATTCCCAAACAGCCTGAATGGAACATCGAAATAGGCCCTCTAACTGTAATTGAAGTTCAAAAAGCTATAGCTAACCTGAACTGAGGAAGAGCAGCTGATCCAGATGGATTAACTCCAGAGATCTTCAAGGATGGTGGTTCAGTTTCGACGATTAGGTTGACCAATATTAGCTAAAATCTGAGATCTAGATGTAATCCCATGTGACCGGTCTCAATCACTGATTGTAGAAATATATAGGAAAGGATCAAAATCATCCTGTGATAACCATAGAGGGTTTAGTTTGACTAATATAGCATCTAAAATACTGGTCTCAATAATTATCGGAGGCTTAACAAAGAGTCGTGAAATGCAAGCACGAGAAACCCAGGCTGGCTTCAGACCTGGTCATGGCTGCATCAACCAGATATTCACCATTCGTAAGATTTTAGAATATAGACATGCTTATCAGTGTCCGACAATGATGGTTTTTCTTAACTTAAATGTAGCATCTGATTCTGTAAACCGAAAGGTTTAGTGGCAGTGTCTGTCATTAAAAGGTGTACCTCAAAAGTACATAAACCTTGTGAAGGCTGTTTACTCGAACACTACCAGTCGAGTGAGAGGTTACGGCTAACTGTCATCTGATTTTGCAACCTCAAGTGGTTGCCGACAAGGCTATCGACTATCTCCATTTCTGTTTAGTTTCACCATAGACATACTGAGAAAAATAACGTTCTCGTTGTCTGAATTTTCAGGAATTGATTTCCTACCAAGGGGTCCACTTATCGATTTGGAATACTCAGATGACATAGTCCTGTTTGGTGAAGACGCTGATGGAATGCAGAGCGTTTTGGTAGCACTGAGCAACAATTCCAGGATGTTTGGAATGCGTTTCTCCCTCTCTAAATGTAAATTGTTGCTTCAGGACTGGACTGCGTCAACACCTGAACTAAGGATAGGGAGTGAAGCAGTCGAACGCCCTAATGGGTTGGTGTCTGACAAAATCTCTGTATGGAATCAAAAAGCTCGTTTGGCTTTTGCCAACTTACGTGACCTATGGCGAAGACAAGATATCCATCTGTCAGTTAAATAGAGGGGATACTGCTAAGCAGTTCGTTCTGTTTTACTTTACGGCTGCGAAACATAGTCATTAAGAGTAGAAGATACTCGTAAGTTGCTAGTATTCGATCACAGGTGTCTAAGAAATATTGCTCGTATTTTCGGGCGTCATTGTGTAAGTAATAGTGAGGTTAGACACAGGGTATTAGGGAATGATGGTAAATCAGTTGATGAGGTTGTAAATCTTCATCGACTGTGATGGTTGGGCCACGTGTTACGTATGCTTGAACACCAATTACCACAACTCACAATTCTGACTAGTATCGGGGATGGTTGGAAGAGAGTTGGGGGTGGGAAAACCAAAAAGTAGTATCAGTGCTTGAAGTCACTAACTTCTAGTCTGAGGCATGTTGGTAGATGCAGACTACTTGGTCGGGGTCCACGTGACTATCGTAACCAATGGTTGGAGACTCTGTGTGACATGACTCAGAATTGATCACAAGTGTGTGTGTTTGTACACTCTTTATCTACGTTCTGACTATTTCTCATTTATTCCTTTGATTACACAGAAAATAAATTGAACTCATCCTCAATCGCTGGTTTAAATTTGGATGATTTGATGGGTGATAATCACAATAAAACCGAAGTATCTAGCAAATTTGTCACCCGTAAAGTTGCTGAAACTACTGCTCCATCTCCTTATCCAGGTAAGTGAAATGAAAGCATCATTTTTTGAAAAGGCTACTTTTTCATATTTAAAAGAACAATATTCTGTTTTACTAGTCGCTCCACGTATTTGTTAAATAGTTGTAACGTTCAGCTTTTGTCAGTTTGGCGTCTAGCCTGAAGGTACCTTGTGAGCTGGGAAAATGTGAGAAGCAGTTCTTGAGGGAATCTAGAAGAGGAACGAGAAAAGAAAAAGTGAGCCGACGACTCAGTCAGCATATTGAATGCACTTACATTTAACAATGTAAACAATGGACAACATATAGAAATAGGACGGATATAAAATTAGGACAATTTGATAACGGAAACTAGGAGGTGGTAGCGTAGGGTTTCGAATGTGTTATATGATAAAATTTTGGGAATATATATACATATATATATATATATCAAAACAACAAAAGAAATCCGTTACGTCGCTGATGAAGAAATCAAACCAATTTACTAGGTAAAGTTTCTGGAAATATAATTTACTTAGATTGAACAATCCTATGATGATTTAATATTGAAGAAAATGAAGTGGTTACTTTCCAGTGTTTGTAAAGTCCAAGTATAACAAGTGATATGAAGGCTAAAGGAAAATCATAAGAAAGTGGAAAGGCAGGGTACAATGTCAACAAAGGTTTGAAAGTATCATAGCAACGTGGTTTGATGACTCGGATATTAGTATGAACAATTAGTTATGTGTAGGCACAAAACACTGACTTTAGTATGAAATTAATATCGCTAAAGTAAAGTAAATTTGAGTTTATTGAACTGAAATCATAATTACTAGGTTAGGTAGAAATAAAAGAGCTAATCGAAGATGTATTTATCAGCACTCAAACCGCATCATTGTTTTTCCATAAATACAATACTTGTGTTCTAAAGACGATTATCTCAGACTTTCGGTGGACTCAAATTATTCTGTTTATTTATCATTCGGACGACCGTCTTAATTCCTTCTATGTTATTTGTCAAGTAATTAACATGTAACAGAGCTTTTGCTGTTTTGTAGTTTCTTTTAGTCACCGGGTAGTCGCTCTAATGTGTAAGGACATAAAGTGGAATAAGTGAAAACCTTTGAAGAGTTAGTCTGGGTTTACTGTACATATCTAAATTAATAGACACATATAAAGATATGTACACCGATGTTTTTCTGAATTATCGAGCATCATTTCCCATATAGTAACGTCATTTTCACCGTCGTAAAGACTATGTTGGGTACTAATGTTTTTGAGTAGTTTCAATGGAGATTGAAACATGTTGGATAGGTGCAGGTGAGTCTAGTTAACTCTTTGCAACTCTTTCACAAAGCTCACTAGCTCGTAAATTTTTTAGGTAGGCATTCTTTAGATGATATTAGTTGAATCATAACACTTCTGGTTTTTTCAAGTGCAATTTCTAGTTATCGTTTCATTTTTTGTGAAATACTTGATTCCATAATATGCAACTTATTGTCAACCTAATCATGAGTTTCGATATTTCAATAAACTAATAAGATGAGTTTTTGTCATGGCATTCAATAAACGCATGGTGAACTTACGTTCTAAAAGATATAGTTTACTTTGTACCATCGGATTGCGTTTTTATGGCGCTAAATAAAATCATGTTTGTCTATTCGAAGCATCACCATTATTTTTATGTAACAGGGTTTTCTACTGTCAGTGGAGATCAAAAGAAAATATCTACGAATGATACATATTTCAGCACATGTAAATCTGATGCAAAAGCCAATATTTTAAAACGTTTACATGGTACAAGTCCAACAAATCCATGTATTAGGCACGTCTCTGCCAAAAGTACACGTTCACAACACGTTGATTCACAAATCAATACAATTCCTAATAATGTACATGCCTGGCGTCAGGGTAAAGAACTTATTGATAAATATCTTGGAACTTCATCTGGTTAGTGTTTGTTTATCTTCAAAATTATGGTTTATTTGTAAGATATTGACTCACTTTATATATCCGAGCACATTCATATTTTGTTTTATAAACTTGATACATACATAAAAGCAACCGATGATTTCGTTTACTCTATTAACAAACCATTTTTTTAATTAAACTTTCATTATCATATTACCTCACAGTTAATGGAGATTTTGCAAACAGTTCAGGATTTCTGTCCATTATTCATTAAGGAAGTTACATGTTCTTGCAATAAAAGGGAACTCAAAATAATGTAAATAGTATGTCCATCTATCTGTCGTTTGAATGGGTCAGATAATGATTGTTAATCAATCAGTGCTATGCCAATCGATAGTGGCTATAGAACATATTGACATATTTTGGAGCTACATCTCAGCATGTCACTTGAAAAAACTAGCTGATAAGTCGGTATAAGAAGGCGAGTTCATGTTTTCAGAATAATAAATGCCATGATTCGTCATTTTTGTATATCACAATTGTAGACTCTGAAAATAATACAACACTAGTATGTATGTTAGATATCTGTATAGTATTTTTAACTGGTAATTTTATCGTATTCCCATATTTGATAACAACGAGCAATGACTTAATCGATCGCAGTGAGAATGACAGAAAATTAGTTTTTCACAACCGCCTGCGACACGTAATCACATATGGAGGAGTGATTGGATAACTTAGTTGATTAGTTATATCTGTCGGTTATGGGATACCTAATGAATTTATTCACGTATTAAGTTATTGATTAGTTTATGTCAAATACTACTCATTCCAATTTATACAAATCCGGCTGTAAGTAAATAATATAAAAAGTGATGTATTCATGTATCACTTTGATTTATTTCGGCAGTCAAATAAGTCCGTATCAGCAGTCTTTGTGTTCTAACTACGCGTCGTTGAATTCGGACTTTTCAGTACTGAGCACAAGTTAGCTAAGCATTTCACAGTCATAACAGCTCAGATGCAATAGTATTTAAAAGTACAGACATAATTTTGAATTAGTTAGCTTGTATCGAATTATATAGTCAGTTGCGTTAAGTCATTTAATGAGTAGTTCATGGTCAGCTTCGTAAAATTTCTTTTGATGACCATCCTGGTTCAACTTTGGGTGGTAAAAGAGCTAGTTAGAAAACAACTTGACAAAATCAAGACTTGTTACGTCCTACATAATGGTGGTGAATTTATAAACTAAAGTTTGTGGAATGAAAATGAACAGTGTGATGACCTAGCATATGCACTGGTCACATGTATTTACATCTCCACGTAGACATTAAAATGATAGACATGTAAGCAACGCAAATATAACGACACAGAACTAAATTTCATATAGCTACACTTTACAACAATACGTAAACAGACTGTTTTATTACACTATTTATGTTTTCTCGAATATTTTACGGCATTTCATATTTTTCCATTCTGCTCTGGAATGTGACAGATCAAAACGGTTCGCTAAACTGGCAATCAATCGCATAATTTGGTTTCAATTTGAGATGTTTGTTTCATAAGAACATATTTTATTTTTCATCGATCAGGCTATACAATGATAATCAACCATGTAATATATAAATATATATATATTATTTGTATAAAAATGTTAATTTCATAAATTTCCTCCATAGAGAGTATTGATAAACATGGGAATAATGAAGAACAATCTCCAAAATTAGATCATTCAAGCCCGTTGGGATTCGATGCAGTCATTGATAAGAATAATCCAAAAATATTAAATTTAAACCAAAATGAACCGAAGAACACAGTAAATACGGACAAAGCAAGCAAACAGATGGTGAATGCGCCGCTTGTCGCTTCCAAGTCTGGTAAAGGTCTATTTCATTCAATTAAGAAAAAAAATGAAGTAAACAATCATTCAGGTTTGTCAACACTTTTTGGACATGCTTCGCATGATCATTTTAATACCAATTTTACACCTTCATTTAAAGTGTTTAGAAAATGGATTACTAAATCCCTGGATTTCAGTTGTTGATCGGACTGATTTATTGGGATTTTTATCAAATGAAATGTTTTAATAAGTACTAAGTTGTATGTTATGGAGATAAATGATAGTTGGCTGTTAATAGTGTGGTTATTATCTTATGTAAGTGATGTTTTTGAGGCATTACAAGTATGTTTGTTTGCAGGTATTTGGTGTAAGTTGTAGTGTAATGTCAGCGGTTATCGCCATTTGCTCAATCAGTAAGTATATTTTAGCAAATATAAATTTTTTTAAGGAACTAATTATTCTTTTTAGTATGCCAGGGCAAATGTAAGTTTGTTGTTTTTAGTTTATTAGTTTATGTGCAAGAACCATAGTTATCGTAAACGTGGCTGTGTGATCGAGTGATCATTTTTCCAAAACTCTTTGACCTATTCTTGTGCGTAGGTTAAGCTACTAAGGTGCATGGGTTTTTAGGGTGGTATCAAAATTGAACATCTTTTATTAATCTATTATTCTACGCTACCAAGTTATTCTACTTGACAATGGTAAGCGAGATATTTACTAGGAGTGCATAAACTTAATATTCGTATCTTATCAGGGTTTCTGCATTTATGCTATATCTAAGTGATTAGTCGAATTAAAATCTTATTTCCTCATTTTCAGATGCTCTAGAATCTGTGCAAAAAGATATTCATGGCTGTCCTACACCTAGAGCTCATCTTAAGGCCCTGGTCCAACAACAAAGGGAAGCTCGAAAACAAGAGCATAAACGGCAACTGGAAGCCGAAAAAGAGAAGCGTGAACAAATACAACGTAATCTGCAATCAACTGCACTAGCAGCAGCTGCTGCTGCAAAGTTACCTGTCACTTCGACCAAAAAAATGCCTGAACATTCTCAAGTTATCCCTGTATGTTTATTTCAACCGGTCAAAGCACCTGTATTGACGGTATGTTTTATATATATAATATATATATATATATATATATATATATATAATTTGGGTCGCTCAACGTTAGCATGAATTTTCTCACATTTAAGAAAAGCCATATTTTACACATAGATAGCGAAATAACTCGAACTGAAGCAAAGTAACTGCTAGGGAAACCTCAAGTTATCTAGCTTTTATTCCCAAATGTTAGTTCCTTTCTTGTATCGATAACTTCGGGGTACCTTCTTCTAATTCATATTTCTGGATGACCTTTGGTGTTTACTGATCGGTCGTTTTCGCTTTTAGTCTGCTAACTTTTCCATATCCCAAGGTCGTATTTTGTTGCTGTGTATACAGAGTTGCTCTACTTTAATTTGTTCATTATCGAACATCACGCTTCTTTGCGATTCTGTTACATTTTTGTTCCACAGTTCAGGAGGAAATGTTGGAGTGTTGTATGTCAGTCGTCGTAGCATCGAGTTTGCAATCGGTTCTGTTCGTATTATAATAATCACGATCATTCGTGACTAGAAATCACTGTACGCTCAGCTGAATCCCAATTATGTAGTTTTTTTGTAACAAGATCCCCCAAATCTGCATATTTAGATAAGTTGTTTTATCAGTAGGAACCTGTAAATATTAGAGAATATAATGTGAAATAGTAATTATTGTTTTTACATGGTGGGTTCTGATTATTTACCAATGAATAGTTGTCAAGCATAGTCACTCATTCTATTGAGATAGTGGGTGTTATTCAGAAAAATGAAAATGAGAAATATCAATAAACTGACAAAGTACAGTAGCAGAATGTATATTTGAAAGGAAGTTATGCAGAAATACATGTACAATTTTTAGAGAGAATTGTGCAAAACAGTGCATTGATTAACAGATAGTCATTATAAGATGGGATGTGTTACTTTATCACGTTCGAACTTCTAAATTATCTGATAGAGGATCGACTTATTATTATGTGGTAGCAAGAATTTAAACTCATAGTATACCTCAGACTTAAAATGTATTTACTCATTCAGCTGTAGTATTGCAAATGAACTTTACTGACAAACTTGCTATCCTGCTTTGGTGGTCGTTATTTCAAAAGAATAAAAAAATAAGTTCCATGGAATGTCAATGTCGTAGCACTCATTCGGTAATCTGAAATCTGAAATCTTTCTACTCGTACTATGTAGTTTTTTTACGAGTTTAACAGTTTCATGAACCCCTACAAATATGGTGTTTTTTATTGTCTCGTTTTCGTACTTATTATATAGGACGTGTATTTAACTAAATGTTTATCCTTTTACAGTTGAACTCTTATTCTTCGGAACGAGAACAAAAACTGGACGAACTTCTTAGACGTGAGATATCAACACCAGAAAATCAAATTGCTGATATTATTCTTCCTACGTCTTCCGACCGAGATTCCATCCATTCTTCTTATCGAGATTTTATCGAGACTTTAAAAGTTAGGTGTAGTTCGACGAACTCCCATGTAGCTAATCCCATCCCAACTAGTGAATCCAGCATGAAACGAAATCGAATGACTGCTGTAAATAAATATGAAGATATTGGCAGTAAGTAATTATAAAAAACCACCCATCTATAAGCAATTTTTATTTGTATATTTTTTATGATATTCCCGAGGTTCGCCTAGTTTAATGATGTTATATTAAGTAGGAAAATGAGCTTTCATTTGTTACACTTTACAGAAATAAGAAAAAGAAGCCGATTAACTGAGTAGATTTTAGTTGTAAATAAGTGCTCGACAATGTCGCTGAATAGAGCTTACGAATCACTCATATCATAAACAAAGGGAATTCAATTTATCGATTTAAATTAGTTCGCTCCATTATATAGTGTTTGTCTGTGACTAATTAGTTGTCGTCATACCGATGTGCAAGTTACCCGCATCTTTAGCAAAATAAGCGTATAAATATACACATACATATATCTCAACAACAACTGAATTAAGTGTGATACACCATATCCTGCATAATTAATATTCATCTGTTCAAGTTGTTACCTAAATCGAATTACTTTAATTAACATTACCTTATAAACTTTACTGATATATATATATATATATATATATATATATATATATATATACCATTTTGGAGTCATTTCGAATTTTTGTGTGTGTTTATTTGTTCGTTGCGTGCTTCGGTTTGGGCACCCGGGCAGTACCCCAGCCCTCACATAAATCGAATTATTTATGTGGCGCATATCTATTTAGTGCTTCCTTGTGCCAGTATTTATGTATAATTAAATGAATAAATAAATTTCTAAGTATCATTACCAAGGTTTGATTTGATAATTTCGAATAAAATGAGCATTGGGTAGAATTTATTCTCTGAAGAAATGTTGTAGTAAACAAAAGGACGAGTTGGGACAATCGAATGTATTTGAGCACAAAATTACAGAATATCTCAATAAAATCTGACAACAATACAGTAAACAGTTAATTTGCAAACTATCAATCAATTGTCTCAATTTTGTCTGTTCCTTCCGTAAATATCAGTCATTCGTCTCTGATTTCATTGTCCATGCATTTTCATACTGGTTGCGTTCCATTCCCGTTCTTTCCTTATCGATTTTCTAGCGAAATACATTCTATGCCTGACTATCACCATATGCTGCTTATGTGGATATAATTAGCACACATCACAATGGCTTACACTGAGTCACGAGACGTTAGAAAATCTAATTTTTCTACCCATTAGGATATTACAAATGTATTATTTTTTTAATAAATGAATTTGTTTGTTGTGCTTATCTGTAACAATACTGCCTTAATTTGAATTTCTAAGTAGATCAGACTAGTTGAAGTATACATATATGTAGAATTTTATTTTTCATTTTAATCAGCATAAAATCTCAATAACAATAAATTTTATTATTATTATTAAGTACAATCCAATTCATTCGTTAGTACCGAGTTTTCACAGCTACGTCTTTTATGTACTGTACTATCGAATTCACTGGAATAAAGCACTCGAGATTCATTGTAGCCAGAAAACTATATCGGCTTCTCTAAATTTCTATGTATAAATATATATGAGTGAGAAATGGTTCTACACTGAGTAAATAATTAGTTTAGGTCAAGAAGCTTATATTCATGAGGATAAACTGTGCAGCAACAGTTAACTCCTAACACTGACAAACACAAAATGATCGATGCAAAGTGGTTTCATAGATAAAAAGTGTGTCAATCAGTTAAAGAACATTTATTTTACAACTGTATGGTTGTCCGAATCTAGTTAGGTGTGGCGGAATTTGGACTTAGAACCTAGTTACTGGAAGTCGGATGCCTCGACCACTAAGTCAGCTATGGATCTCTTTATTGTCTCATATACGTTTGTTAGATTTGTGTTCAGATAAAGAAAAAAACATCATCCAGGTTGTATATCTCGTATGTACTTTTTTCTTAGTTTCTAGACCACCAAAATGTGGCAAGCTGAATAATAGTTGTAACCATCCAATACAGACAAATAACTGTAAACAAATGTTTAATTCTAATCCTCCGAGTATGGATCTACAAAAAAAGTGTTTGAATGGGAAATCTTCGCATATGAAAAACTTGCAAATGGAAACAGTTGCATTATCACCGACTAAACATAAGTTCTGTACGGTTGGCTCTCATACTACTTGTAAGTAGTATTATTGATATATTGTAATTGTTTTATGATTATATATAGCCATGTCTCAAACTGTTCCTTTCACTGGGGTGTTTACACTTTAACTAATAAGCACCTTTTACTGAGGGACTAAATGGCTTATTGTGTTAACTGATATGGCTTATCTACCAAATAAAGGGGTGTGTGTCCTCACGTGTGGATTGTATTAGTTTTTTATGCGAGCTAATGATGCCCATCTACCTAAACTAAAATAAATTGTTTACGTTTCAGACTTGTGACATATCTATTGAAAGGCTACTGATTTATCTCCTCTCGTATTATTGTAACGTGTAATTATGCATATGCCTAATGTTAAATCTACAGAAGCATCCGACTACGAAGCCGAGATTTGCATGAAAATCCAGGTCCAAAGCGCATTTTATCTTTTATTACAAAAGTAAATTGGCTAAAAAACCCCAACTTGTGTGGTATCTGCGGCTGTGAGCACCTTTGTGTATATGGGGTGAGAAACGCTTCCTTCACTAATTCTATTAAAATTAATTACAACATGGCGCGAATTACAGCCGTTAGTCAGTGATAGCTAGCGACAGTCATATAGATATTAGAAGTAGAAAATATGGACTCTAATGCATTTTAATAAAGTTCCATGGAATGCAAAAATCTGGAAAGTAACTTTTAAAGTGTAAGTACCTGAGTATATAACAAAAACACTTGCACGTTACAAATTACTTGCTCAAATGCTGTTAAAAATTATACTGATTACTTAATATTCGTAAGTAGTATAGCTTAACACACGAAAACGTTTTTTTATGTAAGTGGCGAATAGACGGTTTAAACAAAATTAACGGAATTGGCGAGACTATAATTTATGGACGGTTTTTGAATGGACCTTCAGTGACCTTGAGGAATTCCAGTTAATCAGAAAACAGTTGGTGTAGAGTAAAGATATTATTCAAAACCAAATAATTGAAGTGGATGCACTTCTTCAACATGGTTTAAAAACCTTTCGAGGTTGGAAAGATGCTTCGCAGTTCTAAAATCTTAGTACATACGATACAAGAACTCATCCATGTGACTCCATAATAGTCGACCTCTGGAATCGGTCGAATTTAAATTTTAAATAGATTTTGGCCGATTGTAATAACTTGGTGACATGTTTTAGTTTTAGTTTAATGCTAGATTTTACTGTTTCTGCGAAATTTCATAGGCTTAAACTTTATGAAATATACCTTAAAAAATTCATATCATGCACCAATTATTGTTTTACAAATGGAGGCTTAACAAATTTCACTCTCATGTTTGTTCTGTATAATCACTCCCCCCTCAACCTCATCATTTGTAACATAATAATTTCACAACTCGCTAATGAATTTTGTCAGTCGTGCTTTCAAATTTCTTAAAATTTTCTTATCAAAGGTTTTTATGAATTCGAATCACCAAAAAGGTCTCTTCATGAAGATACGGGATTTCAGGTTCCCGTTCCTTTTTCAGAAAATGTGTCAACCCGTCCGAGAACCAGTGTGGATGTTACTCGTCGTCCTGAAACACTACAAAAACGGTAAAAAACGTTTTAGATTTAAATGCATCATGGTTCACAGACGTTCATTTTAAAACAAATTTTTAAAAAATAATCTTCGTAACTTATTATTCGATACTATAGTTGCCACTTTATTTGACCAGTAAATGTTGTTTTGGCACATAACTAATTTACTGATCAATAAAGAGTTAGGTTAGATTTTTTGGATTAAGTCATCAACTATGTTCATTCAGATAATGACTTTCACGATATCATAATGTTTTCTTAAATGCGTCATCAATTACAATACCGAGATTACTTTTCAATAAGCGATTCTACCGATTTCAATAGGTTTTTAAGTTTAATAATCGTCGCGATTTTTATCATTTTCTTTACTAGTTTATCTCCTACGATAGAACCTATTGTTCCATATGCAAATAGACCAAAGACTATCTGCGATCATGTTACAGAAGCTGCACGTCTAGATATAAAATTGAGCGCACAACGTGTAAAGCACATGCTTGTTATTGATTCTGAAGATGATGATAATGATGATAATTCTGATGAGGATCAATGTTTTTATACAGATGATGGAGTTAATTCTTCAGTCTCTTCGTACGAAACAATTCATAAACCAACTGCTAGTGTTTGGAGACGTTTAGAAGCTGTAGGGGCTAGTGAATCAGAGTTGGAAGAGAATAATGTTTGTATCGTTGAAGATATCAAGGTTAGTCTATTTATTTAACATATTTTACAAAGTATCGTTCAAGAGTTTTGGTTGATTAAAATCAGTCACAATGGCATGAATCCATCTAATCCTTATTTTCTTAGATCTCGATCTTCAAAATTATTTTTTTTTCACAAATAATTCCTTTTTTTATCATATTGTCTTCGTCCAACCTTTTTTATCGTCACTGATACTACCATTACTTCTACTTGACGATTTCATCTCTTTGTTCTGATGTATTATGGCAACTTTAGCTGATACGCATATGCCTCAGATTCTGACTGAATAATCAAGCAAATATTTGTAAATATTGTATGGGTTATTATTATTTCTATCATTTTAGTAAATTAAAAAGTCAACCTTTTAGATATATCTAGGCATATAATGTAGCACTTTAAGAACCCAACGTATTTCGTTTGAGGATTTTTTAAAAATAATTTTGGCGTTAATTTTATATCAAAAAAGTACATCTTAGAAACTCTCGGCAAGTCAAATAAAGGTTGTGAAGAGATATTTTATACAAACATAGTAAAAATGCCAATTAATCTTGCGCACAGAAGCTGTTCACTTTCACCTAGTCGACTAAATTTCTAATTCACTTGTACTTTTTTTTGAAAAAAAGATATTTCTAACCATTTTTCTGCTTTTTTTGGTGATTTTCGTTCTGTGCTCGAGTTTTACTAAGATAAACCCTTTTTTATGACGCCTAATAAAAAGGAAATAAATTTAATTCGCTATTCATCACCAACAGTTTTGACTTTTTACATTGGAGTTCCTATAAATACTAGAAGAACTAAGTTGTGTTCTCAAAAATAGTCAATTTATCTTGTTTTAGGTGTCAACCATCAGTTTGCGATGTGGTAACTAAAAAATCGAGTTGTTAAGAGCTTAAGCATTAGTTTCATGTATCTCTTGAATTTTAACTAGTAATTTTTCGTTTTCACGAACTGCTTATTTATTTAGGATGAAAAACCTGTGATTGTGGATAATGTATCTCAGCATTGCTCAACTTTTTGGAAGTATAATACCAATACGAACAATTTCCATCAATCTGGCTTGAATAATTTTATTGGAGACATTCGTGCTAAGAATGAATTTCGAAATCTCATTTATAGTGATCCTTTACGTTTCGCTTCTGTACACAAACGTCAACAAACTCTATTTCATAGGTAAACATTACTTTCAAGTTCCATCGCATATGGACATATTTAGTTTTATGTTCACAGTGTTTAAACAAAACCTAAACTGAAATACTATTTATATTTTTAGAAGAGGAAAGAAACCTTTTAAATCTTTGGAACCACAAGTAAACAGTATAGAAAAGGTAGAAGTTTACGAAAAGGACTATACAAACAGAAGTAGTTCACTTCATTCTCCTCGAGAGAAGATTGATAAAGAATCACTAGTTGTCAAATCGAATGCTCCCGGTAATACCAACATTCAAGCAGTTAATGTGAGTCAGATTATCATTAACAATATCAAATGGGTTCGTATCAAGACTCATTGTATTGAATTTTACAATTTATTTGATTTCCTTTTTTTTAATCCTCATTAGGTGGAATGTACAGACTCTGGAGATCGGAGTTCATCATCACATACTGCCTGTTCCATCAGGACGAAAGCACAAGAGTTATTTATAACAGATGATAAATCTGATTCCCAGGCACTCCCTACGAATCATCAAAAGATTAATAATTTTATAAATAAAACTATAAACCCTTCGCAACTTAGGCTAACACCCGCTGCACTTAATCTCCAGTTAGCCGTTGAAATGAATTATCTTGAAACGCTCTCTGGTTCAATGCAACATATTGCTGATATGGAGTCTCTTCGTCAGATTACCGCTGCTCAAGCTGAATGTGTTAGCCTTGCACAATTGCTTAAAGTGAGTAATATTTTTTTAAAAGTATCTCACCATGACGACATCTTGAGGAGTCACGTCTTGAAATTTCCCTTTAATGAGTACTAACATACTGAGTGTATGATGTTAACTGTTTGGATTTATTCAGGACACTACTGTTTGTCGTTCTTTATTTAACTCAACCATTGTATGTACTTTTCTGCGAACACGATCTATGTGACCATTTACGTTAATTACTTATAACAGATTAATTGACAGTTAACGACGTACTCATATGTTACTGAACTTGAATAACAAGTTAATTTGTACAATTTTTTGAGACAAGTGTAAAATAACATGTAGAATTAAATCACATACCAAAAGTTGTTGCCTTAAAAATAATGCATCCCATTTTTCAAAAAATTTAATCTGTCATCACTGGTAATGATGAAATCACGTCTTATTGGTAAAGAAAATTATCAACATTGAAATCTTGTATTATTACAATATTTCTTTATAATATACCAGTAAAGTTTATTCTTCTTAACCTAATCAAGGCTCGTGAATTGCAGATATCATCAAAGATTAGTGATTATGCGTTGGAGAAAGAAACACCAGGTGTATTTGTCAGCCCTAATGAACCAGGTCGTCTGATTTCTGGCGTACATTCACCACAGTTTGAAAGTGTACTAAAAGCTGCTGAAGAATTTGATAAGGTATTTTCTCGTAATATATGTTTTCTCATTTACCAGTTCGTATATATTTGTGTATACACTGTGAGAGACAAGGCCTTTTTTGTTTATTTTAAACCGTAATGAGTTTAGTAAGGGTTAAATCGTTAGTACTAAGAATTAGGAGAGGGCAAAAACCATGATGTATTACGTAACGTTGGTTTCGATGGTCAAACTTTGGAGTAATAACAATTTAGCGTAACGTTCACATCACAACCCACCTACGTTGACTTGAGCAGTTGATTGTTGTCACTAGTTCCTCCTTGCCCTACCACACTATGTACCTCAACGTCAAGTGCCTAACCATTGTGCTCGATATATGATTTATTAACATTTAAGTTGTCTATTCACAATAGAGCAATTCCTTCAACAGCATGTCTAATTAAACAAATGATAGTAATTCTATGGAGAAGTTCTGGAAGATGTGGAAACTTTCACGTATCTGGACGGCATCACCGATAAACAAGGAGCATATGATACAGATGTTAAGGCAAGGATTGGCAAATCAGTGGCAGCATTCCCACAACATATGGAACTCAAAACAACTATCAGTCAACATCAAGGTCAGAAGTTTCAATACAAACATCAAGACACTTCTATTGTACTGAGCTGAAACTTGGAGAACTACTACAACCTTCATCAAAAATGTACAGATATTTATAAACAATTTGGAGAACACTGTGAAGGTGGATAAGTTATAAATTAGGGAAATCATCAGACTGCATCACGAGACAATCCCTAACATGGAATCCTGAAGACAAAAATAGAAGGGGATGACTGAAGAAAACATTGCGTTCGGAATTGGAAACAGACATCAGAAGAATGAATAATAATTGAAAACAACTGGAGAGGAGAGACCATGACAAAGTTAAGTGTAGGATACTGGTGGGAGACCGATGGTCTTCCACGAGGGGTAACAGCAGTAAGTATGTTAGTATGTTAAATAAGTAATTCAAACTACCTTGGAGAATAAACTCTAGCTTATTCTTGAGCATATTTTATTTATTTTTCTATTATAATTCTTCGTTTAATTCTAAATTTTTGTTTTCGTCATTTAGGTCGAACGTCGTCTTAGTGTAAGGACTTCACACTTGGATGCCATTTCCTACTGTTCTACCGAATCGCCATCTGTCGACTCAAATATCACAAATGAAGCAAATGTTCATAAATCTTTAAATGGATCTATTTCAGGTACTGTATTTTGTAAAGATGACGAGTATCATGTCTAAATATGCTTATTTTTTAAATAATGGTCTGTTCGTACTGTTTGTTAAATTTATTTCGTCATAATCATTATTATTTTTTAACTACATTTCACTGTGAGGGGATTTTGATGATTATACAGAATCTTCCTTTTTCGATAAACCATTTTTAAATCATTCTATTTATTTCCGTTTTAGAATCCAATGTAAACAAACAACAATTTTCTACAGGAAGCGATAAAACACTTTCAAATGATAACGTCATTAAATCGATTTCAGGAGGTGTTGTAACGGCTTCTGATTCGTCTGATGAACCTTGTCGTCCTATCCCTACTAGCTCTACTGTTGCTTCTATGACTACAATTGATAAAGTTTCTGAACCAGGAAAATTGACTGTCATATCGTCATCATTATCGCCCAATCTAAATAATTTCATTAATATTGAAAAAAAGTTAGAAGTAGGTAGTTTTTTCTCATCTGATTAAATATTTGATGTTTTTTCTTAAACTTTAATTTAGGAAGGTTGTTTAATTATTTAGATTTATATAATAATAATAAAACTTCTTATGTAAATCATGATCACATGGGACTTTTTAAAAAACTTTTTTCTAAATTTAATATTAGTTAAGAATGGTTTTCTTAGACATTGTTTCTTTCACTTCTGTTGTTAGGAGTTTGAAGTTAAACTAAACTTCACAATGTTTTGAAAGTTGCTTAACCATCCATTTTAAGTACAAATATTTAGTTTTTAATATTTTAAATTTATATATAATTCGTGAGCCAGCTACAACGTAGGACCAGTCACATTTATGCATCAGTCCAAGTTGCCATACCTCGTTACCACAACAAGATGACATGACTCAGAGTATATATAATTCGATAATTAATTAATGTATATTTAAATGAGACTTTTGTAGTTTCTACTCATCTTTTCTTAGTCAATTAATTCTATTTAATTTTAATTAATAAAGAAAAAGAAGAAAATATCAGTGGATTTTAGTGGTGATGATGATGAATCTATGAAATCATATGGTAAAGTTACCAATGGAGAACATCAGAGAAAATCAAATGATCAAGTGCTCATTAAACGGAAAAAATTAAAACGACATTCGCGAAACGAAAAATCACATATAAAATCGACAGATATTCCTATGCTAAATCTATGCGTCGCCATGTCGCCTAATAGCTCTTGTCAAACTGAAAGGAATGAAAAATTCAGTCAAGTAAAATAGTAAGTTAATTACATTTTAAAATGTTTATACTACCTGCAGTTTAGTTGTTTAAACAAATAGTAATTATCATTGTTGAAAGCGTGAGTCAATTGAAGCTAGACCACCATGGAAAACCTGGAAACACTGGACGGCCGTTTCGTCCTATTATGGGACTCCTCAGCAGTGCGCATCCACGAACCTGCTCTCGCGAGCGAGATTCGAACCCAGGACCAACCAGTCTCGAGCCGAAGCCCTTAACCGATAGACCACTGAGCTGGCATCCAGTTGAAGTTAGACATTAACACCGTTGGATGCCAGCTCAGTGGTCTATCGGTTAAGGGCTTCGGCTCGAGACTGGTAGGTCCTGGGTTCGAATCTCGCTCGCGAGAGCAGGTTCGTGGATGCGCACTGCTGAGGAGTCCCATAATAGGACGAAACGGCCGTCCAGTGTTTCCAGGTTTTCCATGGTGGTCTAGCTTCAATTGACTCACGCTTTCAACAATGATAAATACTAAATCTCCACAAAACCCCTTCTATAATTAATATAATAATATGCTCACTAGTGATTTCGAGAAGTATATCTAGGAGCTCTAGTGAGAAGCAGTGACCAGTGGAGTTCAAAACCACGTCTGTTGTGAGATAGGAACTCACTGAAGACAATTGGTGAATGGTTGCTCAACTTCGTGGATCAGTTGAAGTTAGACATTAACACCGTTGGATGCCAGCTCAGTGGTCTATCGGTTAAGGGCTTCGGCTCGAGACTGGTAGGTCCTGGGTTCGAATCTCGCTCGCGAGAGCAGGTTCGTGGATGCGCACTGCTGAGGAGTCCCATAATAGGACGAAACGGCCGTCCAGTGTTTCCAGGTTTTCCATGGTGGTCTAGCTTCAATTGACTCACGCTTTCAACAATGATAAATACTAAATCTCCACAAAACCCCTTCTATAAAATAGTAATTACAATGTAACTCACTATGTATTATATTCTTGCAATCAGTTATAGTCTATACTTTTGTGAGAGGTATTCATAATCTAATAGAGATGTTACTTTAGTATTCCTTTATATCATTTGTTTGATGTTTATTGGTTAATCGTCAGGGTTAACAGACGTTCTGATGTAAGTATTCCTTATGATCTCTCATAACACATCGATATTTAATAACCTAATAGCTGTACCATTCATCTTTCATTTTCTTCGGCTATCGGCCACGCCACTGAAAAATTGAATGGCAGCCTATGTTTCAAGCTTTTTTGAAAGAATATGATAAAGTACAATTGTTCTGTTGTAGATGCTTGGTTCACGTTGGAATTTTTCTATTTCGTATGACTTAGTGGTGATTTGTGGATCAGAAGAGTATGCTTCGTAGTGTTAGGATCTCCAGGATGGAATTTGTGGAGACTATGGTGTTTAGCAAGAACAATAATAATAGCGCCACAAATAAACCATCAAACCACTGAAGAATGCTAATCATGTTACTTGAGTGCTTAAACTGAAACAGGTAATGTGATGTTAGAATTTAAGATTCAATGATTTAGACATTCATCTTGAAGTCATTCGATCACATCTTTCCATATTTCGTATTTTAATTATTACTTGTTATGTTTGTTATTTATCAGTTTATTAACTCTTGATTTCAGTGCTTTGAATAAGCGTGTAGCGGCTTTACAATCTAGGCGTAAGAAAGCTGAAGAGCTTTTAGCGCTTTCCAAAAATATTGAACTCGAAGAGGTCGAAGTTATTCGCTTAGAACGTGAAGCATTGAACGTAAGTATTGTGTTTTCTTATTGCGATAACTTTTTAGGAAACTCATCATGCTCTTTTTCATATACTTTATTGATTCATATTAATTGTGAGATGATGATAGTTTGTGTTAAGCTTTCGGCATCAGTGTTGTAGCCTTATTACTGGGATTTATCAAAACGTTCGAGTTATTCGTATTTCACAAATGTAATTATTCATGCCATCAGTTCTTATGTTACCTAACTGTTATCAAAAGAAGTAGTGTCTTATTGCATGCGATTCGGTCTTATTTATCGATCCATCATATTTTTTAAATACATCCAATTGTATTGTTACGTTATCAAGAACTATGAACATAGGTTTTATCATAATTTTAGTAAATTTTAATTACTTTTTTAGCACCATCTCCAATGCCATGAAACATCGAGTTGTAAAGCGAAGTGTTTGGTGTAATGTTTTTGAGTTGTGTAGATTTCTTAGAGTTTTCTTTTTGTTTTTTCATATCTAATTAGGCAATCCAAAGTAAACGTTTAGCTTTGCATGAAAATCGGTCCCAGTTATCAAATGATAATGAATCAAAAAAATATTCAACATCTAGTCATTGGTCGAAGAATAGCAACTCTAAACATTGGAGATCGAATTCTCATTCACCGGTTTTTCAACGTTCCAGTTATTCACAATATAGTGATGAACTCGGTTTAGAAGAGCCCGGTGATGACAAAACTAATTCTGAGCGAATTCCTACAGCTTCTTTGGGCAAAAGTTCTAGCTTGTTAAAATGCAATATAATCAAGTATGCTGTTCCAATAAAATGAATTTATTATAGTCTGAGTTATAATACATACTTACTGCTGTTACCACTCGTGGAGGGGCATCAGTCTCCCACCGGCATCCTCCACTGAACTCTGTCATGGTCTCTACTCTCCAGTTTTTTTCAATTATTATTCATTCTTCTGATGTCAGCTTCCAATTCTTAACGCAATGTTTTCTTCAGCCATTCCCTTCTACTTTTGTCTTCAGGATTCCATGTTAGGGATTGTCTCGTGATGCAGTGTATAGTGACAAGTCCCGTTCAATTTATTGTTCAACGATGGTCCGTTGTGTCGCAATTTGGTCTGTGCATCACCGATCTTTACGGAATCCGGTCTGTTGATGTGGATTCTGGACGTCTATTAAATATTTCATCCCGTTAAACAACTCTCTGTTGGAAACTTTTGTTGGTACCGATAGTAGTGTAATGCCTCTAGTTTTCGCATTTGCCTAGATCCTTTTTTCTCTGCTATCCTGATGAAATACCCTTCTTCGCATCCTGTCGGTGCTTGTTCTTCCTCCCAAATCTTTCTGAATAGAACATGGAGCATGTTTGCAGTTATTTCTGTCTGTCTTTAGTGCTCTTGCTGATATATTGTCAGGTCCTGCTGCTTTCCCACTCTTGATTTTTCTGATTGCCATCCTGATTTCTTCGATCTTAGTGGAGTGACATCTATAGGAAAGTGCGTGTGCTGCTTCGACTTCCAATAGGTGCAATGGAGCTGGCCTATTCAAGGGTTCATCGAAGTATTCTACCCATCTGTTCCTCTGTTCTTAAACCTCGGTGATTGGCTTGCCCTTCTTGTCCTTGACTGGTCTCTCTGTTCTATTATATTTCCCTTCCAGTTTCTTCATCGTGTCACATAGTTGTCTCGTATTTCCTTATGTTGCGGTTTTTTTCGTTGTTGTTGATAGGTGTTCGACGTATCTCTGCTTGTCAGCTTTAAAGCTGTTCTTCACTTGCTTGTTCGCTTCTGTGTATTCGTTGCGTGACCTGGCCCTCTCTACTCTTGTAGGACTGTCATTAATTACTGTATTCGTGTTCTTCCTTCCTTGAATCTTGTCAAGGGTTTCGATAGAAATTCATGATGATACTTCTTCTTGCGACCCAGCACCTCTCACAACGTTGCAGTCGGCTTTTCTTTAGTCCCTTTACAGTTGTTTTCCATGGTTGTTTACCTCTTCTTTGAGTAGAAATTGTAAGGCTTTGAAACTGTTGTTAAGGCCTATCTTGAATTCGTTGAGTTTGTCAGTATGTCAAAGGGAGGCTGTATTGAACCTTTTTAATGTTATTTTTTCAGTTGTCCAGTACTTCTTTAACTTCAGTTTCATCTTGGAAACTACCAGGTGGTGATCCGAAGCTGTGTCAGCTCATTTTCTGTTTCTCATGTTTTCCACTCATCATCTGATTTCTTTACTGATGCAAATATGATCAAGCTGACTCTCTGTAGTGTGATTTGGTGAGACCCATGTAGCTTTGTGTATGCGTTTTCGTTGGAATGTTACGTCGCCTACAACCGATTTTTTGAATGCATAAAGATTTGAGAATCACTTACCATCCTCGTTTCATTGTCCTTGTCAGTCCATTTCGTTCTATGATGTTGTCATACTCAGTGTTGTCCATCCCGACTTGGGCGTTTAAGTCTCCCATAAGGATTTTCAGATCCTTTCCTTAGCATTTCTCTACGGTCGACTACAATTTCTCATGGGATTATTCTTTATCGTCGTCATTGCTATCATTGGTGGGTGAGGCGTCATAATTGTTGTGAAAGAAGAGCCTTCTCTCAGAGCAGAGTTTACATGATTTTTTTCTGGTTAGCGTTTTTTTAGTAAGTTTGTTTTCTACATGAAGGCGTTGCCAACCACACGCTCAACCCTCCTTTATCCGTGCTTGGGACCGGCAGTAATCATAGAAGGGCTACAGACGGTGTTAAGATACGTCGGGAGAAATAAAATATCATTTTTAATTGTAAATCGGTTTTCCTTTCCTTCTGCCGTAAATTGTCGTTAAATATTTGAAACGTTCATCTCCGGTAATTCTGGCTTTTAGCAAATTTTATTTTGTATACATATCTTTTAGTAAATTACCAGCTTATAGCGTAAATTCCACTGTCACTTTAAATAAATTTAATGTAAGTCATTTATCAAGTATACATTTGTTTACTTGTATGGTTATATATTACAAGTTCTGGTAATAATACTCGGCTGCCGTAACTGAGATTGGTAGGAGTTATGTCCACACATTTGAAAGTCAAATACTTTATCCTCTAAGCCACTGCTTATTTGTAGTTTATTTTATGTTTTACCAAAGTCTGCTTTCACTAAACTGTCGTTTTTGGGAGAACATTTGACTTGGATTAGGGTTTTGTTGCCCAAAAAGGTTCTTCGGAGTTTCATGAAATCCGATGGACTTGTTAAAATAGTAAATCAAATGGCTCTGATTTTTTCAGGTTTGGATATTTTCATCCACCTAATTTAAATACTACATTAGTGTGTGTCCATAAAATTTATCCATTTCGTGAAGTTGAAATTTTAACACATGTTTGTAATATCAGCATACATTTATCTTAGCGTATATTTTACCTCTGATTTTAATGTATAGCTCAAATACTGCTTCTGAATGTTCTACTGCTCGGACAGTGTCTACTGCGACTGATCTAAAGTATTGCAAGTCTGACTCGGATTCAAATCTATCAGCTGCACATTCCGAGAAACATCATTCCAACACTTCTTTTGGCAATAATTATAAGTTAATACCAAATCGATACAATGAGAAGTGTACATCAAATTTACTAAGCACTAAAAATGATGATTATAATAGTCGAGTTTCCAAAGTTTCAAATTATTGTCTTCCAAAACTTGATATTGGAGGTAAGCTTTATTGTTCTTAAAAGGATGATGCTACTCACCAAACCTACCCTTAAGATTTTTATACCGACTGATCTTAGTCGAACAACCATTTAAAAATATGATGTACTGGACAGCTGTTTCGTCCTTGTATGTAACTACTCAACAGTACACATCCATCCGGAATCAGACCCATTACCTTCAGGTTTTGTAGTGAACGCTTGACCTACAGATCACTGACCCGAGATCCAATGCTGTCCATACCTAACCCCAGTTAATTCCCGACCATCGTTAATCGCCTTCGATGGTTAACAGCCTCACAGCATGGCATTTCTCTCTGTAAATAGGTTGCTTGCCACATTTCAATATTTTGATTTTTTCAAAACTAAGTATTCATTATGATCACCTTTAATCAGTGATTGGACATATTGATCGTGTTGTTCCAATTAAGTTGTGCATTGTACTTCATCAGTGATAATTCCTCTCTTGTTCATCTTATCAAAAATATGGTTGTTAATCTATTATTTCTGACTGTAGCTGAACAAACATCGTTTCGATTTTCGCACGAAAGTTGCTTGTGCAAACGATTCCTGATTTTTTCCATAAGTTAATCTTCGTTTCTAGTTGATATATTTCAGTGAATAATATAAACGTATCCATACATACATCCTGTTATTTCTGCTTTCTAGCGTAGTTTTCTTTCAGTAGATGTAATAAAGTTTAGTTGCATTAGCATAATTACACGAGCTAAATATGCGTTCATCTTCAGTTTTTAGATTCCATTGTAAATTGTATTGAAGCTAGAGCAGCGAATGAATAAGGACAACAAATATAGGCCATACATATTTACATGCCTAGATGTTTCTAATTTTCCTAATTCTCCGCTAAATGATTTTTATATCTTGTTCTTTTATAGTAACTTGTCATTGCTTCAGTTAAACATTTATTGAAGCAACAAGAAAAGTATTAGGCTAAATTCGTGATTTCTGTTAGAGCAGTAATTTAAGTTTATCTCTCTTGTTTTAGTTGAAACCACACCGTCTTTACGTAATCTGTTAACATGTGAAGTCGCTACACCATCGTTAGATCGTACTGTGACTCCGACGTCTAGGCACCTACGTCAACGTTCAAATTCTCATGATTCTGGTCGTCGAAGACGTGTCACTGTCCTCAATTCAGTTGATTCAATGGATGAGGACGGTCGGTTGTTCGGTGTTGGAGATGATGAACCATTTTCTACAGTATCGATCAATTCACATTCCGATCTCAGTGAATTAGAATCACGGATTCAAGCTCTGAACTCCAATCTACAAAAACAGGAAAGTATTCTATGTCGCATCAATGTAGAATATAAACGTGTTCATAAAGATCGCCTAGCAAGATTAGAATCCACTTTGCTGAAACATAGACAGGTAATTTTAAATATTGCATACAACTTGTACTATTTGTTTTGTTATACCAGTTTGATTAATTTTCATGAGAACGATTTAATCATTGAAATAACTAAAATAATTCTTATTGATTGATGATGAGAAGTGATTATGTGACTCAGTTTAAGTTTGTCTTGACATGGTTTCGTGACTTGTGGAACTAATCACGATATCTAAAAGTCTAAATATTAGTAAGGAGAAGGGTGAAAAATAAAACCATTTATAGAAGTGATTGAGTAAAGACTAAATGATTGAACTATATGATAAGAGACTCGTTACCACAAATCAGTATCACTTATTATGATTTACAAATGTGTTAAATTAAAGATTTCATCTTACTTTTAATTATCAAGTAGTGTAAAAGGAAACGTAAAAATGTAAGCAACAGTAGAAGAGAGCTGCAAAATCGAAAAGAACATTATTTCCTAATTGTCTAAAATTTGAATTGTGAATTTCAGATGAAATGGTCTCCAAAAACACACCACCATCTTTCAAAAGAGTTATTATTGTAAAATATATAAAGAACTTGAATTTTGTCAAATTTATCTATCATTGTCTATGCTTATCAATTTATTTTGTTTACATTTTTTCAGCTTTGTACAGAAATCATTGCCAATATCAAAGCTGATTTAGATATTTGCAGAGCATCTGTCTGTACAGAACCTAATGATTCTCATTCGAAATCTATGAAAAAAGTAATCGATACAGATAATATTTCTTATACATCACCATCAAAATCTTTGAATAAAACAACACTCGACAATTTTAACGATAACAGTATCTCTTGTGCATCATCAAAACGTATTGATAAATTGGCTTTATCTACTCGCATTCTCACTAGTAAACACTCGACAAACAATGATGACACTGAACCAGATACATTAATTTCAGTGGCTGAAGAATTAGTATCATCACAGGATACTGATGATGAGTTGAAACAGCTCGATTTAGATGATGATATTGATCGTAGTACACCAGTTGCTGAGCATTCTCCTAATTCAACGAATAAAAATAATACATATTTATGCAATGCTGACGTCAGTGCTGTGGAATCTAAGCAAACAACTAATTCTGAAATGTCAAAAAATAAGCGTAGTTTATCTCCTTCAATTCATACAGAGTCGTCATATTATACAGATTTTCAACCGAGCTCTGAAGACAACAATTCGAAATCTCTAAATAATCAAGATATTTTACCCAAAGAGATTGAGAAGGAATCCAATAACACATCAATGAAGTCTGTAATTAACTCAACTGAAAAAATGTTAATGGGAGAAGTAACTCAAACAAACAATATGTTTTCTAATCAGTTAGATCCCAAAATTTTTATTAACGAATGGTATGTTCTTAAAGCTTTCATTATGGATATTTTCATTTGTGCAATTTCTTATGAATTTTTGAGGTTTCTCAATACTTCTAAGGGGTTAAACATAGTACCAATTATTTTTTGATAACCTTTTTCACAAAGTATAATTTATATTAAGCGTCTATACTTTTTATTTTCGAAATAATTATGCCAGAAATAATTGTAGAATTTTTCAGACGATATAAATGGTGCTACTGTTTATCCCTTGTCTTTAACATACTTGATTATTTTCAAAGGTTTATTATGCAGTTTGTATAATCATCAAGTAGAGTTAGTATGTTAAATTGGTTAAACTCTACTTTGAATTATGGATGGACGGATATAATGCCAAGTACAATTGTTTTCGTTTGTTATCAGTGCTGCGTAAAACTGCTGCACTTGTAAATAAAAATAATGAAATCTTACGAAAACAAAAATAAAGTCGACTTCAAAAAACGGTTAAAGAACATATGGTACTTAAAACAACTGTTAATCAATATCAAAGTCAGAATATTCAATACGAACGTCAAGACAGTTCTACTCTACAGAGCTAAAACTTAGAAAACTACCACGACCATCATAAAAAAGGTACAAGTATTTATAAGCAGTTGTCTACACTAAATACTGATTATTCTTTGACCGGATACTGTGAAAGAGAACAAACCATTTTCGAACTGCGGAGGAAATTAGGAGAAGACGTTGGAAGTGGATAGGACATGCATTGAGGAAATCATCGGACTGCATCACGAGACAAGTGCTAACTTGAAATCCTGAATGTAAGCGGAACAGAGGAAAACCAAAGAATACACTGCTCCGAGAATTGGAAGCAGACAACGAAAGAATAAATAGCATCTGGAAAGAACTGGAAAGGATTTCCTAGGACAGTTGGATGGCGAATGCTGGTAAGCGGCCTATGCTCCTCAATGAGGGGTAACAGGCGTATGTAACTTCAAAAAATAATACGAGATTTGGTCTATGATTCTTTATATTATCGAGTAGACTTTAGATATGACACATGCACACACACGCGAACACTTTACATAATTTTTGACCTCACATTTTTTGATACGTGAAATTGAAAGTGTTTTTCATGCACATTCGTCTACCTTTCTTATATTGGAGCTCATAGCATAGTGTTTATTTTGTTGACGAAACTATCAAATAACAATGATTTTCATTCGCTTTTAAATCATGAACTGTAGTTTTAATTGTTTGTTTGTTACTTAGTATACTTATTGTAAAACAGTCTTATGATCATTTGAGTGCACTGTTTGACTGCATGAGGACAGTTATACATACATTGTAGTTTGTATTACTTAGATTATCATTGATATTATTCCTGTGAATATATATATATATATATATATATATATATATATATATATGTGCGTTCTTCAACTGTTTGCTCTCTGCCGATTTTCTTAGTGGTTCAATCGAAACTTACAGCTATATTGATACTGACGAATTCCAGTGCAAGTGAGTGAACAAATGAGTTGTGTGTTTACACGCGTTTGTGGTAAATAAACGTCTGTGTGTTGTGCTATGCTCTTTCACCTTCTGTTGTCTGAAGGTTTGTAAATGCATACTAATGTGTGTGCATATTAATTTATAGAGTGAGAGAGAATGTAAATACATGGAAACCTCCAATATAGTATTTTTGTCTTTAAGTGCGTATGTATGGACTTATAGTTAGTTACCGCACATAAATCACATTCTATATTGACGTGATCTCATCGATTTGAGAAAAATAACGATACCTAACTCTAACTAGACTATGGACTATTCACATTATCAAGGCAACATATATGAATGGAATGTTAGTGATTAAAATTCATTCTTTATATTTAACTATATATGTATATAAATATAAATGTAGAATACAATCAACACACAAGTTTCTAACAATTAAAAAAATATTTTTAATACGGGATTCACTTCGAAATCTAGTTATTTATTATATTTAACAAAAGGATTTCACGGTGAGACTATCTTCTTTTTTTTAATTGGTCTAATTATATCATCTGAGTTATTCTTCGTCTACTACGGTTTAATTGTTTTGTTGCTTAATATGTCTAGTCTATAAGATAATGTCATAAAAAAGATGTTAGAAATAGCGTTAATTTCTTGGAATAAATAATACTGATATAGGGTTTAATAATTACATCCTTGCACGCCTGGGTAAGTCTAAGCCCCGAAATTTTTTTTATTTTACATTATATATATATATATATGCCAGTTGGGATAAATGCAAACTCTAAGCGATCTTAAAACAACTCTAGAGGTTAAGCGTTCTCACACGAACCTGAATGCCCTGGATTCGAGTCCCGCGTACTGCTCGCTGCTTAGGAGTCCCATATTAGAAAGAAATGGCTGTCCAGTGCTTCCAGGTTTTTAATGTTGGTCTAGCTTAGATCAACTAATAAATCCGACTGTTACAATAATACAATATCCACAAACTCCCACTCTGATAATTGTTTAAATGTGCGACTGTTGGTAAGGATAGTCATTTTGTTGCGATTATCATAATTTTTGTCATCAATAACTATCGTAACATTTGTTGCGATTTACTCTGATAAATGATTGAGCCTCATTTTGCTTTATTTCAGTTCAGATAGGCGAGAGTCTTGTCGACCCACACTTATCATATGATTATTTTCTCAACATATGTTAAATTCATTGCATCACGTTCTTTAACTAAAGTTTTTATATCCTATTAATTAAGTAAGCATTGGATATTTCAGTCGTGATATTTATTAAATCAGATTGATATACTCTAAATGAATTTTTTCTATTTATATTCTCAACTATATTTCGTAGTAGAAAGTATGGATACCAGTGTCTCTCAAATATTGTGTTATATGGTCACAATCATGTACCCAAATACTCGACTAAATAGAACTAAGAGTAAGATCACTAACAATTTATACTCTGAGATTAATCAGTAAAATTTCTTAAAATTTTTCACACATCGTTTAAAAATTCGGAGCGAATAAAGTTTTGTTTTAGCAATCACGAGGTCCAATAGAAACGAGTACTAGATAAGGATGGCAAATCGATTGATGAAGTAGTGAAACTTCATCAGTTGAGATGGCTGGGACATGTGTTACGTATGCCCAACCACCGACTGCCCCAACGTGCAATGTTTCATGGTGTAGGAGTAGGTTGGAAGAAAGCTAGGGGTGGTCAGACCAAAACGTGGCACAAATCAATGAAGTCAGTGACAAATGGACTGAGCCATGTTGGTAGGTGTAGACTACCTGGTTGGGATTCGCGAGATGATAGCAACCGATGGTTAGAGACCTTAAATGACATGGCTCAAAATCGTTTGCAATGGCGAAGGTGTATCCACTCTTTGTGTTCTACCAACTTCTAATCTTCTGAATTCCTCATGCCTCTATCTTTTTCTCTTTCCAAATTTATTTCACTGTACTATACTCCTTCAATAATTTCTTCAAACCCTAATCTTTTGGATTTCTGATTATACTCCTACTACTTCTACCACTATGGGATTTGAATCGACAACTGCATCTCTGTGCTAATATGGTATGGCAACTCGAACTGATGTACGTACGTACGAAGTTCTACGTTGTGACTGACTGACTGATAGAAAATAAGCATTTTTAATTTACTAAAACAATTTATAGCACAAATATTTGACTCTGATGTTTTTGAGTCCTCTGAACATGAAAGTTTGATTGTAGAGCATTCATTCTCGTTCTCGAAACTATCATCAATATCTACTTCATGACTTTATTGAAGCATTATTGGAACTGGTGTATCTACATGTTTATGATATAAGTATATCCGTCTGTCTCTCAAGACATATATGTCAAATATTTAATACATACACCCCTGAGGTACGCAGTAAGCTGATGTTCTGAGCAAGTATTTATTCTCATTAACCGATCAATTCAAAGAGATAGTCGGAGTTAAATTATTATTGAAATTAGCGATGTAATTTTAACCACAACCTATCCTTTTTATCTGTTACCTAATTACTGGTGTTTTCTACTCTCTGTTTTGTTAACTAGCGTCCTAAATCATACTGGAAGTTCATTTTTTTCACATGTTCGTTTAGTTAATTTTTTTAACCTACTTTTTTTTCCATCAAAGTATTGTTTTTTGTTTGAAACAATATCAAAGTTAACCCTTCTATCTAACCCACTGAGAGTTGAACAGTTTTAAAGAATCACTCACACACAAACACACAATGATTATATAATAGTGCCACTATTCATTTACTGTTTCAAAGTTTTTAGTGCACCTTACACATGGTTATAACATATTTAAATTATCTCTAAACTAGTCTTCCTATCTCTAAATTACAAGGACTACACACATGCGCGTATGTTTAAAATGAATTGTAAACGCGCTTCATATTTTTATTATTTTGCTATTTGAAATACACGTGCTTTTTATATATTTAGAGTATTTAATAATGTTACAAAAGTACTATTTTTGAACAAACCGCTTTCATCTTTCATTGTATCTGATTCAATATTTCTTTTCGGTATATATACAATAGTTGTGTGTTTAGTGTATGACTGACTGTATCTGTATCTAAATATTCTTTTACATTCATATCTAACCCTATTTTTGTATTCACTGAACAGTGTGCAATACTGTTTGAGTTCGTTATCACTAACTGAAATCTCATTTTCGGTAGTACTGTTAATAAAAAAAAATTTTTCTTGTCAAAGTACTTATTCATTCATTACTCGATTGTTTATAATGGGGAATATTAGTAATAATTATTCCAATCCCAGAAACACTAATTCATCTTCACTAACCTCATCCGTTTCTTCCTCGTGCTCATCCAGCCCATTAACTGTTAATATTACAAGATCATCAAGTTATCAGAGGTGAGTAATCTATGTAAAAGCTATAACCATATTTGAATGAACCTGTCTGTGTGTGCTCTAGTTGATCAATTTACTACCTCAAATAAATAAACAAATAAACCTACTATAGAGCAACAATAAAATAAAAACAATGTTCTTTAGCGAGTTTTTATGCTTAAGGTGTTTTTTTTTATTTCTGAGGTAGTTTTTTTTACTTATCTAACTTTGTGGATACTAAATATTCAACTCTTCTATTTTATTTGTGTGCGACATTGTATTTCTTAACAGTTTTCTTTTCATCATCGGTAATTTTCATTTGTTTCTCTTCGTTTCATTCCATACAGTTCAACTGTCCTTGGTGTTACTGTTGCAGACAATGAATTTGAATCAAATGATATCTTATCTAAATCTCCATTCACTATAGTTCCTGAAGCTAATTATGTTAGTGACAGAAAGGTTTCGACTGTAACCACTGAAGATTTCAACAACATGGTAGTATCCACTGACATTTCAGTTCCATCTGCGAAAACTAGCTTACATAAAGTCGCTGAAGATCATCGACAAAGAGAAGAATTAGTTGATCAAATTACCACTGAATTGCTAAATCAACTTGTCTCCGAAGCTATCGATTCTACATTGAATGTTCGAAAATCCAACTTTCAGGTAATACATCTTTGAAATTTGATTATTTCTACTAAATTAATAATTAAGAGGATATCTATATTTTTCCTTATAACCGTCAGTGTAAATTTGTATTGTTTTATTTTCATTACAGTCATAATCAACGTTTAAAACGTCTTTGAAAGTGTGTTGTTATGTTATCGCTATGCAATTTTACACAAACGATCTTTTTGTTTGTTAGATGTGACAATTGAATTTGTAGTTGCCATAAAAATCATTTAGATAATATGTCGAATTACTTAGGTCTCATTCATTTGTTCATATCGTTCGTCTTTGTTTCTAAAGAATAATACTTGTATTTTATAAGATAACCTTTCCAGCGATATATACGTTTTACATATTTGGTTTTCATAATAAGTCATAAAAATGTTATAAGCGAAGATGGATATTGACTAGCAGAGGAATCTAGGATGCACGTTTCATCCTATTCGTGGCTCTTTAGCTAGATGTACCTGCATCTCAGAGTTGATGTTCACCCTGGGTCTCGAACCCAGTACTGCCTGATTCAAATGCCATCGCGTTATCTACTTAGCTACGAGGTCCTGTTAATCGCCAGTTTGTGAAATGGGTGCTGGGTTTGAGTCCTGGGGTGAACATCAACTCTGAGATGCAGGTACATCTAGCTGACGAGCCCCGAATAAGAAGAAACGTGCATCCTAGATTCCTCTACTAGTCAATATCCTTCTTTGCTTATAACGCTTGTGACTTAAGGCAATATCGAGGCAATCCGCACTGGATTTACGTATGCTAATAAGAGACTGATCAATTTCAGTCTTAAACATCAGTGGGGAAATTCAATCAAACTATACAAAATGAATCCACAAAACTATTGTCTATAGTTCACTCATTAGTGTTGACGTTTATCCAGTTCTCATTTTTGTTATCTGACGTAATTAAAGAATATAACAATTGCATTATGTCATTTAATCACATAGCCTATTCAGGCGCGTTTCTGAAAGATGTACAACCTTCCGTTGTACAACTTACAAAAGGCCCAATCAGAGGTACCGTGGTTGCTGGCAATATGCAGCGAAAAGAATGTACATTATTTGGATGTTAATTGACTGGACTGTTAACTTCTGACTGGCGTTCACTAATTATTTATCGTCAGGCTCAACCAAGAAATACTTATATTTTAACAAAAATATAATATTGAATATCGAATAAAGCTAATATTGATGAGGAACGCAACAGTTAATTGGAAGAAAAATAAATGAATTTTATTGCTTATAGAAACAATTAAATTTATGTTTATTCACTTTTTGTTTAATAAATAGATTGAATCTCCTGAAAATTCGGAAAGTGATGACGAAGATGACTTATTAGACGATGAATTTCATCAAAGATCTTCAGGATCCCAATCCTCTTCGGAAGAGTCGGTGCCTTTATTAGATCTGGGATTAAAAGCACATAAAGATTATGAAGAAAAGTGTTCTGAAACAGATAAATCTAAAATCTGTGTCACTCCAGAACCGTCATATACGGTAGATAATATTGAAGGGCTATTCGCTGATACACCGGACAGAACACAGCCATTGATTCATCTTGCTGTCAAACATTTTTGGGATGCTAAGTTAAATGCAAAGAGTGAATGCGAAGAAGTTGTCCTATTGAAAGCTTCTAATAATCCTCCATTGGAATTCTCAGTTGATTATTATGACGAAGCAGGTAAATGTTTAATATCGATTTTTCAATGCAATATCAGTCCCTTTAATAAATTCCGATAGTGTAATATTAGTTTATTCCTCTCTCTCTCATTCACTAGTAACTTAATCAATTTTATAAGAACATTGTACTACATACTGGGTTAATTTTTTTAAAAAACCATCTTTTTATCGTTTACAGATCTCGAATTGTTCAAAACTCAATCAAATGTAAAATTTGTAAATCGTGCTTTATTGTTTGATCTGATAAGTGAAATTATACAAAAAATTTATGTTGGTGAGGACAATGACCTTGAGTTACAAGAAAGGCTAGTTAATAGCACCAACTCATCTGAATCGAAAACGTCTCATCGTGTTTCAAGTGCTCAGTTTCGGCTTTGGCGTGGTCCTTGTCCGTAAGTAAAGACGTTTTATTGTTCAGCCCTTGATCATTTAAAAAAATTTAACTAAAGATGATTGAATTTGTAATAATTTATAAGCATTTTTCAGTGTTTCCATTGTTGTGACGCTTCATTAATTAACACTTGTGGTCAGATTGTATTAATGGTCATTAAGATTACATTTCAAGTATCAAGAGTAAGGCTTCTATGAACATCTAGTAATAACATTGGACATAGGACGTTTTTAATGTTTATAAAATAAACCTTACCATTCAGAAAGTTGCAAGCTAATATTACAATTATATATATATATATATATATATATATATATATATATATATATAGGGATGATCGCTTCTCTAATTGTTTTGTTTCCTTTTTTCACAGACCAACCACTTACAATCGTCTGTTGACTATTGTTACATCTGAAGTTTGTAGAGAATTGAATCTTAAAATAGAATGGAAATCGGAAATGCCTAATCACAATGGTAATAAAACAAAATATCCTGGTTTAAATGAAGTGGTTCCGTCTGGTGTACGTTTATCTCGTTTAGTACAATGGACATTAGCCAAAAAATCATGGTTAGATCGTGTACTAGATTTGGAATTACGTGCAGATGAACCAAGTTGGTTATCGTATGTACCAGAAGAACGTGAGATTAAAATGAAACTAGCTCGTGAACTATGGGAGGATATACTAGACGATGCTTTGAATTCTGTTCTAGCCTCAAATGCTTGCCATTTGTCAAAGTAATTTATACACTATCATTCTATTTAGGGTGTCTTATTTTATTGAAACTGTAATTTGATTTTTTTCTAATATCTAAAATATCAATCTGAAACTGCTGTGATATATTTCTTTTAGTGATTAAATGCTTTTATAAAAAAAATATATGACCATCAAATGTGTAGAACAGAGTAAATATTACCTCTATCTCAGATCTCACCTTGTGTTGTTCCCACTTCCTTTCAACCATATCACTTATTCGTAAACCGTATAGAATAGCAACAATCATACACATACATAATTTATATCCTATTAGCTTTTGTACATATATATTTTCTTCTTAATTTTTTCGTCTTTCCCCTTCTTCCCATTACCAATATGTTTAATTTTATTGTTACAATATGAAAAATACAAATGAAATGCTTGTTGTATATTATTTGATTTAAAATGCATACTGCTATCGCTGTTATACATATCCTTAGTACACTTAAATAACCTCGTGCATTTGATTTGTTCTGCATCTAACATCGTTCTTCCTGTCCTCCCTTATATTTTTACTCTATGAGAATAATGTTGACTAGATTTTTCCCATTTTTTCCAATTTTTTCCTTCGTATAGAAATGTTACAATTATGTGTATTTTGTAATATTTACATGTCAATGCCTATTTGTGTTTACCAGTTTCCCTTATCTTTTGCTTGTTTTTTTTCCCTGTATTCCTTAAAAGCTTATTCAACCAAATAATTCATGTTTGCTATTTATTCAATTTGTGTATAAATTAATGTACTATTTTCTCTAATATTGCAAACAGTTTTCTTTATCGTAAAGAACAATAATTTATAATAGCGATAATTCACTGTTGTTATGACTTGACCTAGCCGTCGCCAATTTGTTATGTTTTTGACCTAGGCGGTAGCCAATTGTTATGACTTGATCAAGGTCGTCGCTGATTCGTTATGACCTTACGAATTTAACAAGGACGTAATTCGCGTAAATTGTCCACCAATAGAATACGACTTCTACGACCTTCACACTGTGACAATGACGTTCGATTAGTATGAGTAATCTAGCGTCCTTATTGGTCCTTATCTGCCTAACCCGTCCACTTGAGTCCAAAACACCAATAGCAGTTGCTGTAATGCGAATCGTTTATTTCAAACATACTTTATCTATATACCAGACAGGCAGACCACACCACACCATAAAATAGAAAATAATATTTGTACAAAACCAGGCCAAATGAGGCTGTAAGCGTGGGAGACAATAATCAATAAAACTGAGTATAACATAGGGACAGTAAATCATATAGTAATAATCAATAGGTCAAAATAAAGCTTAGATAATCTAGTTACCGAATAGTTATACAATAAGAATGATAGTCCAATAGTAGGTCCTGCAAGTTACCCGTACTTATGTCTTCGCTACTACATAACAACTGTCGTATAAAAATATTTGTTCTCTTCTAATGCATGATTGCTAAAAACACATCGTACTTAAATTACTACTTAATTCAGTAAGCATATACACTTATACAAATATAAGTTATTATAGACACAATAAATCTTAAGAAGTACAATTGAGTAGATAACAGAGTACATTTATTATTTTTTTGTTGACACTTATCAGATTTCTACCCTGTTTAATTATTATAAATGACCCTTGAAATCTCCACAATTTGTAAAAACGTGTTCTCTTATTTATTTAATTGAAAGTCCATTTCTTTAAGAATATAACCATTCACGTACAAAATTCAGATCCTAATGCTCTTTGATAAGTCGCCCATTTGTATGACAGTGTTATATTTTAGCGACCCTTCTGTTACATCCTATTGTGTTGTCTCTGTTATGTACAGATCGACTCTGTTGGGTCCACAGTCTTATTGCTCACACTTGACAATTGAGAACCACTATAGTTTCAAAATGCAAATTAAATACACGAAGGAGTGGTTCAGTGAAGACTTGTTGGTTCTCCAAATACACATTTAATGACATTACATAAAAGTAAAATACGTAGAGTTACTGTAAAAACGCATTGAATATAGTTCACACTTGTCAGTATAAATACAGTTTATACTGAATTGATACAAGAAAATTTTGACCTTAAAACATCACGCTGAATAAGGATCATGCCTTTCACCGTATCCGAAATTCATAATTAATTAATACAGAAAACTTTAAATAAATAATGTCATCTTTTTATCCCGTCATATCAGAGAATTAGTGATAATGAACAAGTGCACAAACTGAAGTTTTTGGTGCCTATAACCTTTTACTTTTAATGCTTAGAAATAGAATGCTTTGACCAATAGGCCGCTACTTGAACTCAATTAATGTTTCACAAGAGAATATAAGGTCAGACCTGTTAACTAGACGATAGTCATATCACTCCTGATAATAAAAAGAACTTTGACGGTTCACTACTTTCTAATGGTATCATCAGTGTTTAGCGGGTTCGTCAACTAAAGGTCCTCGTACTTCTTTGCATTTATTATGTATGCTTGCGCGGTTAAGTGTACACTCCATGTCGCTAACCATTTTCTGACATCATGAGATATATTTCAACCTAGTGTACACATTTACTCTAGACTTGAGCTTTGCTAAGTCCTTAAATTCGGCTATGAAGATTTACTAGTGATATCGTAGTTTCTTTCTGATTACTTTTAAACGATCATCATCAGAAAAATCGTCGCCATATAATTTACTAATCCGACAATATTTTAAAAAAAAAGCATTTTAAATTCGAATAATCAATTAAGTTGGGATTCGTTTTTAAATGACTAAGTAAATACATAGTTTTCGGTAGTCTGATTGTGAGTTGTTCTTACCTAAGTAACCACTTTACTGACATTTGACAATCGGTTTCTACTTTTCAGTTTTGTAAAAAGATACTGAGTTGACATAATATGATAGCCGTCAGTGATTTAAAGTTAGTAGAGTTGGTATATCTGCCTTGATATTCAGATTTTAGATGGAGAGCCACGAATTTTGTCCCAAGTCGTTTAATAAGTAGTTGTCTAAAAATGATAACTGGGTTCAAAGTATTTACTTTCAGCTCCATAAGTGGATCACGTGCATAATATAGGTTACTTCTCACTTTTAGATAATAGTTTGACTTATCTAGTTTTTTCCTAGTTTCTATTTAACTTTGTATAAAAAAGTTCTGAGCCACCTTTTATCGTTATGAAACATTCTGTTTACTTGCTTTTTGGTATTTCAAATAAGACAACTCTAAATTATGTGAATCAACAGTTTACTGCTGGCCACAACTGAATCCAGCTACTTATTTCCGATTCACAACGAACAGTACATTGTGATCTTTGACATTACGTACAGAATAAAAAATGAAATCTTTTAGTAATGGAAATTTTGACTTTTACAGTTCACTTTCTCAACTGGTAAATTTTCAACACAACTGTTCTACTTCTAATTACGTCTTCAATGAAACAGTCCAAGTACGTCAAAACATTTGTACTAAGTCGACCAGAGAGGATTATAGTTATACTGGTTAGTTCACTATGATTATGACTCAGACATTCTAGCCTGCGATTCAGAACAAATTGAAGACAAAATTTCGTAAATTGCCACCATATAGCATTCTGTCCTAATTAACTGTTAACCTGATTCAGTAGATTCCCTTTTCGGTTAATTATTATTGTTTCTGTAGTGCTTTATACGCTATGCTACGAAGGCGGTAGTCGAGTCACTTAAGTATCTACAGGTATCAATAAAAATATATTACAGACTGTCTTACTCTATGCATATCAGAATGATAATAAGTACTAAATAGTAGGTTATCACCATTACGCGACATCAGCCTCTGAATTATTAGAACAAACGATGACTAACGTCCCAACTATCTTTTCGTATTTGGCCTGAATTTCATCTTGTTTCTTTAGAAAATAGGCTGATTATAATAATGACTTAATAAGTTCCAATAATCCTGAAGGTGAATGTAAGTTGAATGTCAAAAAAACGAAATATTGAGGAAGTATTATTAAGATATTGATGATCCCACTAACTATTTCCTCCTAGTTTATCAAAATAACTGGATGAACTTTTTGGCAAATAGTTTCTTATTTTCGCCGTTTGTTTTTATTCAAAATTGGTTAGAATATTGAGAGCATTAGTTTCGAAAGTTTGATTTTCAGAAATATGTTTAGTGAGACTATATTTTGACTTCCTTTACATCCTGACTGGCTTCTTAGTTTTCAAAAAGATCGTTTGATTTTTTTAAACTTACCATTGGGTTACCTTAAACCCATAATAGTTCGGATTTGTCATTGTTGTAAATCCTTAACGTTATTTATGAGTTTATGAGATTCTATGAAGTTACAATAGAATTGTAATGGTTTAAATTGATATGAACCTTTTAAGTTGTATTAACATACTATTCATAACTTATCAGGATAATTAAAATGTATGGATGTTATAGCATTTTATGTTGTATCCAAATAAAGGGAATAGTGGTCCGTTTATCATAATACGTAAGTTACACATAAACGTTCTCTATATAACATTGAAACTACCAATAATGGTTCAAAGGAACATTTACATAATATTCTATTCATAGTTTCATGTATCGTATGACCGCAATATAAGATAAATCAGAAAACATTATTCTATGTAAGGAGATATCTTTTTCCTGACTTCTAGAAATATGTCTATGGTTTCATATGAAATTCTAGTAGTCGGTACCTGATATTATATATATATATATATATATATATATATATATATATATCACGTGTTCCATATAAGTATTATCCAGTAAAATACTGAAGCTTCGGCATTTCAATGATATGAGTACTATCGCAAAATATGTGCAATGAAAATGACGAGCATGCATCAGTCATCTAGAAGAATTGAGAGAATCTTAGAAATCGACGAATCGGTCGTTAGGAAACGTAAATTCAATAGAGGAAGGTGTGTTAAAAAAGACTGAATAAGTAGAACATCCTTAAGTGTACTTAGCAGCTCCTTGGTATATATGATATATCATCTCGAATGGATACTTTCAGCGCATGACTGGCAGGCTATATCGATGACACCAGTTATATGTCACTTGTTTCATATAAGTACTATCCACTAAAATACTAAAAATTTATTTGCATTTTATTGTTACTTTTATTGTTACTGTAATCACCAATATCTAGAAAATTGTGACTACAATGATTAATTAAGAGAATGATAATAGTTAATTGTTTGTTATAAATGATCAATCATATAAACCAATTGAAGTAATTACATATTTCTGTTATGAATCACAATTCATGTGATTGTTTTTTTTCTTCGAAATAAAAGTTTTTTTTCGAAAGAAACGTACATCCAGTAAAGGAAAGAATAAGCACACACATACATGTATGTATATGTATATATACTGTTTACCTGAATAATGTCATCATTGTTGTATGCAGTCAACAAAAGCATTGAATCATATTATGAAGTAATTAAAAGAGAGCTATATATTCAAAAGAAAGTATGAAATATTTAAGGATTGAATGTTGCTATGGATACACACACATATATATACCCATAAAGTAAATGTAAAATATGTCTGAGTAGCTTAAAGTTATTATATTTTATTTGATCTGAAAAAAATATAATAATAATAATCGATATCTGTGTTTTATGATGAATGTAGCTTGGTAAATAAAATGGGATCATTTACAATATTCATATTAAATCTAACATTAAAATCAGACTATGTACTGTCTTAAAGTATAATCGGAGATTTTTTTATTTTTTCAGATGACATAACATTTTCTTTAAGGAAGAATCAATTATTATTTATTTTTAATGGGCATTATGAATGTATTTACAGGTTGAATCGATATTTCTTTTTTTTAATTATTTATATTCTACATTAGTTATGATTACTATATGTGTATTTGTTCACATTGTTCGTTCTCTTTTTGTGTGTCACTGTCGTAAGATTCATGTTTTTCTTGAAATTCAGTTTGTAATGAATTCGTTGAAGATTTCAATCCATTTGATTTTAAATTCATTGAAGATTTACTTCTTGTACCATTTATGTTTATATGATTATTATCTGAACGAATTGTAGATTTTCGATGTATTCCACCAATATTTGATAGAACACTTTCTGATCGATATCTAGAATCTTTTAAAATTGGAGTACTTGGTTTATATTCTTTAGAATCATTTTTTAATAAATCATTTTCTGATTGACCAATTCTTAATCTAAAGAAGAATAAAAGGAAAAAAAACTCTTGTTGTTTTCTTTAATAAGTTGATTTTCTGTAAAATTAATTTCATTATGTCAAAAGATAACTAAGTCATGTCAAGAGGTAAAAATTCACTGGTTGAGATCCATCTGTTAATCTTACTTCAGTGCTCGAGGTCTTATTCAAAATGGTTGTTAATTGATTGCAGTACTATGAAGTTATTCATTCCTCATATTTTAAATTATAAGTTTATACTTTACACGCTTCATAGTTGTAAATCATAGACTGATTTCATTTAAGTAACCCCAAAAAACACGGAAACATTGGGGAAATATTTTGTTCATGTGTTAAAATAACAGCACACAACGGATGGTAGCCACACGATATTGCGAATTGACTGAAGTTAAAAATACAACTAGTTGGATGATAAAGCAATGATCTGAATATCAAATGCTAACTGTACAACCTGAAGGTTCTCTGTTTGTTCACTGGTAGGTTCTGAATAATGCTATACCAGAAAATATATATGTCTATTATAACTTTGTTCTTAGTGATTGTCTAACTGAAATCAGTCTGTGATATTAGAACACAAACTTCAATAATTTGCACAATTCACCACATGTCTTTTAAATCTAACTTCAATTGAGATAATATCACCATAACTAATTTTTTTGAAACTAATTTCCTCTGCCGATGAAAAATGTGATGTTTTAGATAAATGCCCTTTTTTGTCAGACCCTACGTTCCTCATGATGGAATAAGTTGTATATATTTTATCAAATAAACACAACACATACGTTTAGGCATTACTGTATGAGAATTGGGATTCACTCAATAAACTCTTTTTATTAACATCAATTCAGGTTTGTAAAGATGTGCAGTTAAGCAATTGTCAGTTAATTTAATAGATGCTTCATAGATTGACATTTCAATTATACACATCATGTTACACGTTTCGGGAAATACTTAGTCAGTATATGTTTGTATGTATACAGAGTAATGGGTTTCTGCTTTTAAAATCATCATAACAAGGAAGTATAAAAAAAAAATCAAAGACTGCATTGAGAAATAGAAAACCATATTTAACGTGCAAATATTTGTTGTTAAAGTAAAAAACAATTCGTTCGTTACTTTACTAAGTACCCAGTACACATTATAAAACCTATTCGTTAGTTGCATACCTACTGGTTATTGTAATATAAAAACAATGGCAACTATTGATATTTCTAGTGAATTCCTTATACAAACATGAATTGATCTCTCACTTCATATGATACCGAATAAATAAGTCATCCTAATTTTATTAATTACTTTTGTACTTAGTAAAACGATGATCAGTAGATTATTATATTTTATTTAGAAGTAATCGATTGCCTTGTTTATATACCGGGTTTTATGGGTTGCAATTCGATCAAATACAATTACATCACAACTACAATTCAAAGCGAAAATAATCTGATTGAATAAGTGTTTGTTCAGTTAGCTCAGAGAATGCAACACAACAGAAATATATATATATATATATATATATATATATATATATATATACTGACGAATATAAGGTATTTATTGAACTTACCTTTGTTTTACTAAATCATTACTTGTGTTATTAATATTTTGTTTACTTTTTCTTTGGAACAAAATAACTTCTCTTTGATAACCATTGTCATCATCATCATAGTCTTCAGTTTCGTTTGGAATATCTAATATATTTAACCATTCATCTGCCATACGAGTTTTTGCTGCACGTCTTAATGAAGCTGTTTCACGTGAAGCACTTAGATCGGCTTTTGCACGCACTAATTCAGCATCTAAATCGATACTGCGACGTTCTAAACCAGAAATACGACTAGTGTAATGAATAACTTGATCCTCTAATTCATGAATTTTCCATTTTTGATGTTGATTTACACTTCGTAGTTCCATTTCTGATGCTTGTGTCGTTTGCAATTCAACCTAATTATTTTTTTTAATTTTAGCATTAAAAAAAACATTACATTATACGTTACTAATTTATTGAAAGAAGAATCTGTTTTTAGTTCATAAAAAGTAAAATGATAAAATGTCGAAACCAATTTTGGTGATAATCAAATTCATGCGTAACATTGATACAATAAATGATTGAATGTTAATGCAAAAGTTGGTGAAAATTACAATTCTGGGCTAGACTATCATTTATGAACGAGTCAATCAGAAGTGAGGGAGTGATTTCAAGACCATGGTGCCTATTTCAATACTAAATGCTCACGTTCGATTGGTCAACAGCGGATTTCAAGGAGGACGTTATAGTTGTGCGGCTACAACAGATGGAATTACTAAGAAGTTCCTTTATTTGTGATAACGTTGTTCAGATGACTGCATAACAATGGACAGTCTATTGTGATGATGTTGCATTTCGATTATATATATATTTGAGGAGAAAGTCTGCTAGAACGGGAACTTTTTTCGCTCGATCCCAATTGAGACTAAGGCAGATTATGGTAATTGTTGCATACTGGATAATAAAAAAACACCAGTAACACTGGCTGCAACCATTGTAGATGTTACTGAAGCTTCAGTAGTTCAATGATATGAGTACTGTCGCAAAATATGTGCAATGAAAATGACGAGCATGCATCAGTCATCTAGAAGAATTGAGAGAATCTTAGAAATCGACGAATCGGTCGTTAGGAAACGTAAATTCAATAGAGGAAGATGTGTTAAAAAAGACTGAATAAGTAGAACATCCTTAAGTGTACTTGGCAGCTCCTTGGTATATATGATATATCATCTCGAATGGATACTTTCAGCGCATGACTGGCAGGCTATATCGATGACACCAGTTGTATGAGAGTATGCACACCCAGGTACCACAATATACACGGATGACTGGAGAATATATCGATGACTATCTAGACTATGTTACGTTTACCATATCGCTTTACGCCACCACGGGATCATGCACTAATGATATAGAATCAATGTGGTCGAGGTTAAAAGAATTTTAGCTATCTTGTAATGGCTCCAGAGGTCAACTATTATGTGATCACATGGATGAGTCGCTGGTGTTATGAGTTTCAATCTTCTATATAGGTCATATTGTAAGCACGGACATTCATCTTCTTATTCGATGGAAAGTGTTAGCTGGCTTAATAGTAGGCTAGACGAAATCTAGTGTAGGCTACACAAAAACATCCCATTGTTCCATAAATTTGTTAGCAACTGAACTAAGTAGTGTTGGTAGCCACTTATTATTTGAATAAGACTCAAGAGATCAACCTGCTCAAGGGCCGAAGACATTAGATGCTAGAATTTCGAACCGATCACGGTAGTGCTAGCGTATTCACTATCATTTTCTGAATCTTTAGTCTAAATATCACCTCGCAGTTTTGATTACACCTAAACTATATTCTTCATATTTAGTTTTCTAAATATCATTGGTATTATAGATATTTCAATTTTTTACCATCCATGCTTTTAATTTTATCTGTGTGTGTTGATGTAGTGTGGTAACGTGAACCGATGCACATTAGTGTAAGGTACCGAGTCTTTCATGACCAACCAAATAACATTGAATGATGAAATAGTGCAAGCTATCTTTTCCGTGTAAAAGTTCTAAAGGGTGTGAATCTGTAAGTAATTGATGTAACCACATTCCAGACATTCAAACATATCATTAAAATTTATACTTATGATCACCGGTTTCGAATCTACCGCTTGAGATATACTACTATTATATTTCAATTCCGTAAGTGGGCTTATGAATTCAATTGTAACTTGGTTGACCTCAAAGTTTTTTGATAGTAAATGTTAGAGATTCAATGTCAATAATTCAGTAAGATGGTTACCAAGTATTATGAAATGAATATTCTAGATGTAAATGCAATTGGAAGTATATTTCTTAGACTAATAGTCTTCAGTTTAATTGAGAATCACTTAATAATATACTATGCGTTACAGTATGGTATTGTGGATAAATCTAGAAAGTCAAAGCTGCAGTTTGTTTCATTTCAAATTGAAAAACTGATAAATAAAAAATGAGATATTTTTTAGAAACAAGTAATTTATCTCAACAGAGAAAATTTTTGCCATAAGTGAATATTTCTTGGTGGTATTACATTCTCCAAGCTACTCAAATTGAATCTTTCAAGCTCGTGAATACTACAATTCTACTCTGGTTTTGGTCGTTTGTGTTTATTTTGTAACTACTAGTTCTTATGGGAGTGCTTTTTATTTATATTAGTTTACTTTGATTCATGATTATATAGCTCCAATGATAAATTAAAAATATTTCATCAAACTTACCTGTAATTGTTCTAGTTCCTCACGGACTCTTTCCAATTCAGCTTTAATATCTGAAATACGTGCTTCGTTGTGAGCTTCTGTTTCACGTAAACGTGCTTGTAATTGACGTCGTTCAGCTGCATTTTCAGCTGTACTTCCAGCAAGTGTTTGTTTTACTTCTGTCAATTCTTTTCTCAAAATATCTCTTTCTGAGCGTAATTCATCCATTTCGCGTAATTTGGCCATAGCCATTTCTCTATCAGCTGCAGCTCGACCTGTTATTGTAGCTGTTTGTCTAATCAATTCATCTCTTTCTGTTTCAAGTTGTGACATACGATGCATTTGAGCTGTACGTTCTCTGTTCAGCATTTTTAGACGCAGTTCGGTCTAATTAAAGAAGAGATTAACCACTTTGATTAGTTAAAGAACAAATGTTCTATATCAGTTGATGTGTACTTTTTTAAAGTTATTTTATTTAAAAAAATATTAATAGTATTTAAATGAAAAGGTCATTTTTTGATAAAAAATGAACACGTTTTCAAAGTGCTTTTAATACAAAATTTATGGGTAATCAATAAGCTGACTACTTCTTAAGTTCTAAAAAATTTAATGAAAACAAATTTTATCACTCAGTTACCAAGTTAACTGATTTTATTTTTATTGTACACCTTAAAACAATAGTATTTAACAAAATCAATTTCGAATGCATTAATTTATTTCCAAATTAGAAGAAACAATATTAAGCAATAGCTACTGTAGTTCCATCATGTCGGCCTGGTATAATAGAAGACCTACGAAGAATCTTTAAGTTGCACAAAATTAGAGCTTTCTATAAACTAAAAAACTCTGCGAGCTGTTTGATTTTAGAGAAAAGAAAAAAAGCTTTTTACTTGGGCAAGGACAGTATCGACTGTGATGCACTCTATATGTGCGAGTCAACTCGTAGAATTTTGACTTGTACCAAGTAACATTTGATCTACGCAAAAAGAACAAATATTCATGTAGAAATCAGGAATCTTTAAATATTCAACAACAGTATGTGCTATTTTCAACAGCCATGAAATCGACATTAACAATGTCAAAATAATATAGAAATGTTATTTTGACTATAAAGAAAGGCGAGTAACCGAAGCCTTTCATATTATACTAAATCCTACTGCGCTCACTTGAATGAAAGTTTTAAATATCCGTCAACCTTGAAACGTTTATTCAAGCAACCATATATAATTGTGTTCATAGCTTGTCAACTCCGCCTGTAGCTCCTCTGGGGGTTACTGCCGGTACCAAGCCCGAGTAAAGGAGGAGGGTCGGGCATGGGGTTAGCGACCCCATCCCGTAGAAAACCAACTCGCTAAAAAAACGCTAACCAGAAAAAATCATTCAAGCCATTTAAACTCTGCCCTGGCACTTGAAGGAATAATTATGACGTCTCATGATGAAAGCCGAAATTCTTCGGAAGTCACGAGACCGATGCACCTTCTTACAACCAGAGAAACACTCTTAATAGGTACATGGAAAGTCCGGACAATGTGGGAGACAGGAAAAACCAGCCAAATAGCAATAGAAATGAGAAGATACAACATGGCAGTACTCGGAATCAGCGAAACCCATTGGACACAAACTGGACAACAAAGGCTAGATACAGGAGAACTTCTGTTATACTACAGTCATGAAGAAGAAAATGCCCCACATACACAAGGAGTTGCATTGATGCTGTCCAGAAAAGCACAAAATGCACTTATTGGATGGGAATCTCATGGATCAAGGATCATCAAAGCCTCGTTCAAAACAAAGAGAGAGGGCATTACAATGAACGTCATTCAATGCTATGCGCCTACCAACGATTACGATGAAGACGCTAAAGACCAATTCTATGATAGGCTGCAGTCAATCGTCGAGAAGTGCCCAACCAAGGACCTGACAATTCTGATGGGAGATCTCAATGCCAAGGTTGGAAAGGACAACACTGGATACGAAGACGTCATGGGACAACATGGACTAGGAGAAAGGAACGAAAATGGTGAGAGATTTGCAAACCTATGTGCCTTCAATAAACTGGTCATAGGTGGCACTATATTCCCACACAAAAACATACACAAAGCCACTTGGATTTCACCGGATCACATTACACAGAATCAAATCGACCATATCTGCATCAACAAAAAGTTCAGGAGGACGATGGAGGATGTGAGAACCAGAAGAGGAGCTGATATAGCATCCGATCATCATTTGCTGGTCGCCAAGATGAAACTAAAACTCAAGAAGCACTGGACAACGGTGCGGACAACATCACAAAAGTTCAACACGGCCTTTCTTCGAAATGCTGACAAACTTAACAAATTCAACATAGCCCTCAGCAACAGGTTCCAGGCCTTTCATCATCTACTCAATGGAGAGGGGACTACCATGGAGAGCAACTGGGAAGGTATCAAGGAGGCAATCGTTTCAACATGTCAAGAGGTTCTGGGCCAAAAGAAGCACCATCACAAGGAATGGATCACTGTTGGTACACTGGATAAAATTGAAGAAAGAAGGAACAAGAAGGCAGCAATCGATATCAGCCGAACAAGAGCGGAAAAAGCCAAGGCACAAGCCGAATACACAGAGGCAAACAAGCAAGTGAAGAGGAGCATCAGAACCGACAAACGTAAGTATGTGGAAGATTTAACGATGACAGCGGAAAAGGCTGCAAGAGAGGGAAACATGAGACAACTGTATGATTCAACCAAGAAACTTGCTGGCAATCACCGTAAGCCAGAAAGACCAGTGAAATGCAAGGAAGGCAAAGTAATCACCGACATTGAAGAACAACGAAACAGGTGGGTAGAACACTTCAAAGGACTCTTAAATCGACCAGCTCCACCGAACCCACCCAACATCGAAGCAGCACTCACAGACCTCCCAATCGATGTTGGCCCATCAACAATTGAAGAGATCAGCATGGCCATTAGACAAATCAAGAGCGGCAAAGCAGCAGGACCAGACAACATCCCGGCAGAGGCACTGAAAGCAAATGTAGCAGCAACTGCCAAGATACTCCACATCCTCTTCAGTAAGATTTGGGACGAAGAACAGGTACCAATAAACTGGAAAAAAAGGACTTCTGATCAAGATACCAAAGAAAGGTGATCTTAGCAAGTGCGACAACTACAGGGTCATCACTCTCCTCTCAATAACAGGAAAAGTCTTCAACAGGGTATTGTTAAACAGGATGAAGGATTCCGTGGACGTCCAACATCGAGATCAACAAGCTGGATTTCGTAAGGATAGATCGTGCACAGATCAAATCGCAACTCTACAGATCATTGTGGAACAATCAACCGAATGGAATTCATCACTCCACATCAACTTCATCGACTACGAGGAGGCATTTGATAGCGTGGACAGGACGACACTATGGAGGCTTCTTCGACACTACGGCGTGCCTGACAAGGTAGTCCTATGATGGACTAAACTGCCAAATCGTCCACGGAGGACAACTCACCGACTCGTTTGAAGTAAAGACCGGTGTTAGTCAAGGTTGCTTACTCTCACCCTTTCTCTTTCTCCTGGTCATCGACTGGATCATGAAGACGTCAACGACTGGAGGAAAACACGGGATACATTGGACAGGCATGATGCAGCTTGACGATTTAGACTTCGCTGATGATCTGGCTCTTCTATCACAAACGCTACAACAAATGCAGGAGAAAACGACCAGTGTAGCAGCAGCCTCAGCAGCAGTAGGTCTCAATATAAACAAAGGGGAAAGCAAGACTCTCCGATACAATACAATATGCACCAATCAAATTATTCTTGATGGAGAATCTTTGGAAGATGTGGAAACCTCTACATATCTAGGCAGCATCATTGATGAACACGGTGGATCTGAGGCAAATGTGGAGACATGGATCGGCAAAGCGAGAGCAGCATATCTACAACTGAGGAGCTCAAAACATTTGTCAACCAACACTAAGGTTAGAATTTTCAATACAAATGTGAAGACAGTTCTGCTGTATGGGGTGGAGACGTGGAGGAGTACGAAAGCCATCATCCAGAAGATACAAGTGTTTATTAACAGCTGTCTACGCAAAATACTTCGGATCCGATGGCCAGACACTATTAGCAACAAGTTACTGTGGGAGAGAACAAACCAGATTTCAGCAGAGGAAGAAATCAGGAAGAAGCGCTGGAAGTGGATCAGATACACCTTGAGGAAATCACCTAATTGTGTCACAAGACAAGCCCTCACATGTAATCCTGAAGGTCAAAGGAGAAGAGGAAGACCAAAGAACACAATACGCCGAGAAATAGAGACAGACATGAGAAGAATGAACAGGACAGCAGTTTTTATTTGTTAATAAAATATTAGTTAAGTAAATATTAGTTAATTAAATATTAGTTAAATAAATATTAGTCTTCCAAATTGCCCAGGACAGAGTGGGTTGGAGAAAGCTGGTCGGCGGCCTATGCTCCATTGGGAGTAACAGGCGTAAGTAGGTAAGTAAGTCATAGCTTGTCACATGAATGCACATAAAGATTCAACTCGGTCCTTTCATATTACAAATTTTACATTTCTTAACATCCACTGACATACACATAAATACACAAGAAGTCTCACATCATTTTGACCAAAATAACATAAAACTAACGTAACCAGACTTATCATTTGTTTGTACTTTATATTCTACTTTGTCCATCTGTACTGTTTAAAATCTTATTAATTTAATTTGGTTCGTTCTCTGAAGAAGCAACTTACACGGAGTTGCGAAATGTCAGAAATTCAGTTTTCTACTCATTAAAATATTACAAATATATACTTATTTTATGATGTATTCATTTATTAATTGGTTAGACTATACTTGCTCAAACTACATAAATTCCAATTAAATATCGTTGCAATTATTATTATCATAATTAAAGGTTAATTTCTAAAGTAAATTCATGTATAACTATGAGAATCTTTGTCATTTTTATGAGTGACTAATGATTGATATCTGTGACCTTTTAGAGTTTAGAACGAATGTATAATTATGAGATGAAAATAATAATATGAATTTACATAACTACTACTTATTACTAAATATTAAAAGTAATCTCATTATTTTAAAATGTATTTTATGTATTTTAGGTATATCTCTGTTTATGTTCGTTAACAATGATAGAATTACGATTTAAGATTCATTTCATTACCACTGCTCAAAATGATGCAACATTGAAGTTGTTGTTTAATATGCTTATTTTATTGATTTAATTTATAGAAATATTTATATGTTATATTGAACATATGAGTAAAAGTCATTCAATCAGTAATGTCCAACTATGAAATTAGAATTGAATCTAAATGGTATTTTGTACAAATAGATAGTTGGTAATGAATTTTATCATATAGTGGAACTATAAGAATCGATATCAAATAAGAAAAATAACTCTATAAAGATAATGTTGATGTATAACATTTTCACGGACTCTAAATATTCGATGCCATGCACTCCCTCTTTTACGAAATTGACTACTTTAACATTAAACTGTGTGTTTGTATACCCGTTCAAACATAAACGATTCGGATAAATGTATCGATTGCTCGTTGATACTCAGTAACATGGTATTTTGTCACGTCGATAAAATAACATTTTCGTTGTTATGTTGTATATTGGAGTACCTATGTACATATAATTAATGAAGAGACGTTACGATAAATGAGTTTTATAATTTATCAATGAAAATGTTGAAAAAAACAAGTTCGTCTATATAATTCGATCATATTGTTATCGGGATAGCTTGAGTATAATGTGTTTCATTGTAACGGGATGAAGTTGTAAATTGGATTGTCCAACTCCACATTTTTGATAATCAATTTTAATCGATTTCTAATATTAATATTATCACATTGTATGTTTAATAAAATATGTCACATAAACTATTTCATTAAAAAAACGACAAATTGGCACACACACACATGCACGCAGATAAACATACTTACATCCTCTAATAATGAAGTAGCATTTTGTAGCTTTACATTTTGTATATCCAATTCCATACGCCATTGTTGTTTTTCTTTTTCTAATAAATTCACTTTTTCTTCTTTTTCTGTCAGCTTTATTTTGTTTTTTGGAAAGAAGTGACAATTAAGAAGTAAATCGTTAATACATCATTCTGTATAAAATAAACTTTTTATTTACTACTGATAATATTAATTTGAGTAGTAAGGAGTGATATGGTTTGGTAACTAGGATCCATTTTGCAGCTAGATTATCCCAATTTAAGATTTTTTGACTGGGGCTAAACTCAAAACTACGCATGATAGAATCCAATGCAAAATGAGATTAATATAATAAAGGTACTAAATGCAATCTAATATTACTGTTATTGTGTTTCAACTAAACAAAGTTTTGTATTCCATATGTAAGTTTTCATTTGTTTTAACCTTTCTATTAGGCTTGAAAATTGTAAAATTTAAAAGGTAGACCACAATTATTAAGCGAAACGTTGGTGATAATTCTTTGTATAATATAATAATAATGTACACTTCCTTTTAAGAACAGTCTAATAAATCCTTTCAATGTTAATTTCTACAGTAAAAATAAACAATGGTATTGATTCCGAAGGACCAATATTGTAACTATTCTAATTAAATATACTTTAGGTATTCTGAAAACTTTACATTTCATTTTACTGATAGTTGCTTTTTATTATAACCACAGGTCATTATACAACACCACTCAAAGTAACGTCGTATGGAATAGAATTTCGAAGATTTTCAACTTTACTACAAGTATTAATATAAAACTGACATTTTGAAAGACCGATACAGCTAAATAGAGAGTATTTTACCATGTGGGAATGACAGTAAGCTTCAACCGGTTAAATGATTTTCAACATAAGAAACATTTCAGTGAAACAAGTTATTTATAACATTTGGTATCTACAAAGTTAATTGTTCTGAAGAAAGGTATTCTCTCTGTTGTTAATTCTATGTGTTTTAAAAATAAACATAATAATAATCATCTTAGTGATAAGTTTTATTGTAATGGTATTTAATTGTAACGTGTTTCTTTTCCCATAGACAGTTTTTGAAGCGTACAAGATGATTGTTCTATTGTAGAAACGTTTATTCATGTATTGATTACAAGAAACAGGCCACTGAGTTTTAAGCAGAAAGTGCTTAGTTGTAGACTCAAACTTAATTAAATGTATGTCCTTTTTAAGTGAACTTGATTTAATTGTTTCCTAAAGTGACTGTGATAAAAATACAATTGACAGATAAGATTTTGATTATTGCTAGTTAGTTAAGGTATTGTGATTGTCACGAAAGCTTTGTTTATCATCTAATCGTTTCCAAATTCATCAATAAATGGATGAGTATTTACCGACAAATGTAAGATTTATTCATTCAGATACGGAAAATATCTGTCTGTCTAATTATCAAAAGTGTAAAATGAAAGAGAACTATCATCATTTCTAATACATCACTTGATATTCGGTCGATTTCCCTGACATGATGATATGTTTTAGTGAAATGATTATTTAGCTCATTTCAACTAACTGATTCATTGAAGTATACTAGTAGTTTATTTTATACAATCCCTTCTAAATATAATATTTTGTTTGAAAATATACTATTATTTGTTGCCTAATACTGTTTGAGAACTGCTATGAATGTTTCTTACAATTAAAAAAATTATCAGAAGGGGGTTTTGAGGAGATTTTAGTAATTTTATAGTTGGAATCATGAGTCAATTGAATCTAGACATCCAATTGTGACATCTAAAAGAATTAACAGTAAACGAATTGAATTAATTTCCATTAATTTTATAAAATCCCTGACACCACTGAATATCACTACCAAATAAAATTATATATTTTATTTCACTTGGTATTGTTTGCTTAAATCTTCTCATTGATGTTCAGGACTGCAATTGATCAGCCTCTTATTGGCATATGTGAATCCTGTGCGGATTGCCTTGATATTGCCTTAATTCACAAGCAATACAAGCGAAGATGGATATTAACTAGTAGTGGAATCCAGCACTCGCCTTTCCTTTTATTTGGTACTCATAGTGGTGGATGAACCTGATCGATTGCAGTCTTAAACATCAACAGGAAGATTCAATCAAACAATACCAAGTGAATTTAAACTTCACCTCATAGCACAAGCAATCGGCTATCAAAATTCAGTAGCTAAGTGAAAAACGCGTTGGCGTTTGAAACAGAAAGTACTGGGTTCGAGTCTCAGAGTGAATATGAACTCTGAAATGCAAGCACATCCAGCTGACGAGTCCCGAATAGGACAAAACGTGTGTCCTGGATTCCACTACCAGCCACTATCTATCTTTTCTTACGTATTTTATTTTGATTCTATTCTTGGCTGAATATCGTATTTAATTTATTGCATTAAAGTGAAAAACTTTTTAAATTATGCTAATAATATTTGTAATGTTTCATATGATTATGATTTATTCGTCTAACGTTCAAGTAACTATATATGACTCATCCCTCTTTTTTTACGAAAAAATAGTATCCATTTGGTTTTTCTGTTAAATTCTTTACGAAGAAAAATATTACTTTAATTTACAAAAAAAAAATAAACGTGTGGTTAGTGATTGATAAATTACATTATTGATACAATTATGATCCTCAAATGAACACAATATTTTTAAAAAAAGTTAATTTCAATAAAAGATTACTGGGAGGGTGAAGCCAAAAAAACAAAAAAAAATAAATTGATTGTCATAAACATACTTTAAAATACCTTTTATCTGGAAGACCTAAATTAAACTCTATTAAACAGTTTTATATACTTCGGGGGTGGGGTGGGGTGATCAATTTATTGTTTATTTCAAAATTACAGAGTAATTTCGTAAAATATGATAATCATACAATAAATAAATTATTTGCATATCTTCCTTCAGTTATCATCATACTCTATGATTATATTTCGATTCTGTTATTATTAAAATTGCTCTCCGCTTCCTTTCCTGTTCTATTCAATTGAATCTTCTCAATCTTCTGTTGGCAGATATCTCACTTCTGATCTATGTCTTATACTACTTATATCTCTCAATATAAGTAGCATAAATCACATATTTAGTATTAGCTTTCAGGTGAAAACCGACATGAAAGCCTGAGTCGATGTTATGGGGTATTTATTACTCATCAAAAGGTATATCTGAGTTATAAGGGGTAAATATCACTAGAATCGACACCACACAGTGTCTGTCAAACGGTGCTATTTTAGATTCGCTAGTATTTCTGTAAGACTGAATGATCACAAAGTAGTGACGAATTTTATTTTTGTTCTATAAAGTATAAAATTCCGAAAATAAAAACCATTATGATCTTATAAGTGAAGATCTTTAGTACTTAGAAAATAGTGTTTAGAAAACCAATGAGGTATAGACTTTAATAATTATCACTGTGAATCAAAGGTGACATTAGATGTTCAGTATTCCTATATTTAGTTAACAAATATTTGATAAAAAGATCAAATAATCTCAAATGTGCTCTTTGTGATTCTTTCTTCTTTTCTATCGCTTCTGGATCCTTTTTAATCATCTTTTCAATGAAAGTTTTTGTATTGATCTCACACTATTTTCTAATAACACCTTTTCTTAATGTCAATGATGTAATGGATTTGTAGTAAAATAAATATGTCGCTATACAAATCATTCGTTGGCTAAAGAACAGAACAGAAAAATTCAATGAATAAAGTTGGATGCGCGTCAGAATGATTTATACAAGTCTCATGTGTATATAGAGACGAATATTGTAAAAAAAGATAGGCCGATCATAAACCATTAGCGTACTTTCGAAATAAATGATTTTAAGTGAAAAAAAGAATGAGTTTCTACATTTACGGTATCCCTATTTATGCAACCGATGACAATTTTTTTGTGTGTTCATATATCCATATTGTACCAAGCATTTAATATTGAATAAAGCCATCAATAATAATATTCATTGTACAATTAATTGCAAACAGAGAGAATTCTCGATTAGGATGTTTGCTTAACCTAGCCAGAGAACATATCAAAAAACTGTTTATTGAATTGACTGAAACTATATTTAGGCGTATATACTTTATAATAGAGAGATTGAAATTGATTTAGTTATATGTGACATAGACACACAATTTCAGAATTATTTTGTCTACGATTTACATAGGTAAAATAATCTTTGTGAATCCCAGAGTATTGGAGAGTTGTTTCATTCTGGCTTGTGACTTCTGAGTAATGACTCTGTATTTAATTAACACTATCTACGAATAAACCGAGTCTTATAGTTATATTGTTTTCTTGCTTGTTAATAAAAAGTGTATGTTTATTTTCTATGGAGATTTTATACAGGTGGTGGATATAATTATCTTATTTCAAGGAAAGAGAAAATATCACCTACTTGTCTTTGCATGGATAAACGATCATTGTCAATACGATATTGGTCATATTCTTCCTGTAGTTGATCTAAACTCCTCTTATAAAACATAGCATCAGCCCGTAATTTTGATTTGATTGATTCCCATTCTCTGGTTACTATTCAAGAATGAAGTTAATGTTAACAGTTAATTTATTGAGTAACTACTCATTATTAGACAAAAAAACATGGAAGTTTGTTCAGGTCTACAGAAAAGTCTTGGATTATAGTACAGAGAATGTCGAATATTCCCACAGTCTTATATGTAGCGCGAGGGAGATACATCTTTTATTAAAAGTGTGAACATGTATTTCTGGGTTTCAGTCTAAACTTTTACCTCAAGGTTACTTATGTTTATGGGTAATTACTAAGTGTCAGATTTTAAATGATAGATTTCTTTTGAATTTTACAAGTTGATTGATGATGGCATCTAGTTTTTGACAAATCGTTCAAACAGGTTAACGTATTGCATTTGACATCAGACACAAAAGTCTACGATATTTCATCAGTAGGGTTAGTGGTCATATTACGTTTCAAGACTAGTTGGAATGCATTGATAATTACCAGGTCACAGGTTGAGTATCTTGAATTAAACTAATCAACCGTCCACATTTCACTAGTTCTGTTTGTAAATGGTTTAGATGAAAATGAATAGGTGGTAAATATTTCAATATAATATTTTGTACATCCTATTATCATACTTTCATCAGTGTATCTAAAATAAACTAGAAGGGAATCAGCATCACTGATTCCGTTGATGGACGATATATCTTAGTATTATTTAACATCAGCTTTCTGTAGGTTACAAACATGACTCAATCATTAGATTTAACCTACTGAACTCGATTAAGTTGTTATGTATAAGACCTGACCGGTAGATTTGCAACAACGCCACGAACAAAAACACATGAAATAGATTTGTTTTCCCAAGATATGATGATGAAAATGCTATACAAGAGATAATAAATTTCCTTAAAGTTTAACTTTAGAGGTTCTAGTTACGAAGTTTATAAAACCTGATAGAACCTCCAGAGAAAAAAAAACACTAAAGCGCTTATTTTCTTTTCTTATGATGTACAACTTGAATGCTTGTTATTTCTATTATTAAAAGGGTGTATATTCAAAGTTTTTTAGAGTAAAGTGATTAAATTGGAAAACAATACGGTGAGGTAAGGTAGGTAGTGCAAAGGAATACAGGAATACAATATCGATTTTATCCGGTCAGATATATTTAATTTGATGGGACCAGTTCCAAGTGAAGTGGTTCATTTGACTCAACTAATAATCTCCACTCCTAAGAAAAACTAACAATGATACAGATCTTATTTTAAGATAGAAAAATAATTATACTTTTACAAACTGAAAATTAATAGAGTATGTTTTTGAGCAACTAATTAGATCATCTATTTTGGTAAACCAGTTCAACTGATCAATTCTCAGCAGAAATTTATAATAATACTATCTAACTAATACAATATGCTGCCGACCTCGGTTTTATCAGAATGAGGAGTGAGCAAACGATTATCACAGATGGTAAGTCAAATGATTTAGAAATTTATTATAATACCCATTTGTCAAATAAGTGAGTATTTGTTCTTTAATAAATTAAAACCATTTGAAATGGGACATTATCAAATGGTGCTTAGTTAACTTAGTTATGATCTCAAAAACAGGAAAGAAAATATGTTCATAATAATTGCACAAATAAGAATTTTATCTCATTTTAAATGAAGGAAACAACTAAGATTTATTGAAAAAGAAGATAAATCTGTTTCATTTAACTAGTCATAGATAAACTTACCTAAATCATCTTCTGGTTCATTGTATTCACGTAATTCAGCTAATTGTTGTTCCAATTCTTTATTTTGTTGTTCAAGTTTTGTACGCTTTCTTGATTCATCATCTAGAAGTTCTTGAACATCTTTTAATGTACGTTGATTAATCATTTCTTTCTTTACAAGTTCATCGTATTCATCTTGTATATGACGCAATTGCCTATCTAATATAGATATTTTATCATATAAACTAAAGTTTTCAGCTTCTAATTCTTCCCGATTTTCCGTTTCTTGTTTAACGATATCCTGATGTCGAATAGAAAAGTAAAATCAGTTGACTATGAAATGAATATTTTTAACCATGAAATAACAGTTGGTATGTAAACCTATGGATGTATGAATTATCTTGATAATGATTTAAAGATTTATGCCTCTTTAGTAACTAAGGTAAATTGAAGTTTACTTTAATGGTATATAAAGAAAATCTCGAGGTAGCTATCAGGAAGGGATGAGTGGGGAAATTGTCTCAACCTCCGGATCATTCTTTTTCAGTTTGTCGCTCACATATGCACCATCTACGATAGTGGTACAGTTTTACTTTGGTAATGTCTATGATCATTATACATGAAAATATGCCATCCCACTGATGAGTTTCTTAGTTTAAATGTTCATCAAATACAGAGAAAGACTAAAGTGTAGAAATTCTTCCGTTTTATTACCAAAAACAAAACAGTAGTGTGACATATATTATGATCTGTAATTTCAGCAACAGAAAGGTTCATACATTCACTCAATGATTCCTCAAGTAGGACATAGTTAAGAACTCTTACACTTTAGTTCCACTATCAAGAAATAATTTTTTAAAATTATTAGAACAGTTAATCAACAATGAATATTTCTCATTACTTGTAAATGCATCATATATGTGGAAGATTTCATTTATTTTCAACTATCAAGTCAATTCTTGCTATATCTAGTTACAAACTCGTTGTACGTTGTAAAGACCGAGCTATAAATATCCATACTCAATAAATAAGCTTTTCAAACTGATATAATATTAAGATTTGAGTGTACTGCTATGTGGTCTGTTTATCTGCTAATAATTGGACTGAGTGAAATATTTAAATAAATAGTCTATTACTGTCATGGTTTTTAATAATGATCAAAACTTACTTCTGATTCAGTCAACTGTTTATGCATAAGTACCAGTTGTTTTTTCATTTCAGCTAATTGATATGATGTATTAATTCTTGGAGTTAAATCATTCACTTCCTCTCTAGATTGTGTTCTAGATGATCCAAAGAAATGTTGTGCTTGTTGTTGATTTAAATTTGTTTTACCAATTAGAATTGGTGAGTTTAATAAATCTAATGCACCTTGGGTATTACTATCAAGTTGTGAAGATACATCGGAATGTGATGATAAATATTCCCTAAGTTTAACAACTAAATCACGATGTGTAGCCAGTTCATTTTGTAGTTCAGTGATTAACTCCTATAAGAATATTTGAGAAATAAAATGATTATTATTTATATATTTGAATTACAAGTACAGTTCAGTTAAAAATTTATTGTGATACTTAGCACATAGTATCATTTATGCTGTAAGATCAGCTTACATGTAATGTTACTGAAAGATATTTTTAGTCAAAATATAGTTTATCACAGATATTATGCCCCCAAATACCCTAGTACAGCCGAGAGTGAAGAGAGCCCGCTCTCCATCTCGGAATGCTCTCAAATGGCCACGCGTATATAACCTCTGCCAGGGAAGTTCTACTCACTGCCTTCGTGTAGCGGTGGTGTTGTTTACGAAATTGAAAGGGCGAAACGGGAATGTCCGGAGCTTTAACTGGGTTGATGGACACGGAAAGTCTACCTGGGGGAGTTGGGAAACCCTGATTCCAAACCATTGGTGTACATGGGCTCCAGTATCCTGAGGGAACAAATGGCGTATGAATCAATCGTTGATCTCGGGCTACCATGGGACTGCATTTCCTCGCGATACCCCACTGCCTTGTGGATTAGACCTTTAGGTCAAAGGCTCCGGGTGTGGTTCCCTAAGAAAACCACCTGCTTCAGTTTGGGCATCTGGGCAGTATCGTAGCCCTCAGACAAATCAAATGAGATTTGTGTGGCGCATATATTTCTGGTGCCCCTTTGTACCAATATATATGTGTTTAAATAAATAAACAGATATTCGGCTTATTGAATCCACTTAAAACAGTTTGAATATCACAGTAATAAATATAATAATAATGACGTAATTGTATTGATTATTTTAGTGAAAAATGAAGAATAAGCTCTTTCTTATATTTTATATCGTTGAAATCATGAGTCGATTGAAGCTAGACTACCATGGAAAACCTGGAAGCACTGTACGGCCGTTTCGTCCTATTATGAGACTCCTCGGCAGTGTGCATCCACGACCCCGCCCCGCGATATTCGAACCCAGGACCTATCAGTTTCGCGTGCGAGCACTTTCTTATATCAAAGATATGGACATTTTAGTTTAAACGATATTTTGGGTTTATTTGATATTGTAGTTTGAATGAATTTTAAACAGTCAATTCGTATATGTATAACTTTTAAATGTAAATAAATGAAATGTTGACAACTTTTTCTTTATCAAAATAAAACAAACAAAATATGGTTTTTAAAATTGGACAATAATTGTACTTACTACTTCAACTACATCAGTGTATAAAATGTGAATTTAGTCCATTGTATTATATAATACTTACAAATTGTTAATAACAAAGCTGAATCAACTATAAAGTTACAGTGCGAATTTGATAATCTTTGTATTTCAATGAATGAACAATAGGTTAGATAATAGACCAAATAATATGACTTACATTATAGAACGCTTTTGATAAACATTAGATTTTTGGTCTTATTCAGATATAGACTTGTTACAATAAATAAGTACTATCATATTGATGATTTATTCAAGTCAGAAACTGAACTCTTTATCTTAATCCAGAAGTATAACGACCAGTAAACTGTTAATACAGTCATAAATAGTCAAATTACAGCAGGTCGGTAGCGGCCCGAATAGCTCAGTGGTAACGTCTCTGACTGTGAAGCTGCGTGACACGGGATGGAATCCGTCAGGGAGAATCAGTTTCCTTAAGATTACGGGTACACCTTGCTGACGAGTGCCAAGTAGCATGAAACCCGAGTCCAGGGTTTCCTACTGGCTACCTCCAACCACCATCTTATCTCAACATAGTGCACGCAGTGTCGAGCCACCTAGACTATTGGCCACATTGCAACTTGATCGATAGCATTTGATGATCACTAAAAAGGACTTGACACGTACGACATTGATCCCCATCCAGTGATCAATCAATTGAAATTACTAATTATTAGCTTTGAATCTAGCAATCAATGAGCCTGAAAAGATCAAGGTCAAGTCCATGCCTAAGCACATTAAAAATGGAGGAACAATAACGTTTACAGCCTCAATCTTCTGACAACATTTCAGCTGTTACCATTTCAGAATGTAAACTATTAGTTAAGTCTAATAGCTTCAAGAACTGTCGATTTGTATTTTATCTGAAAAATATGCCATGTCTATCATCTACACGTTTATGACAATTGAATAAATTGATAACACAATGGTTTCTAAAGTATTTAAATACTGACAGGTGATATTAGTTGATACTAAGACATGCGAATTTGTCATTATTCATATACCAATCAAAATGAATGAATGCTTATAGCAAAGTAGCTCCAGTGGAATGATTAATTAAAATAATAAAAGGGCCTTTGTTAAAGAATAAATTGATATTCATTAGTCATTAGACAGCTCAATGATATTTCATTATTATTCCAATAAGAATGAAGTATTATCATACTGAATTATTAACTTATTGTTAATTGGATATAAATAAAAGCGGTGTATAGTAATAAGTACTCAATGAAGATGATCAAAAAGTGGATTTCATCTTGTCGAAAATCTATAAATCACTAAAGACAGTAATTTCCCCATACTCTTGATTTACTAAAGCTAAAGAATAGTTTTGCAAAATATGCAAAGAAGGATTAAGATTACAGGAAATCGATTAAAGACTATGGTTATGTGTTCGATTGATCTTTTAAGAAATATCATTTGTGATGATGTAGATTATAAATATATCCATTAAAAAAATGTTCAGCTTACTTTTGTTTTCACGCCTTTTTCATCATTTTGGCCTTCTTCATTTTCATCATTGCCAACTCCATTCGCTAATAATTTACTTCTTTGTTCTAATTGTTTACTTAATTGATTCACCATAATTTCAAGGTTACGTACATATGCTTTACCTTCAGCTTCCGTAGAATTCTTCTCTTCTAGTTCTGAGCTCAATCGTTCAACTTTACTAGATTCTAGAGCTAAAATATGTTGTAATTGCTCTACTCGTTCACCAAGAACACGAACCTAGAAAAAAAAGATGAGTGATGGTGTTACTTGTGATGGTTATTAGTAAATTTTATGACTAAATGAACAGATACTAAAGGTTAAAATATAATAAGTTGATTTCTATAGTTTCATGAAGACTTGATATAGGAATTGTTACGTTTCATGATAAATGATTCAGTATCATAGTCATCGGACTAATTTAAAACGGTCAACGTTCGAAGGTTCACTCTGAAGAGTTTTAAACGTGGAACAGTTAAATAATCAGTATTTGTTTATACATTGGATCGGCATAAATTCAAGGTCGAAACTGAGGTTATATTTATTTATCACTTTTTTAAAGATTGAATAACTAAAATGCGGTACATCTTCTTATGTTAAATATACTTGCTAGTGAGAAAAAACCATCAGAATTTGAACTTTTATTTGTGGAAAAAGCACCTAGCACACTAACAACGCAGTATTACCCAAATCGATGTAACATTTTCCCGTAAAGTGAGGACTTAGTGAAGAGATTACGAAACAAGCTAAAATTATAAGGTTAAACTTCAAAATGTTAAATATTATACAAATGTAATTATTGTACTAATTAATTAGTTTTCAAGGAATGTATATTCGTAACGAGATAATACTAAACAGAGTTAATTTATGCAACACATTAGGGAAGTTCTATTGTATCAAACACTGTGATGCATGTACAAAGTATGGAATGCATAAATCATGGGAAACAACCATCTTGAGTTCGATCTCGACAAACCATGGAAAATTATTAAACTGATTTTAAGCCTATAAATATATTTTTATCCCTATACTTTGGGGAGAGATCTAATTAGTTTAAATACAGTTATTGACGCAAACCGCGAATTGTACGGTAAGTCGAATCAAAAGTGATATAAAAGCTTAAAGTTATAGATCATGTCTTATTTTGAATTGTTCGAAGTAAAAAAACCTTAGAACATTAAAAAATAATTAATATATTTGTAATATCCCAATGAGTAGAAAAATAAGATTTTCTGACGTTTCGTGACTCAATGTAAGCCACTTCTTCAGAGAATAAATAACCAAATTCACATTAATCCAAGTTCAAATAATACAACGGAACAACACGAATATTAGGTGATCAATCAAAAAACAGGTCTGAATAAATCAATGTCATGTAATTTCATTTCGTTCAAAGTGATTCATAAGTGACATGTAGTAATTTTATGTGTATTTATGCATTGTTAATGATGAAAAGTGTGTGACATTTATAATGACAAAAGATAGAGTTTAATTTGTAATGTAATGGTGTGAAATTGTAAATAATATCAGACTAGGTGACTAAGATAGATAGTCCAAGTAGGATGTATGGTAAGGCCTTCCTTTCTATTGAGAGCTGTGGGATTAAGCATGATACGGAAAGCTTCAGTTACTCTCCTTTCCCAATGCTCAATTTATTCAAAATTATCAAATCAAAACTTGGCAATGATACCTACTTCGAACATTAATGTTGGCACACTTGTTTAGTTATCATCGTACTTTTTACAAGACCTGAAAGTTCTACATCCTAGGTCATATGGTGTTATTACTGAGCAGCCATAAAGTAGGTTGGCGTTTCTTTTCAGTACGTCCTATTAGACAATAATTGAATTCAATCCTTCATTTTGTGTAACAGTTTAGTTCAAGGTTAAAAATTAAGATTCATTTGAATTACAAAAAAACATGTTTGTGAAAAATAAAAAATAAACTAACTTGATTTTTATAATGTTCAGCAGAACGTAATTGCTGTTCGTCTGCCTCCTCACGTAATAGTTCCACTTGATCGCGATAAAATTCCGCATCATTTTTCAGTTTAGTCATTGGAGATGCTTTAATATAATAAATTTTATTTTCAAATTTATTTTTTTTTTAAATGAATAAAGTAATTGATTTAATAAAATATCATTTCATTCATATCAAATGAATAATTAGGCTAGATCTTTAGCTTCGTTTATTTGAAACAAAATCTTTGATATTGTGATGTTTTTTTCGAGATGAATAGTAAACAAAACGATACTATTGAACGTCCCTTCTGAATACTGATAATCAAAGGGATTAAGCAATAAATATCTTATGCTTCAAACGATATATCAGAGTTTTAACAGATCGTTATGATAAATTGAAGTGATTTCTAACATGGTGTGGACTGGATCTTTTATACTAATACCTGATTTATGTCGTGTAGTCTTAAAAGTATTAAAAGTATAAGCAGTGATCCGAAAGATTAGGGTTTGAAGATGTTATTCAAGGAGCATGATCCAGTTAAATAAATTTGGAGAGAGATAGAAGATAGAGACATGAAGAATTCAGAAGATTAGAATTTGGCAGAGCACAAACAGTGGATGCACCTTCACCATTGCAAACGATTTTGGGCCATGTCATTCAAGGTATCTAACCATCGATTGCTATCATCTCGCGAATCCCAACCAGGTATTCTACACCTACCAACATGGCTCAGTCCAATTGTCACTGACTTCACGGATTTGTGCCACGTTTTGGTCTGGCCGCCCCTAGCTTTCTTCCAACCTGCTTCTACACCATAAAGCATTGCACGTCGGGGCAATCAGTGGTTGGGCATCCGTAACACGTGTCCCAGCCATCTCAACTGATGAAATTTCACTAATTCATCAATCGATTTGCTATCCTTACTAGTACCCGTTTCCTAACAACGACATTACTTACCCGGTGGTCCCATGATAAACGAGCAATGCTTGGAAGACACCTATTATCAAATACTAGTAGCCTACGAATATCCTCTACTCTTACCGGCCATATTTCACTGCCATAAAGTAGGACGGAACGAACTGCTGTGGAGAAAACCTGTCCTTTTGTTGGTAGATGGATATCTCATCTACGCCGTAAATGACGCAAGTTGGTGAAAGCTAGACGAGCCTTCTGTAACTGTTCTGAGATTTCGTCATACACGAGACCACAAAGGCTGATGAGACTCCCAAGATAAGTGTTATTTCTAAAGGCACGTGTACATCATGTTACTTTAAACAAGAATGGAGAGAGTGAACAGCCCTGGTGAACACCACTTGAGGTAACCAATTCTGATGACAGTTCGTCATAAGCTGTCACTCGATCAGTTGTGTTCGAGTAGAGAGCCTTTATGAGGTTAATGTACTTCTTCAGTACTCCTTTCAGTGACAAACACTGCCATAGAAACTCACGATCAACTGAGTCAAATGCCGCCTTAAGGTCAAGAAATACTACGATTGTGGGACGTCTGAATGTGTGTCTATGTTCTAGGACCTGACGTAGAGTGAATATCTGGTCTATACAACCACGTCCAGGTCGAAAACCAGCCTGGTTTTCTTTAGTCTGCTCTTCACGAGCTTTGGTTAGGCGTCCAAATATTATTGAAGCTAACATTTTAGACACTATATTAGTCAAACTGATCCCTCTCTGATTGTCACAAGAGGACTTTTGTCATTTATTATAGACAGGCACAATCAGTGATTGGGACCAGTCAGATGGAATTACGTCTAGTTTCCACATTCTACCTAAGACATCAGTCAATCTCACTGCTAGTACTGGACCACCATCCTTAAAAATCACAGGAGTAAACCTGTCAGGACCTGTTGCTCTCTCTGACTTCAGATTTCCTATAGCTTTTTCAACCTCGTAAAGATTTGGTGGATTTAAATTAACTAGCCATTCAGGTCTACTGGGGATCGTGGGAAACCGAAGTATGCTGAAGGTCAGTTGAACTGATCCCTAAAGTGTTCTGCTTATCGATCCAATTTCCTGGATTGAGAAAGAACGATAAGTCCATCTTTATCCGAAGTAGTTTCGCTGATAGTTGGGTTCCTAATACCGGTTTCTTTAACAAGTCTGAATAGCTGTCTGCTGTTATCTATTGCCGCTGCCTTTTCCATCTCTCTTACTTTCGCTACCCACCACTGTTCACGATCATTGCGTAGGCTTCTTGTTAGCCTGCTCTTAAGCTGACTCCGCTCTTCGTCATATTCAGAGCCAGATGGAATATGTTTTCGAGCATCTATCAGTGCGACAGATACTGCTGAGTTCAGTGTTCCACCCTAACCTTATGGTTTACCGTACTAGCATAAATCACTGCTGTTTCCACAGCTTTTCGGATGTCATTCCACGCTGTCTCGGGGTGGGCACAACTTACATGTCTGCCTAATTGTTTTTCTAGTTGTTCCTGAAATATATTCTTAGCTTGCCTAACATTAAGTAGAACCCTTAGAGGTTTCCTTGCAGTATCTTTCCTACGTCCACTAAGACGCAGACAGATACGTGCTCGCACTAGAGCATGATCTGAATCTAAACATGTGCTCTCGAATGAGCGACAGTATTCTGTCGAACCCCTCCATCAGGGGCTGATAGCGATGTGATCTAATTGGGTCCAACGTTGGGATGAATTCGCGGGTCGCCATGCCAGAAGATGTTTTTCCTTGTGCTTAAAGTTAGTATTTGCAAGAAATAGGCGGTTATCTGAGCATAGTTGCAACAGACGGTCACTATTATCTGTTCTTTAAGCCACCACAGCATAGGATCCACCCAGGTGTCTTTACCTTTCGCTTAGTTTACCTACTTGAGCTATAAAGTCACCAGCCACTATTACTACATCAGAGTGCGCAGCTTCTCGACAGAGTCGGTAAGCTTTCTGTAACACTCATCTTTTACATCATCTGAGCTGTAGTCAGTGGGAGGGTAGGCAGAGACGACAAAGAGGCAACGACGAGTGTCCCTATCTTTCCGAGTCCTTACTGATCCTTTTAGTCGGACAGCGCATAGACGACTGTCTACTGTGATCCAGTCTAAAGGAGCTAGTTCTGCCCTAGGACCGATGCTATACCTACTTCAGCGAAGCCACGGGGAGCAGCATCAGGGCTTCCAGATACACGAAGTGTGAGTCGAGTCGGTTCTTTATTTTGACATAGTGAGGTCAAATGAATGACGCTACTCAAATCCTGTATGCACGTTTCGGAGACGCAGCACACATTGTTGGTGCGAGATTCTAAAATCCTAGCTAAGGAGGCCTGTTGTCCTATTTGGCACAATGTTCAGACGTCAAAAGTTCCTACATGTAGTTTAGAGCGTGGTTTCAGGAGATCAGGAATAACGTTCTGTGTACTTGAATCGTTTGCCCTAGAGGTGCGAGGTGATAAAAGGATGTGAGAAGGGTTAGTCGTGGAGATAAGAGAGTTATTAGGAAATGTAGGAAGGATTTGATTGCGACAGACTTGGTCATGTGTGCTATTATGCATATGAGGGCTGATGTCACTTCCCGCCTACCCACACCGTGGAAGGGTATTTTTTGAGGAACCTGAAAGGGAAGTTGAATTAGTGTTGATCTTAACTACTTGTGAGCGTGACTGCAGAGCCCAAAGGACAACTGCTTGAGTCCGGTCACGCACGGCTTTTTTGTGGGAGGTTTTTGACGTGTTTGCTCCGTTCTTCTAAGCGCCTGACCGCCTAAGACAAAAATCCTCTTCCTTCCAACCAGCATCGCTGTAGATGCTGGTTGTCCGAGGGAAACACCTTACTTTTGTCACACCACTCTACAGTCAGCAGTACGACCTCGCCCACAGACCTTGAGTTGCTGCTTTTAATCGTACCGTTCTCAAATCGACCTGCCTAGCATGGTAAAACCTACAGGAATACATGTTCCAGCCAAAATAGCTGGTTGGATCATCACGATAGGCAAACCTGACCACCACTTCAAGGTGTCAGCTAAGTTTGGGACTATAAACGTCTATTATTATATTACTGGTGTTGTTTCATAAAAGAAATATATAACAAACTTGAAGTTAATTATAATCAAAACAGTTGAATTATTGTTAAACATCAGGTAATGTGTATTATATAATCACACGACTAAGCCTTAGCTTTCAGAACACTAAAAAAGCATTGAGCAAATATCAGACAGCGTTCTGATAAACATCAATTTAATGACCTATTATTTGTTTGCTATTTAAAAATGCCAAAGTATTTTAGGTTTCTATTACTCAAGGTTATAGTAAAATATATTTGAAAATGTAACGAAGTACGTATGGAATAGTGTTAGTCACATTTTTGGTGTTACACTTTTTGTGTTTATTTTTAGATTCATATAAATTCTGTCTAAAATCAATTCGTACATTGTTCCAACTTAATTGTCTATAAAGCGTTATTGATTATTGATTGAGGTAAAATGTTTTTCTTAATAATGTTTAAGTATATCACTAACATGTATTGATAAAATAAAATTGTTGTACCGTACAATTTTTGAGTAGGATTACATAAGAATAACGGAATGAAATAGAAGAGTTTATGTAATTGTGGAGATCATTTGTAGCTAAGGTGAAGGATTTTAATAGAGTTTTGTTCTATCCATCCAGCTCAGAAAACAGAATTCCATCAAAAGAGACAATGATTTGTTTAGCAATTCGTAATATTTTAAATCTACGTCTAATAGGAAATTTTTTACGATTTTATTTTGTTGTTGTATATAAAAATCAAAGAGACGATTTATTATAATGGCATTAATAAATCATAGTAATTAGGATGTGCGAGCGGAAAATTGTTGATTACCATTAAGTGTTATGACAATTCACGCTTTGTAATGAATGAAATTAAGGAGTGTTCATTAACTGAACGGCAACTATTAACCATTGTATTGTGGTGTGGTCTACTTATATCCATATAAGTATTATATGGTGATGGTCAGACATAGAATGTATTTTGGTAGAAGATCGATAAGGAAAGAACAGGAATGAAGCGCACTCAGTACGAAACGCATGAACAATGAAATCAGAGAAGACGGATTGATATTTGCAGAAGGAACAGTTAAGATTGAGACAATTGATTGATAGTTTGCAAATTAACTGTTTACTGTATGATTATCAGAATTTAGTGAGATAGTCTGTAATTTGCGCTTAAATACATTCGGTTGTCCCCACCCGAGTTCTTACTCACTACAGTATTACATTTGATTTGTCGAGGATTCTAAAGTTATTGCAGTGAGCTATCTTTATAATTAAATCACAACTTCCATGTTATGCTTATAAAAATGTATCATTTATGAATTCGGTAGTTTAGACTAGCGATGACTGTTCATCTTACTCCCCTACACCCATAACCATTGAACCCTAAACAGTGGAACTGAATATAGGCTTCTTAGTAAGATTAGGTGTCAACTCAATGTTTCAAAATTTTCTTCAAAGTTTCATTATGAGTATCGAGTTATGATATCTGATAATCAGACTATAAAAATGTCTAAATTATTAGGAGCTTGATAAACGTTAGTTGGTTGCTCCTCATATGTATCATAAGGAACAAATGTAATAAGTAGCAAAATATTTTTTATATTATATAGATCAACAATTAATTACCGGGATTTAGTGGAACCTGCTCAACTTCAAACAAATTACTAGGCTTCTGAGGAGCTAATGCATTTAAAGCCTTGTTATCAGCAGCCAACGTCTGCCAAAACTCTTGGTTTTTACTCAACGCTTCTGATATCTATGAAAAAGCAATAAGTTCAAACAGAGAAAATAGAGGAATGTAAGATAGAATAATAATATATGCTATCAAAAAAGCTTTGCTTTCGGACCAAATGACCCACCATTGATGCCGATAGCAGAGACAACAGCATCATTCATTGTCATACAATAGACCTCTGGTCAGAATACATAATTAATTTTCCAAATGAAATTTTATGGTGAAGAGCCATATTCCATTTGATTATCATACTTTAATTGTTGTGATTTATACTCCTGATTTATTGGATGAGTTAATATGTTTAAACTATTAAAGACGTCACCTAACGTATTATTACATTTGAAATTTACACTGATAACGTTTAAAATTATGATTTGTAACCTTAGCTATTTGGCTGCACTTGGTCTTCAGCCAAATAGTCGAATCTTATATTGGAGAGTATTTCATCTATTTATTATCTTTTGAGGATCTTGAATCTCAAAATCTTAGGCAGACGAATTATAAAATAAGGGGGATTTCACTATGAGATCCTAGCACCTCGTTAGAATGCTAATTAAAGACTAATTCCACATCAACCCGTCATCTGTTGAAGTCTACCATTGTATTTTATGGCATCATAAAAGGACGTAGTGTTGGTTACTGTGTTAATCCCACATAGCTTGTTCCGACTTCCAGACAAGTCAATTTATGCATTCTTCTCAAGCCATATTTTTACCCCGTCACTTATTCTCTTATCAACCTTGACCGCTTTTTATGTAAGCGTATGTGTGTGCATTTCTTATCTTACTCATCACATGTCTACAACTGATTTTTGTCTAACTATAAATATCGATTTATTCTTGACTAAATCGAGCCTTCTAAATGCGCATCATTTTGCTTCGCTGTCTTCACTTCGTTTTCCTCGCTTCGTTTCTTTGCTCGTTTGTCTAGATCAACGATTGTATGAAAAACACGTATTCGAAATTCATTCACTTATTTGACTTATTTGATTCCGTTATACACTAACGCGAATTAAGTCGATTACGTACGAGGATAGTCAGGATGTATATTTGTACAACAATCATTCTATAACGATCATTCGATCTAACTGGAGCCAGATCATGAGCCATCAAAAGGATTTCTTATAACGAGTCTTTGTAAAAGATGAATTCTGTGTTTAGTATTAATGAATTTTCAAATACCAAAAGTATTCAGCCACAAAGTTTGTATTGGTACCATAGCAAATTAAGATATCATCTATTATCTTATTTGTGAGTGACTACAATGATTCAAAGATTCTTCAAACTCCTGGTCAAAATGCTTGAATTTATCGCTTCTCTTAACATTTTATGCAAAGTATCACAAGAATAAACCGAAGAAGTAGTCATGCAAAAGTGAATGAAATCCATAGAATAAATCACAAAATATATCAAAAATACTTTACATAATGTCATTCATTATGTATGTATGAATTGATTTACCTGTTGTACTAAACTTTGCACTGTAGATGCGTTTGACACATTTGTACTCATTTGTTCCAACTGAAAGGAATCCATGCCAGAAAAACAAAAGTATTAACAATAGAAAAAAATCAATCTATCATATTGTTGATTTTTATTAAACCACCTATCTAAATAATAACTCAATAATAATGCCGGTAAATAATTCTTCAAAAACTGCAAACTGATTTTCTGTAGAAATGAATAGTTTAGCAATGAAAAAGATGGAAGACTGTGAAATGAAAATTATAGAAAAGAACTAGATAGAGTTGAGAAATACTCATCATATTCCATTGAATCAGAGGGTTAGTAACAACATGTATGTGAGGTAGTCGGAGAGAAGTGTCCGAATTTCAAAAGCATTGAACGCTAATTAATTTATATAGATATTAACCGTAAGTAAAATAATCTAGGTGTTCTAATTTTAAAAAACCGGGTTATAACATATCATTCTTGAACAGCTTTCTCTAATAAACAAATACAAGCCTCATTCTTTTGTAGGAGTTAACATAATAAAACACCACAAATAATATCATAGGCTTCTAGAAATAAAACCGTGATCTAATGGAACATCAAATAAAAGAACTAGAAAAGCTAAAGTGTAAACCTGAAAACTTCATACTGACTGTCACTAAGTTTCTGAAAATATATAGTATCAAAAAGCAAACTCAGGTTCAGCTTTGTGTGTAAGAATCATTTTACTAACCAAATAAATCAATTTTATGCATGGATCCAAAAGAATATATAGACACGTGTTTGTATCAATACATGAAACATATATAGTATGAATAATTTTTATTCGGGGCGAATATAAGACTGTTTTTTCTACAAAACAGATATCTGAACAATCTACAGTTCGGTCAAAAATTTTATGTCGATGGGACAATGATGGTTTGTTAAAAAAATTAATTAAACCATCAAATCTTTAACGCTAAATAGTTCTCGCAAGCTAGCAGTGGGCTGTTAATTGTCTCTTGGCCGTAAGCCAAGATTTGCAAGACATATTCATTACTTTCATTACCTGTCTTCTATGGAGCCATACGCATCGTTCATAGTTGATTCACTTTATAGCAATAATGTAAGCCTAAATTCATGTCATATTAATAACACTTAATGACTATGGTTCAAGGGCTGACGACTTTAGATATTCCGTAGAAATAAGATACTTTGTTGTTGAATATGCTGTATGCAGTCTGAACTATGGTCCTCGTAGTATTCCATCAATAAATCACCTATGCTTTAAAATTTGACGATCACCTGGAGTTTGACAATTGTTAGCTTATTTAGAATGACTTTTTGAATCTTATCAGTTCTTTCAAAAATATTCCGCAGTTTTACGATGAGGCGGTTTCAATAAGGTGATATATATGCATATATATAAAGAAAAAATGAAGATTAGAAGTGATACCAATGCATTATTTATGCTCTAACAATGAACAAACATATCAACTAAGCTGAATAAAATTAAATGATGGAGAAAAAAGGTGTATATGAAATAACTAAACTCACCAATTGTACTAAATTCGCTACTCTTGCTTGATATTCCGCATTTTCAAAGCGTAACATGCGAACTAGTGCCTTGTATCTTTCTAATTCACTCTAAAAATAAGATGGTAGTAAGCAACAAAGATTTTTATTAGTTTACTAGTAAGGTACTAAAATAAATATTGCTTAAGACAGGACTGATAACAAGCGAAAATAAAAAAGCGCTGAATTGCCGTTTTCTCCCAATAAAAAGATCCACAGAAGTTCAGTTCCATATGATCTCAGTAACATTCAATAACTCCTACTACCCATTTTATTGTTAATTTACATTTTATATGGTTATTTAGACAGGCATTTATAATGAGTTACATATTCATAAGAAAGATCTCAGTTTCTATCATATAATCTGAACGAAGTGCGTGTTACAATAACTCATTTCTATTGGATATACAACCATCTTGTTGTTCTCGCATCATATTTATATTTTAATATGTAATTACCAAGAAATATTTAAGACGGTAGAGAAGTATCAATTCGATATTCTTCATTGGTTTTTTTCATTAATAAATGATTTTGTTTGTGGTTTATTGAACTGTACTTGAACATCCTCAGTTTATATATATATATGTATATATATATATATATAGCAAAATTTATATCAATGCAGCAAATCGTTTTGAATTCAAGTCAGAAGATGAAGATAATTTTGGCTTATTCATTTGAGATAAACAGTTTTACAATGTCAAACCATTTAAAATAGGGATGGTGAATTAAATTTTAAAAACCTGTGTGGGCAATGGAAAGTGTATTTTGGTTACTTCGTGTGACTTGTCGTTATTAGTAGAAAGAAATGGACAAGAAAATATATATTTCACTTTTCACAAGTTCTATTCTACCATATCTTACTGGAAGCTATTAAGAGAATCGAATTTGTAACCCACAACTCATTTATACATAAGTAATAGAATAAATGATTCTCAACGTAACTTGAAAATAGGTCCCTTCGTGCTTGTACATTATCAATGAAAAAACTGTCAATGTATTTTGATGGAAAACTATGGTTTGCAATAAATCTTGTGCATGATGAATAATAATTTTTACAATGAAAAACATTAAACTAACCCTAAGGAATAACAATTCTTCTTCTGTACGATGTGTACGAATTAATGGTTTTAAGGCCAACATTAGACGAAACCAAGGATCAAGCATAATACTTGCATTCTTCTGAATACATCTCACTGCTTTTTCTTCAGTCTTGAATTCATTCAATTATTTGTGTACATCGTGATGGTAGAAAAAAAGAATCAAAAAATTCTTTAAAAGTTTATGCAATTCTCGATTTTTTTTTACACCTTTTAAAAAGATTAATTCGGTTCATTTCATCATCCAGTGGTTTGGTCTGATTGAATGTAAATTTTATTTCATACGATCCCACAAAAAAACAAAGTCTAAGGCACTGATTAAGTCTAAGCTTTTGTATAAAATTCAAATCGTTAGTTCATTAATTGTTGCTGATTTCAAGATTTCGAATGTAAACTGAGGAAAAGGTAAATTTCCAGGCTCATTTTCATAGAAGACGAAACAAAAACGAGAAAATTACTTTACTAAAGAATTCGTAAATTGCCTTTTGTAGTGAATTGTACTAGATCTGAAATCAAAGTTCTTCCAAACGCCTACCACAAACGAATAAACGTCTCCTTTTAGACATTTGTACAAAATATAAAATGTTCTATTTCAAGCCGTTCAACTGGGGATGACTAACCTTGTGTGCTGAATGTCTAACATAAACTAAAAATCTAGATCATCATGCCTTAAAAATAATCTAAATAAATGAATGTACTAATACTTTGTGAGGCTAATACATTGTTTAGTACGTCATTTAAATGTTAGAATAAATAACTGAAACTTTAACCTAAAAATACTGATCAGAACTTCAATATTCCCAACCTCAATTGAACAATGCACGTCTTTTACAGTTACTTGTCTTTATATCATTCACCACTTTCGAAAATCGGACAGATTGACTTAGTGCCTATTTGTTTTTAAATAAGAATATTTTAGTATCATCATTGTTATATTTAGGTATTCCTTATGGTATTTTATAACATTATTTTCGAATAAATTCATGAATTCCTGTCACTTCCAATTATTTTCAGTCGGTTGATTAATTCTATATACTTTTGAAGCGATTTTGATGGTTAAGGAATTCGGGAAAGGGATATGATAGCTACAAGTACCCGTCCATTTACTGACAGTAAAGACGGTGTTGAAATCATAACTGGATCTACAGTGTGTTGAATGACAACACCAAGGTCTTATTTGAGACCATGAACCAACCAATGTTAGACCACCATTGAAATCCTGGAAGCACTGGATATGCGTTTCGTCCTAGTATGGTACTTCAAAGAAGTCAGCATTGCTCAATTACAACCCCCGCACGCAGTATTTGAACCAAGGACCTTCGGTCTCGTGTCTGAACGCTTAACCGCCAGATCACTGAGCCGTCATCCAATGGTGTTAATGTATAACTTTAGCCAATTCACAATATTGATGGTCTACCACTTATTGGCTCGTGATCTCAATTAAAACTTAACACTTTCCACAACCCTATACTAAGATTTTCATCAATGAAGGTACGATGTCAGCTTCATTGTCCGTCTTTCATAGTTTGGTGAAATATTTAATATTTGAAGCTAATTTTCTTAATAAACATTTTAAGTTTTAAGATCAGTTCACCTACCTCCTACTCATGATGGAGTACTTCCAATGTATATAGTTTGAAAATACAACTGGTGTTACCATAACCATTCTCACCAACGTTTTCTTTATTTTGGTGAACAAAAATACCCAAAGTGTAAAACGAGATGACAGTGTAAATATTTATTCCTAGTGGGATGTTAGGACTGAATTTGGAATATCAAGAAGTTTTCGTCAGCATTTAGCACGATTGTTTAATTCTCAGTGTTCATTACGTTGGCAGGGGACGAATTTTGATCTTTAAGTAAATATATCTCTGAATATGTAATATTTAGTCAGACAATACTGAGTGGATGATAGATCATTTAAATGAATAACGTTATCTCGAGGCTAGAAAATGTCTAATTGAGATCATCATTGTTGTTTATATAGTTTAAAATATTTTAACAATTAGTGTGGAAGTGTTTTTAGTTTAGCGCTTCAATCTATTATTTTAATTGATATCAACAGAAAGTTATCAGCATACTTCTAGATCATATGTTATTCAATAACCAGTCAAATATAATAAGTAGTATATTGAGTGATTGTAATTAAATAACCCAGCACAAAGCAATCTGTAGCTCTTTTCTGTGCATATCTACATAAATATTGTTTAAAAATGCAATCAGAGTGCAGTCCCATATATATTTATTTATTTGAAGTACTTTAAACATTAATCAAACTATTCAATTAATTAAGTCCAAAAGATGTTTTGTTCACAGTAGCTTACGTTTGTGATGATAAAATATGGATGAATTGTAGGATGTAAGCAACTAGCGTGAACCAAACGAAATGAAAATTAATCATATTTTGCTCGAATCCCTGTTTTTACTCTACTCACGATTATAAAGGGAACTAAATGCAGAATGAAGAATCTATTTGTTATTGATTTTTCAGCAGAATATGGGTAATTTATAGACATTTTGGAAGAAACTGTGAACTTCCTTAGTATGAAATTATTGATTGTAATACTAGTGATAACAGAATACTAATCATTGCATTCAAGTCTTTGTATATTAGCGATATCCATCTAACACTACTGATTAACTTGTATATACAGAAGTAAATAAAGGTAGTCAAAAGTCTCGTTTATAATGGTAAAATGCACTGCCATGAGACTTGAAACATTTTCATCAATCGTCACATTCAACGTTTACTCATTCCGTGATTTTCACCTACCAACTTAATATTGTCTTTGTTACAACGTTGAATTTTGCTATCATTCGTGTTCATCATACCTATCATTACTAAGTGTCCCATTAATTTTATGACTAATATGGCTAGATTCTGTGTAAATTAATAAGTAGCAACTTTCAATATACTGCTGAATGTTTTTATATCTTAGTTTTCAAACTAACGGTCTTGTTTTAGAAATCCATTTAAACTTCAATAATTAAATAGTGTTATATTCCTTTTAGTTTTTATCATGTTATTTGTTCAGCTTTTGAACTTTGTGGAGTAGATGAGAATTCTTGAAGTAGAATGAATTTATTTTGTACGGCACATCATGTCAGCTTCGACCTCTTGAAAGTTATCCATGAATGTAGACTGTTTCGAAGTGACCAACCTAACCACCTAACGCATTCGCCAAATTGTTCTAATTATATGAGATAATTTTTAGTCTACTGATGATGAGTTACATGGACGAATCATATTCATACTTAACCTTTATTACAACTGTTATACAGCTAAGTCAGTGTTTATGAAAAAGGTTTTGAAATTCTGTTATTGCGTTTTGTTAGTGTCGGATTCAATCTCATATCTAAATGGGATTTTTTTATTTTCTTGAAAAAATTAAGAGATCCTAATTATTTGTTTGAAAACTAAAACTTTTCTCAACTCTCCTCTCAATTTTATTGTCAAAACCATTTCAAAGTCTGTGTATCAATAGACTTATGTAATTTTTAGCTCTAAATTAAAATAACGTGTCTGTTGTGAGGTAGTGATTCACTGAAAACAATACTGGACGGTGACGCAACTTTATGGATTGATTGAAGTGAGACATCAACACTGTTGGATGCCGGCTCAGTGTTATAGAGGTTAAGCGTTCATACGTGAGACTGAAGATCCTTGGTTGGAATACCGCGTGCAGGGATTGTGGATGCACACTGTTAAGAAGTTTCATACTAGGACAAAACGACCATCTAGTGCCTCCAGGCTTTCAATGGTTTTATAGGTTTAATCGACAAATCAATTCAACCATTAAAATAACGATATTTATTATTGCATAAATTATACATACTCTTTGATCAGATGATTTACTTCTTGTAATCCATCCACGACAACGTGCTTGAAGTTGTATCAATAATTCTTTATTTTTTAAATAATCAAATGTGAAAGGATCACTTAGAGTTCCACGAGAAAATCGAAAATAGACCTGTTTAAAAAGAGATATAACATCGAAAGTTTCTAAAATAATAAATCACAACAACGAATACTGAAATATATATATATAATCTAAAAGTTTACGGATCGTGATTTACAAAATGGTAGAAAAATATTGGTGTTTTATCATACTTTCAGTGGCTGATCCTTTGCGAACCTTAACAACAATGGAAAAATACAAGCAAACAACACCAAGTGAATTTAAATTGTTCATTTTCTTTAAAAAAAATGACAGTTGATCCAACGTTTCACCTGGCAATCTAGTCCAAGCTTTTTCAAGGATTTATTTCAAATTCATTCACTGAGATTTTACAAATATATTATTTACATTTAATGGTTTACATCAACTCGGCGCCCAAATACTGTGAAACTATTCGCTCTAATTTCGACGAAAGTTCTTATATAAAAGTGACAGTTGGATTTTGAAGTAAAAATGATAAATGGGTAGTAAACTTTACTTGTTTCAAAATATATTGATTTACATAAACCAATAAACTATTTTATATAGTTGAGATTATTAGTCAATTGGAGCTAGGACGAAACGGCTCTCCAGTCCTTCCAGGTTTTCCATTGTGGTCTAGCTTTGATTGACTCATGATCTCAACTACATAAAATTACTAAAATCTTCACAAAACTCCCCTCTGACAATACACTATTTCACAAAAACTTTAGAGATTTAATCTAAAAATTTAAATTTTGTTTTACAGTCTGTGTAAACAAACAATTGTATTTATACTTGAAAAATATTACTCATATAGCATAAACATATTAGGTGTCATATTTTCCAAGTTCAATAATCTTTATTAGTACTTAGTTGAGTCTCGAGTCCAACGAAATTATGGTCACAAACGAGGTTTATTCATGGTTTATTTCTTTATCTCTGAAATATTCCAATGATGATAAACATTTATTATCAAAAGAGGTTTTGTGGATATTTAGTATTTTCTTAGTTGAAAGCGTGAGTTAATTGAAGCTAGACCACTATGGAAAACGTGGAAGCACTGGACGACGGTTTCGAATCTCGCGAGGCGAGGTCGTGGATGCGCATTGCTGAGGAGTCCCACAACAGGACGAAACGGCCGTCCAGTGCTTCCAGGTTTTCCATGGTGGCCTAGCTTCAATTGACCCACGCTTTCAACTATAAACATTTAGTTAATTTATTTGTAATTATTTGTAAGTCATACGATCATCGATAAGTGAAGTGAACAGTGTATACATGTGGCTGACTATCTGAATCACTGAATTCACATTTCACTTGATATTGTTCAACAGTGTCATAATATATGAAGCTGACCTAAGATAATAATAATGTTTTTTTTTTCAATGAAATAAATGTTGACTGAAAATGACAGTTTAGCAAGTGTTCTATTATTGCTTTAGTTGATCGATTCCAATCAGTCTAGACTACTTTTTTTCAACAGTATAATTTGTCAAATTCTTGCTCAGTTAAGAGAAAATCTTAATTTACTAAAGTATATTTATTGTTTTAAATTTTATAGAATAGTATTGTGGTGTGGGTTACTTATAACTGCATAATTAGTATATGATGATGGTCAAGCAAACAATGTATTTCAGTAGAAGATCGATAAAGAAGGAACATGAACAGAACACAATTCGTATGGAAATACATGAACAATAAAATCGCAGACGATGGGATGATATTTACAGTAGGAACAGTCAAAATTGAAACAATCGAATAATAGTTTACAAATCAACCTTTTACTGTATGGTTGTCAGATTTCAGTGAGATATGCTGTAATTTTATGCCTAAACACATTCTATTATCTTCTTGAAATTGTACAGTGAAATAACTATTTGCACTATTCATTGGATATGAACTCAATCTTAACTGATAATTAAAAAGAAATAATTTATGCATAAAAATCTTTGATCAAATAGTACACTGATGGATCAATAGTTTTTAGTTCACACAAAACAAATAAGGAAGATTTGAATTTGTCATTTTTTGATAAAAGATAATAATATAAATAAAGTCGATCAATTTTTTGTTCATTTACTCATACCATCTATTTATCCGAACATTTCTCAAAAAGTACTAATCATTGAGTTGAATAAATGGATATAATATAACGAAGTAGTTGCCAAGCTTTGGCAAAGCAAGCGCAGCATTTTTAAAATTGAAAAACATATGGAACTCCAAAACAGCTGTCAACTAATTTCAAAGTGACAATCTTCAATACGAACGTCAAGACAGTCACTTCTACTGTACGGAGGGAGCTGAAACGTGGAGAACTACTGCATCCATAGTCAAGAAGGTACAAGTATTTATAAACAGTTGTTTGCGCAAAATACTCAACATTCACTGGCCGGATACTATCAGCAACAGCGTTTTATGGGAGAGGACAAACCAGGTTCCAGCTGAAGAGGAAATCAGTAAAAGACGTTGAAAATGGATCGGACATACATTAAGAAAATCACCAAACTGCATCAAGAGGCAAGTGATAAATTGGAATCCGGAAGGGAAGCGGAAAAGAGGAAGGCCAAAGAACGCATTACGCCAGGAAACAGAAGCAGATTTGAAAAGGATGAATGTTAACTGGAAAGGATTGCTCAGCACAGGGTTGGATGGAGAATGCTGGTGGGCGGCCTAGGCTCCTCGACGAGGGGTAACAGGCGTAAGTAAGTAAGTAAGTTGTCAAGCTTTATTTTATAGTAACAACTTTATCGATAATGACTTCATCATTACTAAAACTTGTAATTTAATTATATTTTATATCGAAACGATAACCATCTATTTAATAATTAATTACTAGTATCGTATCATAAATGTGAAAATTGGTTAGTTAAATTATAATCAGTGTTTTTTCTATTGTCAATATTTACATCTTTACAAATCCAAAGTATTTAGTTTTCTATCACTGGTCAAGTTGACCTAGTGTAAAAAGCAAACAGTTTATCATATAAGGAAGCACACACATTTTTCTATCTATCATGTATGATTAAAAGCTTCATTTTATAGTTGAAAATTGGTAATCATGTATAAATATGTATAAAAAGCCTGTAGAATAGAGTAATATCGAGGATATCCACATAAGATGAACGTATGTTAGCAGAGATTGGTCAAACTTCAATCAAGAATATCAACAACGCAATAACTGAAACACTTTTTGATAATAAAATGAAAATTTAACTGATCGAAATATTTATTGGTTACCTTAATGGGCTCATTAGATAATGGGTTGGGGTTTGAAAATTGAAGTTATGTGGTTATAATTTCAATGTGCATATCAACATGGAAACTCAGATAAATCGAGCGGACGAGCCCTAAGCAAGATAAAACACTTATTCTTGACTCCAATACCAGTCACAATACATTTATTGTAATTAATTTATAGTATACATAACCTTGCAAATTTTCGTATGGACTGACGGTAATTCTCTTTCTTTTTAGTTCATTTTAGGTTTTCTGTTGCCATTCCGCCGTATATGTTTCACATTGTTTTTGGTCTACTTTCGTTTACTCTTTTCCTTTCTTTACAGTTTAAATAACATTGTGTAGATGGGAAATATGACATAATGATACTTATAGATTTGGTGCCAATTTATTTGATTTTGTCAGTACCGTGAAATGATTTGATAAACGGGACTTCAGAAAACATTTAGTAGCAATTCGCCTATTTATGATGAAAGTATCTGGATTTCCCTCGTTTACTACTTTAAAGAATAAACGAAAGTGACAATTTTTCATAGTCTGTCAAGAATAAAATTTAGTAGTAAACGTTTAATGAGAAAACTGATCATTCGTAGAAACAAGCAAAACAAGTGACAATCCTCGTCATGTTATACGTTTTTCATTGGATGATGATTTAAAAGCTTTGACATTAGCTTATAAAGTTCTATTAGTGAGAAAAAATATACAAATTAGTGATGTTGCCTAGCCTTTTAAGAGCTTATTTAAATAAACTATGACTTGAATGTTCAAAAACTATTAATTAGAATTATATTTTATCAAATATTTTATGTAAAGGTTGTCATTATTATTTTATGTTTCTTTGCCCGTTCATTCTGCCTTTTGAAAACCATTCACTCGAGCCTTTGAGTTATTACTCTGGTATTCATCGGTAGTCATCTCTCGATCCAAATAAATGAAAGGCACCGATCAAATCTCGACACTTTCACAAAATGTTCGCCCGTTTCAGAATGATTTTTAAAATACCAGCTGTTATATGTTTACTATCAGCTTGAGTCAAATATTAATATGCTATATTATACTATCGACGGATAGGATATACATTAAGGAACTCATCAAACTGCAACACGAGGCAAGCGCTAATTTGAAATCCTAAAGGGAAACGGGAAAGAGGAAGACCATAGAACACGATGAGTCGAGAATTGAAAGCAAATATCAAAAGGATATTTAGCAACTAGAAAGAACTCGAAAGAACTGCCCAGAACAAAGTTCAATGGCGAATGCTGATGGGAGGCCTATGCTTCATCACTAGGGGTAACAGGCGTAAGTAAGTAAGTATGATATAGTATTGTCTGATCTATTCAGGTAACACCACGTGTAAAAGTACAATACACATCTATGTATTATGCCTTCGATTTATCTAAAAATTCATAGCAATTTCTCAGAATTTATTAAACAAATTTACAGTCTTAAGTTTAAAGTACAATATTTAGCCCTATGGTGCATAATCTTACTCATATGTTCTAGATTAGATCGAGAAATTTAAGTGGATGTTATAATATATTATCATCAGTCCAATAGTACTGCTGCTCAATATGGCAAAAGAAGCCAATCTACTGAAGACAAAGTAATCGTTGGGTTATGTTACATGATATTGTAATTGTAAATATTTCCGTTTATACATTTAAATAAAAAAGTTCCCGATGACCACATAAAATGTTTCCGACGAAATGTTGGTTTTTGTGAAACCGTACATATGCATTACTGATGACTAAGAAAAATTATCAAACATAAAATTAAACTTGATTTAAAATCAGATGAAATACAGTTTGAAATGGCCT